TTAAATTGAAAGTTGGAATACTTGTTTACCATCATGGTCCCAAACATGGGCAGGAGAAGGTAATTCTGTTAAGGATTTTATTTGAATTATGGCCCTTTTTGACTTAGAAACTCAGTTAAAATTTTCATTCTTGTCCACTTGTTGACCTAACCATTTGAGATATTACTTTGGAAGTTGGAGTTCTTATGTGCCATCATGAGACCTATCTGTAAGCAAGAGAAGATAACTCTGTGAAAATGTTTCTTGATTTGTACTTAGAAATTCCTAGTTAAAGTCTTGTGTGCCCTTAACTGTCAAAGTTTTGTTTTATAGGCAAGCACTAAAAAAGTCGAGCGCGCTGTCCTTCTGACAGCTCTTGTTTAATTTTTCTATTCAGAGAAAACTTATCATTTCTGTTCCTAACTTTTTCGGGCGAATGCCGTCTGATTTCAACTTTACCTTCGCTAAAATTAACAGTAAAGAAAATGAATATAAGCAGAATTTTCATTGGCCATTTTAACACTAAAAGCCTGTTCGATTGATACTTTAGAAGAGCTTCCGTTATATAGGTAGAGGTCTGTTCGATTGCGCGATGGCAAGAAGTGTTGGAAAAAGATATGTCAGAATAAATATAACAACACAATATTAATATTTTCTAGATGTTTTTAACAGCTTTTCAATAATTATATGAAAATAAATATGACAGATCGCCTTTTTGATACTTTTGTGTTCGACTGGGTTTCTCTTCTAAGCTGTTCTAGTCATTCTCTTCTCTTCTCGAACCAGGCATAAGACGATTGAAACGAACTTTCGACTACAGTTGCAAAATTCTCCGTGGAATTAGTGTACAGTATCTACTAAATCTTTGTTTTATTGTAGATTCCTATTCAAATCAAATTCCATTTTGATTAAAATCAAATAATGTAAGTAATATTGTTTAAATCTACGATGACAATTAATGGGGAAAAACATTGCGGGTAAAAATGAGCTGAAATAAAATTATTGAGGACGAATAAAATGTTCTGTTTGCGGTTAGCATGGTTAGTAGTAGCTACCCTATGCAAGTTAGCAAGTTTGACTTCGGCCGAGTATCTTTTTGGCTTGCAGCCACGGCTGCAAGCCATTTCATCTGGAAAACTTGTTCCGGTTAGGTGGTTTCCTGCTTACATCTGTTGGTGCATGATTGAACGGGAAACCAGCTGCAATCGTGCCAATCGCAACTTTTCGGCCTTTTCCGTCAGTCTTCGGATTAATGATAATAGCCGATGTAGTTCCGATTGCAATCGTGACAATTCGGGCGATTCCGTCATACTGCGGGTAATATTACGGAAATCTAAGCTATTTTAGTTACTTCGGTAATCCCAGTTTGTGTATATAAATAGGATTTCTATTTTTACTTGATTTATCGGTTTAAACCGTAATAAATTAGAAACGAAATTGTTCCGTTTCATTTGTTTTTCAAGACGCAAAAGTTAGTTTCTTTTATAATTGTTTTTTTGTCTGTATTAGTTTTATACAATAGAGAATGGTGACTGTAGTATTATTCCGTCTTCAAAGGGTGGTCCTGCATGATCGAGTTATATTTAGATCTACTGAACAATTCAACTTCTTGGTGAGGTAATCTAAAAATAGCCCATGCATATCATTAACCTTGCCACGTGCTGATCTATGTATCATAGTTGATACATGCCACGTAACGAAGTATTTTAGTGCATTTACTTGTCTATAAAGCAAAGGAATGATTTCGCTGCGAAAAAGGGGAAATGAGATGTGCACACTTGTTTTCCTTCAGTATCACGTTTTTACGATTGATCATTTTCTTTATTAGTTTTATACAATAGAGAATAGATCTAAATCGTTTTGACAAAAAATATTCGGTTTTCCACAAAAAAAAACTAAATAAACCCTTTATGATATACAAATACCGTAATTCAAAAAAAATGTGATAATAAATTGAAACCCAAAAAAAAGAACAATTTTAAAGGGTTGGGATGAAGGCACAACTGTGCAAGCCTTTCCTTTTAAAAGGAAACTTTATTAAAGATACTTCTTGTTTCTATGTGTCTTGTTATTTAAAAATTACATCAAGTAAATAAAACATCAAATAGACGTTTTTAATCATTGACAGGAATTTTAGAAGCAAGCGTTTACTGCAGAAATAAAAACTATAAACCCGAGCGTCTGTACTGCGATGATAGCTGCTGTGGTTCCTGGTCCTATGAAAGGTGTTGCGATGAGACCACGTGGTATGGCTGGGCAGTGGTGGGTGGGGTAATTGCTGTTATATTAATCATCTGTTTGAGTATATGCGGCGTCTGCTTACTTATCAAGGTTAGAAGCAAAAAGGGTCGAGTGATAAATCCCTCCCAAATTCAGAACCATATGCTGTCTGTTTATGGTGAGTCGACTTCAGAGAATTCTCTTTTATTAGAGCCCATTTCTCCTATAACCAAAGTGTTGCCAGAAAACTATTGTGACATGGTTACTTAGTTTAATTTTTTAATCAAAATAGCTCTGTAACACTTGGTGCATGCATGTGCAATTCTTAACATATTTACATTGAAATCAGTGATTCGTTTGTTTAATAAAATGTCAGCGTTTATTGAAACATCATTTTGTTCCCTGAATCTATTTGATATATTGTATTTTTTCTCTATTATACAGCTTCAACAATCTCCCAAACGACACCATATTCAGTACAAAATCCTTTAACACTACCGGAATTACCGCCGTCCTATCAAACTTTATATGGATATCAACATGACCAACAACAACATTGGCAGCAGCAACAACATCAACAACATCAACACCACCAACACCACCACCACCAACAACAACCACCGATTTTTCTACATGAACGTCTTCCTCCGATTCCGATTAGCCTACGAGGTCAAGGATATACTCAAATGTGAAACTAATAGCTGAACGTTTTCATTGTTAGTCCCCTACCGGTTTACTGGAGGGGACTTTGGGTTTACCCTCCGTCCGTCTGTCCGTCAGTCCATCCGTCCGTCTGTCAGTTCTCAAAACTGGATCCCGCGATAACGCAAAAAGTACAAACAATGATGACAGTATGGAGATTATGCATGTCTTTTTCTTTTCTTTCTATGTTGAAAATTCTGGTTGCTACGGCAACAAATAGACTGAAAATATGGCAAATTTTACACATAAACTGGATCCAGTATTCAGTGATAAGGCAAAAAGTACTGGAAATATTTTTATGAAACTTGAAATATGGGTAGATGGCAGTCTGGAAATTATGCACATCTTTTTCTTTTCTTCCTATGTTGAAAATTCTGGTTGCTATGACAACAAATAGACTGAAAATATGGCAAATTTAACACATAAACTGGATCTAGTGATAATGCAAAAAGTACTGAAAATATTTTTATGAAACTTGAAATATGGGTAGATGGCAGTATGGAGATTATGCATGTCTTTTTCTTTTCTTCCTATTTTGAAAAAAAATGGTTGCTATGGCAACAAATAGGCTTAAAACATGGCAAATATAACAATATTTGTGATAAGTCAAAAAAAGCTGAACATTTTTATGAAACTTAAAAATATGGATAGATGGTAGTATGGAAATTATACACATCATTTTAATCTTGACTATAGGGGGTATATTGAGGGCTGTCATGCTTAACAACAGTCAGCAACCTCGTCAAGATTTCTGATTCTAGTTTTTAGGCTTTTTCACTATAAGTTCTTTATTTCTTAAGGAATTTATTTCAAACTTAAAATATAAGTTTCCGGTCATCAACCTTTATTTCAAACTTCAAACATAAGTTTCTGGTCATCAACTGCATCATATGTGACAAGCTTTTAACTCAAGCACAAAAATTATCAGAATTGCCTCTCTTGAACTTTCATGAAAAAAATTGTTGTTTTTTTAATTACTTCTTTATCTTCTTTATTTCTTAATGTATCTTCTTCAAACTTCATATATATGTTTCTTATTATCACTCAAATCATTTGTGAGAAGGTTCAATACTCTAGCAAGACTATTTCCAGAATTATGTCCCCCTTGAACTTAGATTTTTTTCGAGAAATTGGTATATTTTACTCCAACTTCTTCATTACTTATAGGATTTACTTCAAACTCCCACATCATAATAATATGACAAGGTTTATAAATCTAGCATCCTTATTTCCAGAATTATCTCCTCCTTAAACTTTGAATTTTTCTTATTCATTCTTTTAACTTTCTTTTACTTCAAATTCAAAATAAACATTCATTATGAACAGCTTCATTACTAATTGTTCTTTGTTACACTCACATCATGTATGACATCTTGGATCTTTATTTCAAGAGTTATCTCCTCTTTAAGAATTTTGCTTTTAAAAATGTTATATTTTGGTAACAGGGATGTTTAAAAAATTAACTTTAGAGTGTCCTTCAGTCTGTCTGTTCATAAAAACAGATGGTCTCTCGACAAAATGTTAAAATCATCGTTCAGCATTAAATATATGCATACATGTATATGCATTACTTTAAAAGCGTTAATTTTAAAAACAATTGCATTTAAACATGTAACTTTGTTTTACATTTTGTATGTTACTCTAGTATAACTTTTTTTCCATTTAGTCCCTCATTATTAAATGACAATGTTGTGTTTTGTTGTACCTGAACCCAATTAAACTGACAAAAACTCCGAAAACAAGTAAAATTTTAATGAAAAACAGAAAGAACAGAAATGATCAACAAATAAATGAAATAACAAAAATATACACACATCAAAAATTATACAAATACAGAATACCCTGTGTGCAGATTCTGAATCCAAAGCTGGTTATTTAAATATACATGTGTGGTCTATTTACCTAAAATAATGTAGTATGGCACAGTTGTACAATATCTATTGTGACTGATTGATTGATTGATTGATTTATATATATTATTTTGTTAGCTCAATATGATATAAAAAGAGCTATATAGTATAGGGCTATGGCTTACAGTATATCTTAACTAAATTTGCGTCAGTTAAGAACGCATAGACTGGTTACTTCCCCTTATTTAAAATCTTTTAATCGGAGTAAACAAAAGGTCATACACATGTAAACAAATAATATCTGCAACAGTTTATATTATGTAGTCGAGTTACAGTGCAATGGGAGAACGAGATTGATTTATAAAGAAAAAAGTAACATATCAGGTAAACAATTTAATTAGATTTACCATAGATAAACATTAAAAAAAAAGATTTACAGTAGATATGTAAAGCTTTTAAACTTGTGCAAGCACGTTTATTGATTAAATGCCGTCACGGGTACGTCCAACAACCGTAATTTAAATACAGACTTACTAATGCCTATTCAATTTTCCAAATAAGGTATTGCTAAAGTTTAAATTTGTCTAATTATGAAAAATAGTGTTATTTTATCTTTTTTCATTTTATTTATTTTCATTTTTTGTTTGGCTGTTTTATTTATTTATTAATTAATTAATTTATTTATTTATTTATTTATTTATTTATTTATTTACATTTCTATATAAATTACCTTCAAAGTACAATTCTAAATTATGACCGGATTCACAAACACAGATGTACCAGGTACCTTTAGATTAAAATGTAGTGGACCTTCATTAGAAGCCATATCCCTCCGTTGGGATAGCTGAACAACTTAAAGCTCTGCGTTAGAACTGAAACATAAAATGACAGTCCGCTGTCTCACACTGCCGGGCAAATGTTGTGTTCAATTTTGCCCAAGAACTCATGCGTATCCAAACCCACGTTGCAACGTGGTAAAAACTGCTGGTTCGTTGCAATTATGTGCATTTATTAAACAAATACATCCCTGGGATGGGGCGGAGTTACAGATGACGTGTGAGTTATAGTGAATAAGAATTCAAACACTTTAATCTGAACTTCATTGATCAGATACTTCAATGTAACCGATATAAAACTTCGTCCTTCAACTATTTAGACTAAATTTTAGCCCATACATTATTCTTTTATACACTGACAATATTTCGATCCATGGATGTTTTTTTTATTGTTTGCAATAACAATATTTTGATTATACTGCAATTGTATACCCGTTTCAGATGTTAAATGGATTGAAGAACGGCTGAAGTATAATGGGAAATGAAGGCTCAAAAGCGGGACCATCACAGCCGATTGATGTTATTAATTCATTAAGGAAGAATACTCCATGTGAGTAATCATTCACCTGAGTCACGTGACACTGAAGTTGACTGAACAATATAAATATTTTCAAAGTTTAAAAGTTTAGCAATTAAAAAAACACATAGCAATACATGGAAACATTAGAAAATACAAGTATATATTTGTATCACTATGCAAAAGCACTCAGATCACTTTATTTCGGGTATATAGCCTACCGTTTTATATGGATATAATTTGGGGTCAGATTTAACAAAAATGTAACTAGATAAGGATAGCCTAATTTCTATATTTCTTAAATAAAATTTTGTATGATACTGAGTTTATTTTACAAAACAGCATATTGATATAACAACATTGATAAATATTTGTGAAATAATTTTTCATTACGTTTGCATGTAACATTTGTTCTATATTTCTCTATACAGGATTGGAGCAGTACTTCTAGACGCTTGCAAAAATCATGATCACAAATTAATACTCAAATATTGTTTTTTTTTCCCGCAGATTCTTACATTTTTCATTCATTACCGTATATTATCGATGTGGAAAGATGAATTAGACGTTTGTTTGAAACTTTATTCCGTAAGGTGAAAAGGCGAGATTTATCATTTAATCATTCAAGCATCTTGTCCCGTATGTACCAGATTACTGTATTTAGTGTGATGCTCCAATCATTTTAGTAATAGTCACACTCTTTCTCTAGACTGTCTTTACATGAAACGTATTTTTATGCATGGAACCGTGCATTGATCAAGTTCTGTTTATTTTCAGTCACAGTCCTTGAAACTGATCAAATTATTCGCCGGTACAATGCAATGGACCCGTCCCCTCAGGGTAAAACTGGTATTACTGTGGACGAGTGCATTATGATGCCGGAGTTCACGGGGTGCGTGTTTGGTCCGGATATCATACAGTACTACAAGGATTCAACAACTAAAAAGATCCATCCGAGACAGTTTATGAAAATATGTACCATGCTATGTAGGCGGACACCGGCGCTGAAAAAGAAAGAATGTAAATATCATCCGCACATAACCCGTATTTTAAATTAAATTGTGTCGCATCGTATTCTGCGATAATCATTATATTTGTGCACTTTTCAAACATCTATACTGTAGTCGCGACCTTCAAAGTTCGATGTAATTTAATTTAGCATAATCCATTTTTGTTAATATGATGTAGACTGTAGACCTTGACAATATTAGATTTAATATTGGTTGGTTACGCAGACATTACGTTGTTTTCATGGCTTTAACATTCATATATGCTCATTTAATTTTCCCTGTTTTACATTAATCATTTGTAGTTCTTTTCTTATTGATTTTTGTATAGCTTTCGGATCATTGTGTCGCTTTGGGTTTATTCGAATTATTACAGTGCACTTTCGTTACCCGCTTTCGATTCAATCAAAAACGAAAATTAGGAAAATGCTTGCATAAGGGCTGAAGTTAATTAAACTGTGGCGTTTATCTTTTTCATTTAATTTATGCTTGCTTCAATTAGACGTTTTCTGTAAAAGTTCATTTTGTACATGCATATTCTCTTAGAGTTTGAAAAGGTCACAATTTTAAGAGGTACAGTGTATCATCTTTTTTTGAATTGGAATGAAATGGCTGCATGCATGGAACATCCAGGAATAATATTACATGTATAATGTTTTATATAGAGAGAATATTTAATGAGTGTTTTGGTCAAAGTTTTCCTTGCAACATCTATCTTTGAGATCATAATTATTTGACAGAATTGTGGCACTTTTTTAGCTTCAAAAAATATTGGTTAAATATTTTGCTTGCAACATTAATCTTTCATAAAACTATTGATTGTATTCGCTTAAAACTTGATTAATGCTTTTTTAATAACAATTCAAGGCATGGATTTTGAATAAGATAAGGCCCTTGTGAACTTCTTTGGTCAATAACCGACACTCATAACTATTTCATGTACATTATTTGTACTTTTACGAATGAAATCCTCCTCTTTGTTAATTTTGATATTATCCTGGCTCTTATTATAGCAGGCTCTTATTTCACTATAAAGCACTGAAAATAGTCGAGCAAGTTGTCCTTTCGACATCTCTTGTTTTTATTTTTTCCATTTTTGCTCCATGTTATACATGTGACACAGAACCTAATTTATTTTTGTATTTTGGTTTTAGTTCTCTTTGACCTGTATGACGTAGACAAACAGAAGGTTCTGACACATGATGCGTTATTTCGTTTATACAAACTGATGTTTCATGGTGCGGTATCAGACGACCATATTCTGGCGCTGGTCTATAGTGCACTTAGACACCCAAACCTGTCAAAAGATGGAGAAGTTACCAGGGACGAATTTTCTGACGTAAGTTGACCTATCATTGAATGTAGCAGTGTCTATTCTAGGATTCGAAAACAGGGGTTGTGGGATTTTTATCGAAAAGCGAGAATTTATTACATTTGTTGAACTTTTTCCATCTTTCTCGATGTAAAATTTCCCCCCTGCCTCTAAAATAGGGGGGATTCTAAAAAATATGAGTGAACCCCCCATCCCCCCTCCTAGAATAGACACTGATGTAGCAGCCATGCATTCAGATGGGCTTGGAAAATAACATTAATTCTCTATTTGTTTTCAGTGTCGTGATTATGATGTAAACAATATTATTATATACTTTATACATACATTATACGTATCTATTTAAGCTTAAATGTGATTAAAGCTTATTTGAAATGAACTCGAGTCCGCTTCCTGGTACGGGTGTCCTGTAAGGAAGCATAGGGTTCTGTGTCTCCTCTAGGGCTTGAACCCACGGTCTCTGTGTAAAGATGCAGCCGATTAAATTATGTACGCTTATAACATTTTTGGTTATATGTCGCATAAGGAATACGTCCGCATCTTAAAGGCACGTTTACCCAATGAGTGACAATGCAAATTAATATTCTATTTTAACGGATTTTGAGCATGCTTGGCGATTATTACTTTAAGAAAACAGCGCAGAGTATGAAATAATTTGTCATATTTGAAAGATAAACCTTTTAGTAGCATTTGAAAAGAAAATACACTATGTCTTTTATTTGAGAAACTGTCTATATTTTATGGATTAATTGACAATACCAATCGAAAATAACATGAAAACATTGGCTTAAACAAATTTATTAAAGCTCGATTGCGAAACAAGTTATTGCAACTTTTATTAATCACTTTCGAGTCCGCTTCTTGAACCAACCAGTACTGATGTCATATAAAGAAACATGATCGTGACCCGATTAGGGTTCGAACCCATGATATAGCTTTGTAAAACATGTATTTCGATATTAGGAAACACATTGTGATATAATATTGCGAGATTTATTATTATTGTTATATCCAATATATTGCGATATATCGCACACCCCTTATTTTGAAAAATGAAATATCTTTGTGTACAATTCAGATGATACCGGATGTTGAGATTCAAGAGAGATTGTCGGTGGACTTCGCATTTGATCGTTCATTCCAGCCTGATGTACCGGAAAAGGAAGAAGATGAAGAAGATGACGACGAAGACGATGATGATGGCGATGATGAGGAGGCTGAAAGCAAAAAATAAATTTGTATTTAGTTCAGTTTCCGGATGTTGTGAAAAACAAAACTGAAATAATATTTATTACTGTAAAAGCATGGTTATTGGACATTTTTATGAACAGCAAAGTTACCGGATGTCATTTCTTGATTGCTACCGGATATTTTTATGACTGACATAGTTACCGGATAATTTTATGAATAGTATAGTTACCGGATAAGACATGAACAGTATTATTACATATTAATGAGATTATTGACCAAACATTGTACATCCGTAGTTATTATTATATTTTGTTATGCATGCATTTATTTATGTTTTGTTTATTTCCGCTTGCATCCATTTTTCATGACAGTGTTCTTGTTTAATATTTCCATGTTTAAAACAAATGCGATTTTTTCATTATTCTTTTTTATTAATTCTTCCGTTTGTAATGCAAAAGAGCTAGTTGTCCACGTTTTTTAAAGAAATATCATGCCCAATGGGACATACAGTAAAGTTCTGAAAAGTCGGATTAAAAACATAAAAATAAAGCAGTAACAACATCACTATAAGCAATCCTAATCAATCTTCAATGAGCATGATTGTCTTTATTTTACGTTTACTTTATTCATAAACAAGACATCCCTTGTAAAAAAAAATGTCATCGGTTATGTAGCACAACAGAAAAACAAACAAAAAAGTTTTATGATGAAAATCATAGTTGAAAAAATAATGTTTGTATAAATTTATATATATAAATTTCGGAAGTATCGCGCAGCATTTGAGCATGGCTATAATGGCATGAAAACAGTGGGATTTTATACTTTCCGACATTTTGTATATTTGCCAGGCATAGGTTTAATCCCCTGCAATTTCGCTTTTTTTAAACATTTTTTCTTTAGTGAGGTTTTTAACACTGTCATGTCTTTTATGATAGTTAACAAGCTTTGACTTTAGCGCCCTCTTGGCCTTCAATAGTTTAACCAGGGCGTTTTATGTTGTTGTTTTTTCTTCTTCCTTTCCTTAACGGTAAAAAGGTAACTTGCAGCGTTGTGGCTTAAAACCCAACAAAAACAAAACAGTAATTTGTATGTATTACAACATGAAATAAAGTGTTTTCACTATTTTATGAAACGTAAAGACCTACAAACCTCGTAAGAAGATAAAAATTTATATGGTCTGTTTTAAATTCTTAGCACAAGTTTATACTATTTTTTTTTCAGTTGTGTTGAAAACTGAACGCGTATTGAAACACACACGAAGCCGTTACTGGAAGCAATTTGCTTATTGAAATAACTGATTGTCCCCTGGTGGGCAATTACTTTAATTATATGCTTACATTTGAACTGATGTTTTATTTAAACCTTGGAAAATTGTTTAAATTATTTATTTTTAAAGTACAATTTTTGAATAAACAACCTGTTTAACACGTAGACCAAACGATTAGTAATTGAATAACAAACTATTAACAAAGTATGTTAACATTTTCTATAAAAATAAATGAGCCGCGTCACGACAAAACCAAGATAGTGGGTTTGCGACCAGCATGGATCCAGACCAGCCTGCGCATCCGCGCAGTCTGATCAGGATCCATGCTGTTCGCTGTCAGTTTCTCCACTTGTAATAGAGTTGGTAAGCGAACAGCATGGATCCTGATCAGACTGCGCGGATACGCAGGTGGGTCTGGATCCATGCTGGTCGCAAACGCATCATGTTGGTTTTGTCGTGACGCGGCTCATATGTGTTATAACTTCAAAATTCACATTTACAACCAATCAACGTATATATCTGAAAATATGGGCGCTGTTTGATGGTTTATAAAAAAAAATGAACGGGAAAAAAATAACACATGCATTGCATGGCATTGCAAAATTTTCAATTAGTCAAGTAATTATTTTGAAGTTTAATGCAGCTACGACACGCGAATAAATGTTTGTAACAAAGAGACATATTGCCGATAAATTACTTTCTGATAAGCACTAACAATGTTACATTGTTGTCGTCTGCTACTGAGATATTGTCGTCTGCTGTTTTATATTTCCTAATAAAACACAATCCTATTTATTTCTTCTGTATACAGGAATAATTATAGGAATATATTTCATTCCTTTTAATGCAGAATCCATTAGCAAAAATAATTATTTAAGTTAAAGTCGGAGAAGGAATCAAGATAAAATAGATTTTAACAAAGGAGCTTCAAACACTACATTTAATGTCAGTTTATTTCAAATGTAAGAGGACAGTAAAAACAGAATCCAGAATTTCAGAAGAAAGGGATTTTAAAGGACAATAAGGCCCGATGGCAATATATTTACTCATGGTTATTGAAAAAAAAACAATAACAAAAAACAGAAATAATTTTATGAAGTTCTAACAGTTTATGTAGAAGCGTCTACAGATGTTTTTTCCCTAGAGCTCTCTAGTTTCTTTTGATCAAAATGGAAGTATGAAAATCTCTTTAGATATCGTTCATTTGGGCTCTATTGATGATGATACTTAAGAATATAGAATATTCGTGAACGTTTGTGCAAAGCATAAAGTCAAAGAATTATGAAGAAGTAAAAAAAAGCATAAAGTCAAAGAATTTTGAAGAAGTCAATTTGATGAAACGATTAGACATGTCGTCGCTTGAAAAACGTTTTGTTCTAAGTGCCAATTTGTTGTTTTTGAGAAAAAAGCATGTAAAGATTTAGTATTGCATAACTTTTTATTTATTGTCGGATTTTGAAAATTTAAAAACTACTAAACGTGATGTCGAAAGAACATATCAATATCGTTAAAGATATGTGGATTTTAATATTTCCTTGCTTAAAAACCTAAAAAAACATTTGGAGATAGAACAGTCCTTGTAACTTTTTTTCAAAAATTGTTAAAATCAGAGTGTTCAATGTGACTTAGAACATTATGTCTTTTAAGTTGAATTGATTTATATCATATAAAACAGTATGTTTTCTCTTTAAAAGGCTGTCAAAAATGCTCTCGGCAAATTATCCCTTAGTTAGTTGACTTTGACACTACACTATTTCTTAGACCATATGTACCTAAGTACATGAACTATGAGATTCAAAATCTTATTAAACTCCTTAAATCCATTACATAATTAAATGACATTTAAACAAATAATTTAAATAAATAAAGATAAAATACCCACATAAATTTTGTAGACATTTTATCTATTTTTATAACTTTGGCCACATTCAAAGTGATTCAATGTCTGGAAAAAGAAAGCTATAGCCGCAAACGGGAAAAGAAAACTTTCAAATTTTCTAGAATGCTGGAAAAATATTTCAAGATTTTTTTTTATGAAAATTCAAAAGATGGTCAAATTCAAATTCCTTCCAAAAGTATGAAATAGTAGTAATTATTTTGTTATGCGCTTTACACGTTCTGTTAGTGTTAATAAGAAGTTCTTATAATTGAAGGTATGTAAAAAATGTTTCTATATCTTAAATAGGGAATGAAAACATATCTGCTAGACAAGACCTTAAAGGTGGAGCAGGCATGACTTATATTTGAAAAATGTCATATTTAAAGACTGTTCGTGTACAAAAACATTACAAACATAACGCTATATAAATATTCATTTAGAAATTCAAAGACAAATTACAAAGCAAACAAAATATACGTATAAGAGTATTTTTCTTCCTTCTGTCTTTGGTATAAAATGTGTTTACTTTAAAGCAATCTTTTAGTTATATAACATTAACGCATTCGAAAACATGTATTATATCTAAACGTATAATATCTGCAAATTTTCTTAAAGGCCTTTTTTGCCCCAGAAATGCTTTTATCTTAATCTCTCAAAAGCCTGATTGGAGTTCTGTTATAGTTTCCAAAATATTCCACATTGGTCAGTAACCTAAACCATCTTATGCTTTTGTTTCATATTGGCAATGAGTACAGTCATATGTGTCTGTCATAAAGATAAATAATTGGTTTCTGAGACAGAATGTACCTTACGTTAAAGAAACTTTAGAACCTATAACAAATTTTCTTTTTTACGAATTTGTTTGATGAAATTGTATGATCACAGTTGTTTCTATCCGAATATACACATCCGAAATTACTTTCAAATCATGACCAGTTTTGCTTGTTGTTTAATCACATGCAGTACATTTACAGGACTTAATACTAAAATGTCAATGATTGGAGGGAATAAATGAATATATAGTATCATTCAATTCTTATATTAAGTATTAATATATGAAATAAACAACAAACCATCTAACTCAAAATGTTTCGTACAACATGGCGGGTGTCCTGCTATCACGTGATTTGATGCTATGTTTTGATACGATAATTTTGGATTTAGAACAGTATGTTGCATATATCCCACAGGTCACGTGACATTTATCGATGATTTGATTAGTCCAGTAAGTTAGAACAGTCTAATTATCAAGACATACTAAATTTGTGGAGATAGAACAGGATGGTTTCGTTGTAATTTATTAATTTATGAAGCTCTGAAACACTAACATAACATGCCAATGAGATAGAACAGTCCATTACGGACAAAATTGTGTATTTAACTTGTTTTTGGAAAATTTGGAGATAGAACATTACAGTTTTCAAGCGACGATGTTTTATACTACACAAGAAAAAAAGCGCCAATTTTAATACCGATGACGTCATATCCTGTTCTTATGACGTTTCCGGTATCAGGAAAAAGAAACCAGAATATTGCCGTCTGCTACATCCAAGCATTAATAAGGAAGGAAGCATGCCGACGTCAAGCCAGGCCATGATACTGCGAGGCACAGAAACGGTACGATCCCCAACAGTCACGGTCAGTTATAAGAACATAACACCATTTAGTAAAGTCGACCTTTCATACCAAAAGACGCCTTTAGGGAGAGGTGAGAGGGTGCAGTTTGATATAAGTGTTTGCCCAAAGCACGAAAAGAGCATAGATGGTTTCGAAGGAGTTTATGCTTATGATCACGAGACGCAAACCTACCGATGGCAACTGTTCACGGTTTCTCCAAAGGCACTGACTGACTTTGCTATAGATAAACATGAAATTGGTGATTGTAATTCACATGATGAAACTAACGCTAATACTAATGACATAATGAGACAATCTTCATTTGATAACGGACATTTTACAACGCCTACAGAAAGTAGGATTGATAACACACCTGTCGATTATAAACATGGTTGGCAAATAAAAAGTCCTAGAGGAGAAACAGACTTTATGGACGACGCCGTATACCGACGATTTGAAGAATTAGGCTTCCGGCGAAGGACAACACGTACACCGAGAGGATCCGTCGTCCGCGCAAATCGACCGAAACCGAGTGCACGGAAATCACCGCGAAGGAGTACCTCCGAATTGATAGATACTAAATGTGTACCGAAGCTTTCTGTAAGAGATCTGAACAGAGAGTCACCCCTGAAAGAGAATATATCAACCAATAGTTCATTTTTCCTGCCCCAGTCGTTTGTCAGTGGAGGGTCAATGAGGAAGAGGTAATAAAGTAATAAGTTCCATTATTGTTTTATTCCTGTTATGTTATTTAAGAAATAATATATTCCCAACATTGATTTTATTGCTAAAAAATCACTTTGGAGTTCGGATTCGAGGAATTATGTCATGAGGGTGTACCCCGAGTTATATAATGCTGTGCATCGTTACGACAAACAGGGGTTTTAATAACCGATAAAATAATTGTCTGGGATATATTATTTCAATCTGAGGTACCTGATATCAAGTTTATAAATTGTAACCGTATTTATTTTCAGCGCGTCACATTTTAAATGTCTAAAAATAATCACACGCTTTCGTTCCTTCTATGTTCAATAGGGAAAACTGCGGGTCGTGTTAGAATATTTCATATAAAATTTAGCATTCTGAAATCTTTAAGACATGTTTACTTAAATAACAAAGTAAATACATATATAAGAAAACACATTTAAGCCTACAATAGTTAGATATTTGACATGTAGCATTTGCTTATATATATATATATAAATCATGTTTTTGGGGTCAAAAATGCCCCCTCCCCTATGACGTTTAGTTTAAATAAAGACCGTGATAGCAAACATGTCTAAAAATCTCTCTTTCGAAACTACACTGTCCAGAGCATAGATATCTTGTCATGAGGTAGGCTGAAAATCATTAATTTTGTATTTATTTAAAATTGGCCCTTCCCTGGGGTCACATAGTTTATATACACTTATATGATATTTAACACATTAAGTCTTCTTGTACCAATATAATTAAGGAATAATACCCAATCATGACGTTCTGTCGAATTTCCATGTGTTTTTTATCGAATTTAAATGTGATTTTATCGAACATTTGTTTTTTTTATCGAATTTACATGGTAATTTTAATTGAATTTCTATGCGTTTGTATCGATTTTCCATGTGTTTTTCTAAGAAATCATGGATTGATGTGTAAACTTTTGTCCCTTCATATTTCTCTTACAAGATTATAACGCTCTTTATTAAGATCATAATTCATTGCGGTTTCCGCACATTAGATTTCTTTCACCTTTTTTTATAAACAACACAAGAATATGCTTGTAATTTTATATATAAAAGTTCAAAACGAGTGTCAGCATTGTTTCCAAATATGCTTTTTTAGGTTTTCGTTTTGACTGTTTTAATGATATCATATTACAATTTTATAACACTCTTGTTAAATCAGGCAAATACACGTAGCACAAATAATACAAAATGTATTTTCTAAGGATATTCTATTATGTAACTCTAATTCTAATCCGATCCGTACATTCTTTACTTTAATGATAAAAATTCAGCTAAGGATATTCAATTATGTAACTCTAATTTTAATATGATCCTTCATTTTCTTTACTTTAATGATTCTAAGTTCTAGGATTATTTATATTAATTGGAATTACGAAGCAATTTTCATTGTTGTCGCTCTAATCGTAATATATCGTGTAAACTGATTGCTTATTCCAATTGCGTCTTGAATACGTCAACATTATTTTCATGATTTATAGACCCATAACTTTCAGGAAAGTTTCTTTATTTAGCCATAATATCAAGATTTAAAACCGACTTCAAGCTGGAACATTTCCTGTGAGAAAACAGAAACATGATAAATCTAACTAGGCATGCAACAAGCGTGTCGGTCTATATCGATTAGAGATAATATTCCAAAGAATGCTTTTAGCTTTTACATATGAATAATTTAGAAATTAATTGAAATGGAAGTAAGTTTTGAGAAAAGCCGTGCAAAAACGCGGAACGGTTGTAGAAAATAGATACGCGTTATTTTTGTAAAAAAAATAGATTTCTTCTATTCTTGTAGACGGTTTCAAATTTATTTCTGATTATATGTGTGCTTATTGAAAAGATTAATACAAATGGAGGACGATATCTGACGTAAAACAAGCTTTTTATAGTCTCTAAATAAATGAACTAAATTTAAAATAGCTGGATTACTGTTGTTTTTTTCTCAATGTATTCCGGTAGAGTTATTCCTGTGAAACAGAAGTCGTTGTTGGACGAAGTGAAGGAATCAGTTAACTGGGCAAACAGGGTTACGCCTTCGACTCACCACAAGAACGCGCCAAGACTCGACTTGAAAAATGCCGTCTGCTTCAGTCTACGTGACAGCTGGAAATACGATCACGTGCAACTCAAACATCTGGTCGAAACACAAATTCTACGTGAGGTAAGCATTTGTCGGCGTTCTTGTATATCAATTTTAAAGCATTTTCTCTATTTAAACTTATTACTAATAAGGACATAAAAAGAGAATGTCTAAGTCTCGCGTAAAATTGTCTACCTAGAGGTGACGTCATTATTGCTGGCTTTCGAGACAAACGTAGAAACATATAATAAATATAAATTTCTCCAATAACGTTGTCTTTGTCTATTGTTTTGTATAAGTATTAATAATGCCACATTGTGTATACATATATAGGTAAGAACCCTTCAGTTTGACCCAGTTTCTCTTCGATTATCTGACGGAAGCGTCCTTGACCGATGGATAGTAGGGTTCGAGCATAACGGAGACTGTACGCGTGCAATCGAGCAGGGGTTGTCTGTGGATGGTGACAAAGTAGTGGTTCGATCCTGGGACGACATTGTGAAGGAAGAACAAGGTGAAGATTGGGAGTACCCGTGTAGCTATAGAATGTCGTCTTCTAAACATGACCTAGTTATCAGAAAATTCCTGCAAGTGCACTGATTTATAAGAACTGTCCGTTTGCGTTATTCAAGTGTTTAATGTGAAGGTCACAAAAGTGGCGATATTACATATATTTTCGTTGTTTTTGTTGTTATTAACAGGGAAAAAAATTTCAACTATCATGTAATGACCATTCGATAAGTAAGTTTCAAGTCATCTGTTAAACTGCTTTGCAGTATATAATATATAGCATTTGTAAAAAAAAATATGTGAATGTGTCATGAGATTTCTTTAATAAATCATTACATAAAACATAATTTGCGTTATGTCATTCAAATTTCAACAAAAAAAAGCTGATTTTCATTGATTTTATCCAAAGAATCTTTTCTTGCTCTGAAAATTGAAGATTTACGATAATCTTAAATGAGAGGTTTCCTATATTTGAGTGGATTCTATTTACAGGTGGTCTCTTACTAAAATTTGAAATATCCGTGAAATAGTTAATCAGTCCGTGAAATAGTTAATCAGTCCGAGCTAGTTCTATTGAATTACTGAGATATAACATACTTTTCAAAAGATTTCTGAAATATAATAATGAACGATACATGTGAAATTAATAGTTTCAAGGTATAATGCGCTGTCAATTGAAACCCAGCTCATATCACTCCTAGGAGAGTGCAGGGAATAGTGGAGAGAATGGGCCAAGTTTTCACCAGATCTGTGGTCGAACTGTGGTGCTAGTGCCATGGTTTCGTTTTTGGCAGCAAACGAATGGTAGCATTTGTGAATTAAGAGGGGAGTTTAACATGTGACTTACTCCACTGGAGCTTTGAAAATCCAAAAGTGAAGTCCCGCAATTCCACAGGAGTGGGGGTGGGGGACTGGGTAACAATAAACTAGTTCCTAATTTGACTGAAGCCAAACAATATCAATTTTGATTTGAACTAGAAATGTGTCCATAGGACACGGGTGCCCCCACCGCAACACTGTTCTGTCAATCTTTTTACTCTTAAGTCAAGGGAAATAACTCTACAAATACTGGATAAATCCACAAGCGAAACCCCAGGTGCAAATCCAAAATATGCTGAGCAACCTGCCCATAAGGTTTATTGACTATGTCAAATCCTTTTTGAGAAACTTGCGACACAAGTTGAAAATTGCAAAAATTTTCTAAGTGAAGGGCAATAACTCTAAAAATACTATATAAATCCAGACGAAAATACCTGGTGCACAACTGCACATGCTAATCAATATTCCTGTAAAGTTACATGACTCTAGGTCAAATACTTTTTGAGTTATGTGCGACACATGTTGAAAATTGCCAAATTTTACTAAGTCAAGGGCAATAACTCTAAAAATATCCAGACGAAAATACCCAGGTGCACAACTACACATGCTGATCAACATTCCTGTAAAGTTTCATGACTCTAGGTCAAATACTTTTTGAGTTACGTGCGACACAAGTTGAAAATTGCAAAATTTTACTAAGTCAAGGGCAATAACTCTGAAAATACTAAAAATATCCAGACGAAAATACCCAGGTGCACAACTACACATGCTGATCAACATTCCTGTAAAGTTTCATGACTGTAGGTCAAATACTTTTTGAGTTACATGCGACACAAGTTGAAAATTGCAAAATTTTACTAAGTCAAGGGCAATAACTCTGAAAATACTAAAAATATCCAGACCAAAATACCCAGGTGCACAACTACACATGCTGATCAACATTCCTGTAAAGTTTCATGACTCTATGTCAAATACTTTTTGAGTTACGTGCGACACAAGTTGAAAATTGCAAAATTTTACTAAGTCAAGGGCAATAACTCTGAAAATACTAAAAATATCCAGACGAAAATACCCAGGTGCACAACTACACATGCTGATCAACATTCCTGTAAAGTTTCATGACTGTAGGTCAAATACTTTTTGAGTTACATGCGACACAAGTTGAAAATTGCAAAATTTTACTAAGTCAAGGGCAATAACTCTGAAAATACTAAAAATATCCAGACCAAAATACCCAGGTGCACAACTACACATGCTGATCAACATTCCTGTAAAGTTTCATGACTCTAGGTCAAATACTTTTTGAGTTACGTGCGACACAAAAGTGAACGGACAGACGGACGGAAGGACAGACAAGGGTAAATCTAAATGCCCGCCACTAAAGTGGGGGCACAAAAATACAACATGTACATGTATAGCAAATGAATGGAAATTTCAAAAGAAAAGCACTCCATTTATGTGGATGCATAAACAACAAACGAGAACTTTGATCTTTTTTCCATTTAATACATTGTATAATGTAATACAAATAAATATTTTTTAAGATGGTAAAACACAAAGATGGTTACACATATACCCTCGAAAAATTACATATTCCAACATTGTGCATTTTTCTACAACTCTGTACATTTAAAACAATAAAAGAACATTGTTGTAGTTTTCATTTACCAGTGACAGCCTCTTTTTCCCCAACTCTATAACAGTCAAAAGAATAGAAGTGATGAAAATAAAAACGAAAAAAATAACATTTTCACCTCCAACATTCTCTTATAAAGTAAGAACAAAATTAACCCCCATCTTAAGAGGTATGTGGTGTGCACCTTTTATATTTAGATGTTATGATAAATGTAAATGCTGCCCACTTACAGACAGGACAATATCTTTTAAATATCCATTACAAGTAGGGTGGACAGGACAAACAATACCCCCCTTAAATATCCATTACTGGTAGATTGGGGTGGGAAGGGTGCTTGTAAAATGGGGGTCGGGGCAGTAGGGGTGGAAATCTTCAAAGTATGCAAGACACTAAAATATAGTTGCAACTTGTTTCAGGAGAATTGTAATGTACATGAGTGTGTGGTCCTGTTTTCCATTTCACTTTCAATTGTTTTACTGAATCTTAACAAATTTTTAACAAGTTGAGGAAAAGTCTATTTCGTGAACTTTTAGTTTGCGTGTAGCAACTGAAAATACCCAAGCAACCGGTGCAGACCTTCCCGAAAACTAATAAATGGTTGTGTCCAGATTGAAAGATAGACATATCCATTTAAGATATTAAGTGTCGAAAGGATTAAAATTGAAATTAAAATCCTTAAAAAAAATGAAGAAAAAAAATGAAGATGAAAAATCACCTCCTATATACAAGTCAGATATGTTTCCTTACTACTTTGCAAAATATATACCATACAATACTTTCATATACATGTATATGTTATCAAAAGACAAAAATAAAAGAGGAACAAAATGAAACCACTGTAACGATAAACGAATATTTTGCATATATTCATTAATCAATCTTTCAGTACTTTACTTTGATTGTTTTCGAGTATATGAAAAATTTAACTTTTCAATACTAAAAAAAAAACAAGATTTTTTACATCATTTTATATAGTAACTTCTTTAAGTACATGCCTCAGTACTATAATGCTTATTTGAACACAACCAAACATTTCAATCATTTAACATTACATTACTTAGCATTACATTACATGTAACATACAAACATATTAATCTTTATGACAAATATATTTCTCCACACCAGACTGTGTACCCTTCAGGACTTTTTAAAATGGAAACTGCTGCCATAAAATCACAATAAATAACCATATGGATTAAATTATAAACTGATATTTGTTCCATGTGCTTTCACATTTATCCATTTGTTTATAAACCTAGAATTGCTTTACAATAGAGTAAAACAGAATCCCTAAAGAAAGTCCAACATGGCAAAATTGAAAAAGTTTCAGGCTCGGTTTGATTGAGCCTGTTCATGAACGGTAGTGCTAATTGCAAGCGTCCATGCCCTGACTCCCTGCAAATTCTGATTCCCTAATAAAAGGTATTTGATAAGAATCATTTGTTTAATAATTAGACTTTTTAAGTACAGACACATGATTTATGTGACACAACCCAAAAAAACAATTAAATCTGTCATCATAGGCATGGAATTTAAAAGTTTCTTAACTTTTGAAATAACACAGATCTTTCCAGCATGAACGTGCCTGTGACAAACAATATGTTAAGTCATTTCTCATTGTTAATAGTCTATAACTCTGCAAAACTTATGAAATGAAATTTTACTCCTGTTTTGAATTCAGAACTTTAGCAGATTATAAAATTAAACAACCAATATAGTATTGAGCCGGAGAAGATGTACACACTGGCATGGCTCTATACTGGTAGTATAAACAAATAATTGGTGGCCACTTTAAGGGTATAAGGAAAGTCTTGTGTGAATCGAGATAACACAATTCCATAGAAACTCAGCACTAACAGTAACAAGTAACAATATTCAAATAACATAGATATAGCTCAAGTTTTGCATATGCTAAAAAATCTTTTCTTTCAAAATATAATATTAACTACAGGGCTTCTACAGTTTTATATTTTCACAAATTTTTTGGCAACCATACTTACACATGTATATCATCCACATTTAAAATGTGATGTTTATGCAAGGGAAATATCAAAAGCAGATCAAATGTTAAGGTTACAACCTGTATGTCAATAGAAAAATATGACAAAAGCTATTCTATATTTAGAAAGTCCCTCATCCCTTTCCTTGCCTTGTAAATCTAATTCACTATACTAACACTCACAACTAACCAAAAACCATTCTGTACATTCTATACACCAGAAAAAATACCCCTCTACTATACAATAAACTGTGTAATGCTATCTCAGGAAAGTTAACAAAGTTAAAGATACTGTATGCTTAAATTATGACACAATTATGGCATGAGGAAGCACCAAATTTATATATATTAAAATAAAAAAAATCTAAATTTTCAACAAATCCAACACTGTTTTATCGATATTAACCTACTGTAGAATGACTTGATCTGCTTTAAAGTTAGAACATTTCATTTACTTTAAAGGGATTGAAAAAAAGGCATGATGATAACATTAATAAATGCAAGTATTGATTGAGAATATTTTCTTGTTTTGCATGGAAGATCAAAATTTATTATATACTTATAAATGAAATATTGAGAAATATTGATGAAATAAAATGCGTATTTTCATTTTCCGTATTTTCACTGTAAAAATTTATTTTTCACTGCAGTGAAACATATTTTCCGTATTTTCACTGGTGTCTTGCCGGACTACTTTCTTTTAAATTCTGCCAGTACACAAAATTTAAGGGGAAAGTCTTTCAAATTTGATCGCAAAAAAGAGAAAAATGTATATAATAAACAGAAAATTCAAGTTTTTTCTATAAATACATGATTTATTTTCATCTTGTGGCATGAAAATTACCATATTTCACTCGTGGCTACCGCCACTCATGAAATATTTATTTTCATACCACTCGATGAAAATAAATCATGTATTTATAAAAAACACTTGAATATCCTCTATATATTTCGCAGAGTGAACACCAGAAGGGCTTGTGTTCACAAGTTAATTAATCAATAAAAAGGCATTTTTCAGTCAGATAAAGTATACAAAAAGCGCTTCTTTTCCTGCATAAAATGCCATACATATGAATTATAACATGTCAAAAATTAAGCATATAGTACCTTTAAAACACGGATCGTGTATTAAAAAAACACACTTAAAATATTAAGACAATGCTGTGGATTTCTGAAACATTATATACAAAACAGTATGGCAGACACTTATCACAGACAGACAAATTAACTAGGGTCGTTAATAAAGGCTTGCGAAACAAAAAAATTACTATTTACAAAGTGGGAGAAAAATATCAATTTACATAATTCCAACAAAAATCAAATTGATTTACAAGTTGAAAAATGCCTCTATTTACTTTAGAATAACTATTACAATTTACATCAAATTTTCTAATTCTAATACATATATCTACACTTTGACCTAGTCTTCAAGATAAATATCTACACTTTGACCTAGTCTTCAAGATATTAAGTGTCTTGTTTTACAGAATGCAATTTCCAATCAATAAAGACATGTACAGTGATGTTGAAACATTTGTTTGACCTACATGTTGGCTTTCTTAAAGGACCAAAAAAATTGCTCTTTTAAAGGATTGGATACAACCCTGACCTATCAGCCACAGGGACCATAAATGTTATAACACTCACAAAAAAACCCATTTCATATCATATAATTTCTTTAAAGGTGCATGCCTCCAGATGAGCTAAACTATTTCAAAGAAATCAAGCTTGAGAAAAGTGCTCTAAGATTTTAAGACAAGAAACAAAATTCAAGTGATGATTTACATGTTTTTGTGCAATTATTGGCTGATTTTGCAGTCATTTTCACCATATTTCAACTGTGTGACTAAAGCTGTAAGGGCTATTTTTTCATATTTTGACCACTTTTGGGTATTTAACTTGGTTGTAAGTGCCATTAGCAATGCATTACTTTCTTTAATCACTTCACAATATTTCACTTTTAAATATATTTTTAATTTTTTTTTGAAATTTAGCATGAATCAGGAGGCATGCTGCTTTAAGACTTTCTTCAATAATTGATTCACAATTAGACAATAAAGACTAGCATCATCATATAAAATGTTCAGTTATATAATATGAAAAATATAATATATAAAATATGTTTTCAAATTACAGAAAGTATCTCTGTCAGAAAACTGTGATATAATCTGTTTCAAAATTATAATATAACCTATTTCAGACTTTATAATATAATCTGTTTTAGAATAATAAACCTATTTTAAGTTTTATAATATATAATCTGTTTCAAATTTACAATAAAGTCTGTTTTTGAAAATTATATTATAATATATTTCAGAATTATTATGATATAGTTATACAAAATGTATTTAAAAAATTTAACAAAGTCTGTTTCAAACTTAAAATATAGCCCGTTTCAAAATTTTAATAGTATCCATTTAAAAAAAAATACATTAAAGTCTCTTTCAAAATTTAAATATGTCCTGTTTCTAAAAATCATATTTTCATTTTAAACTTCAATGACAACCCTACACATTACTGCTCTATAGACAAAGTACACATATAAAGGCAGTATTTATTTTTATGTTCAATTCAAAAAATAAAAGAATCCCCTTAACAATCTACACCCCTACAGCTTACATAAAATGCCTAATTATCATCCAGGCTTAGTCCAGGTAAAAAAAAATCTTTTACAAAAAAAAAAAATGAATTTTTTTTCAAACATGCATTTTGATTTCAACATGCATTTTGAATTCAATCAAAATTTGAGTAAAATACTGGTGTCTTTTCATTGTTGGTTACCTTTTGTCATTATTTTTCAAAATCTCCAAGCCAAAGATACTATATCAAAATACCATATATAATAAAATTGTGTACAGACAGTAACTTGTGGACATTATAGATTAATATGGCTATATTTAAATAATGTACCTATAAATATACATGAAAATTTATATACACACAAATACCACTAAAATACACTTATAATTATATGAAATTGTGCAACGTATCAAATATTTTGGTAAAACATAAGAAAAAGAAAAAAATGGTTCCAATGTATCGAAATTCTTTTGCAAGAAATTTTATTCAAAAGTTTAGTTTTATCTATTTTAGTTATAAAAAGGTATTGATTTATGAAAATGAATACTGATTTTTTAATATATAAATGTTCTATTTTTCCCTAGTTTTTTTTTATTTTGAAACTTTTACAAGTACATGATAAAAGACCATTAAAAATGATACACACTAACAATTCAAAGTTACGATGAAATAAACAGAAAGAAGTATTACAAAAATTCTACATCACATTCTTTGAAACCATTTGAAATAATATAAGCCTAGACTGAACACAAGTTTACAATATCGAGAAATATTTTACAAGATACAATAAAAATAAAATCAGCCTCTCCAAAAGCGTGAAGAAATTTGTCTTACCTAATTATACCCGTAAAATCTAAAATCTACACTGGCGAACTCGAATCTACAAATACTGTGCCAAGATATTTCAATATATTTTGTGCAAGTGTGTGATTTTTATGCAGTCAAATTAGATGAATTTCATGCATAATATAATGAACGAAAGAACTATAGGTTCAAAACTGGAAGATTAATTTATTTTGTTCAAAACTGGTAGATTAAATTATTTCTAAAAACTATCTGGTGTAGATGTGTTTGCTTGCTACCTTTGCCGGAGTTGGTAAACTTTAAAGAGGCCTATGTGTTCAGTTAATTTATTTCCTCAGGAATTTTACTGTTGATCGAAATTCTAAACTTACAGGGAAATATCATTTCTTATTACCTCCCTTAACAACCTAATATCACTTGTTATATACCAAAAATCCAAGCAACCGGTAACAGTTCTATATCTTACTTTTGCCTACACTCGATAATTACTTCAGATATGTATTTTCTTATTTTGTTACTAATGTAACAATTTTTACTTAATTTTCATTCTTTAATTCTATCTTTTGCCTGTACGAAATATTGTCTCTTATTTTTACTTTTTTTAATTCTTACTTTTGTTCATATCCAATATTTAGTTTAAATTTTCCGACAGAAAAATGATCTTTTACATTTGGATATGAGATTACATTATTCTAAACTGACCCTGTTGTACTGAGGTCTGTCAAATAGACAATATTACAAACTGGCTCTTGATAAAATAACCACTTGACAACAACCAAAAATATATATAGATAATGTTATACATAAACTATTGTGTACAAATATATAAATTCTAAAACACACCTATACACTTAAAACCATCACTACACCAAAATATGTCTGTAAAATAAGCTTAACATCCCTCATATCATCTTAACTTACAATATGTTTTAGACAATAAGCTTAAACCCATGGTCTCATCTGTTTCTATAAGCTTAAACCTATTTTATCACATGAACTTATATAAAAATTTCTAAAAAATCCCTCATATCGTATAAACTTCCAAAAATTTAACATCTCCTGTTTCTTTGTCAATCCTTGATTTACATACTAAATCTAAAAGATAAGTAACCAAATAATATCATTAATGTGGAATTCAATGTATAATCTATTCCCACATGCATGTTAAAATGATTGTATCATATTGTAAATTTTAACTATCCTAAACTTTAACAAAGTGTTGTTCTTTAACTTTAACAACTCAGCACAATTAAGGTACACAAAACACCTTGAAAATGGTATCTCATAAATTCTTAGCCCTAAAATCTTACCTATATCCCTTAGATAAAAACATTGTGTCCAACTAACTATATATCTACAGTTTCAATCCCTTTTGTGAATATTTACAAATAATTATCTAACCAAATCTATGTTATATTTTATCAGAAAAAAAAAGTAAAAAAAATACATATATAATAAAATGCATAACGCACCTAAGAATTCCTCGACTCTCTTTCTATTCATAACAAATATCATCCTATAATTACACTGAAAACAAGGAGTTAAAAAAAAAAAAACTGGTATATAAAAAAACAGAAATCAACATATTTCCTTTATCATAACAGATAACACCATTAAAATCAAACTAATGGGTAGAAAATAACCACTTACCAACCGATATTATATTATTTTGATTTTTGTACATTACAAGGCACTGATAGTTGAATTGTTAAAAATGCCTAATTTTTAATTTTTGCATTTAATGCTTCTGTAAGATTTAATTCTATAATTATATACTTCCTCTAATGTTAAACATGTATGTAATCTTCGATGATAATTGCAAAATGACTAAGATCATAATTGTGTATGTTGTCAGTGTTTTTTTCTGCTTATATAACAGACTACGATAAAAAGCCTCTACCCAATTGAAATTTTCTGAAAAAATCATGCAGTATTCCCAAAAATCTGAAGTTAAACCTGCTTTTTTACTTCCAAAATTAGCATTTTTAGCTATTATTTTTCCAATTTAAGTGAGAAAAATCACTGGTTGTAAGAAACACTATCAAATCTTTGAACATCAAATGCTTTGATTATACCTATTATACTATATTGATGGCATAACAAATATATCATTTATAAAATCGTTCTTGATAACTGTCAATAATGTTTTGTTCTAAAATACAAATATCAGTCCGAAGCTTGTTCGATTGCTCACTCGCAGCTCACTGCCCATCAGAAATTTACAGACCATTACCGACATACATGTATGTCCACTACAGCAACAATGCCACTGTCAACAAGACATTCCCTATAAAACCATATATATTATCACACACATATATATTTATATAATATATGTAATAGAACATATACATGTAAAATTGTATACGACTAATAGGTCAGTCTTAATGCAAACATAAACAGAGCGTACTATAGTAAGTATATCCATATATCTAGATATAAGTATATATAGATATGCCTCTAGGAATGAATAAGAGATATTGGTACAAAAGCGTTTTGCCATCTACTTAACAAGAATAAAACACAGATATTAGCGTTAAGTTATCTATGAACTTTACACATATTGTGAAATTCTCTCTTTTTTCAATCCGCATGTTGAGCAATGTACAAATCTGCGACGTCTGCTACTCTACGTCCCCTTCCTGGAGAAGATCTATATCCACGTAGGGTTCCGACGGGGAGGGCTGGGGCGGGATCACTTGAATGGAGCCGTCAGCACCTTGTTGTTGTAGTACAGCGGGAGTGGGCGGGGCAGGCTGGTCGATGGCAATATCAGCCGAAGCCTCGGCGATGTTTGTAATAGATTTTGACTTGACGCACTGGAAATCTACATGTCGGCTCTTTGCCTCCTCCTTCTCCCAGGACATTCTCAGAAACACCCTCTGAACATAGTTGTAAATCACTGAAAGAAAAAACTCAGATATAAACAGTGTAACTATAAATGCTTCACAGTTTTCTTATAGATTATAAGCCAGCCCTAACAGGTCAATCGAATAAAGCGAGAGACTTGTAATCTCCACATTGTGGGTTTGATTCCCGGCCTGGCCTACTAGAATTACAAATCAAATCTTTAGGATGAGACTTTGAATCGAGGTCCCGTGTACGGGTGCTAAAAAACTTGGCATGTTAAAGAACCAGGAGAAGCTTCTGGAAATGGGGCAATCTTTATGTATCTCCTCCAAAATCTAAAATGAGTAATACTCTTCTTGAGGACCCATATGGGCTACCAGTGGCGAGTATAAATAAACGCAAATACATACACATAGATTATATACGTCATACAGTTATTTTCTTCATATTCAACAACATATAAGAACTTTCAAAATCTAAAAATGTTACAAATAGTAACATTTAAGTGAGTGTTCAAGTAAATTTTCTACTGTTTTTAAACCAAAAAGAAGTGATTACAGATAAAAATCTTTGATTCTCTAAAACTAACTTAATCTGGTACCAGTACTGAGGTAAAAGAATATTTTCCAAGTTAAACAGACATATAACAAACCTTCAGGTCGTCCACCTCGCCTTCTCCTTATCTTCTCCTTGTAAGTTGGGTAACCTATAATATAGAATTTGATGATCTTTACTGTCTACAATCAATACAATTCAATCAAATTTCTCATATTTAAATATTTAATTCACATTTTTTTGGGCCTGTCTTCAAACTGTATTATGACAAAATTACAAAGAAATTACATAATCCCGTTATCAACTCTACATCAAAACACAACATTAATATATTTGATTTATCCATATTTCAATGTATTATTAAATGATGCAATACTTTACCTTCAATTCCAATTTTGATCTTTTTCAGCCCTCTTTCTTTGAGGACTTGTTTCGCTACATCTCTATTTTCAATGTACTTAAAGAATCGGTGCATGTGTCCACTGTATATAACTGTAAAATAACAAATAATGTTAATAACAAGAGCTGTCAGTAAGACAACCTGCTTGATTCTTTTTAGTGCTTGATAGTTAAACACAAGCTTGGATAATGAGGTAAACAAGAGCCCGGATAAAGTAAAATATTCTAAGTTCAAACAGGACAATAATTCTGTCCAAATCTAAATCAGAGTTATTGGCCTTGGACAGTGACCTCTTATTATGCCCTCAAATAAGTGTGTAAAGTTTCAAGCCCTCCTATAGTTTTGAAGATCCCAAATTGAACACAAAATCTTAACTGAAGTGTGACTCTGACGCCTCGATGAGTACAACAGCTCATCCTTTTCTTTGAATAATTCAGCTAAAAATGTTATTCTCGCTTTATAAAGTATGATATCATTAAAGTTTTGTGGCCGTCACTCTGAGAAAAAGGCATATATTTAGTTTGCAAGAGATGAAAGATTTAAAACACTATATTGCCATTGTTCCATCAGAAGGTATCGAATTTTCTTTATACTTAAAATATTCTTGAGAAAGAAAAGAAAATCAATAGAGAGATGATGAATTTTTAACTTTGAATCATTACAACTTGACAAAGCATGATTTTTGGCTTGTTAAAACATTAAATCTCAAGTTGTTTTTTTTAATTTGTTTTCTCTACTTTGTAGGTGTATAAATTTGATAAAATGATCTTACTTTGTGGATTATCATCTCCCATTTGTGGTGGGTATTCCTCGTCCCAATCCACAATGTCATCATCGCATAGCACCACAATATGACACTCCCTATCTCCACGCTGTAACATTAACATATAACAGAACTGGGTAAAGTATTATCCTTACTGCATAAATGAAGTAAAAATTATCTTCAGAGTATCAAATGCCTAATTTTCTCTCCCCTCCCCCCACCAAGCCCTTTACTAAAACTTATCAAATATAATATGGCCAAAAATATAATTTGATAATTTTCAGTATTTAAATAAAATTGAACTTATAGGTAGGTACATACAGTAGATCAAAATCCAGATTATCTAATGTTTATTTATTAGCCCATAGCTCACTGGTCTACCCATGCAACCAGTGCAGAGTCAAAGGTCAGTCGGCATTGACTTTGTGTTGTCTGGTCAGGATCTACTCTGTTTGGTTTTCAATCAATACATTATTTTGAAATTTTTCTAGATTGAAAGATGTACAAGTACATGTAATTTAAAGTGTTTTTTGTGAAAACTTAACAAGCTTATAGATGATTGTCACATAGCAATCATTAACTTTCCTGATCCCAATTTCAAGGGTCATTTTCAATGCATCATATGCTTAAGACAATTCTACCATCTTCATGAAAACTGATAAAAATCTTTGACATATTGGTGCTAAATAATATTTTCCATTATATGTTTTAAAGATTTTGACTATTCACTTAAAGCAACAGGTTATACTGATTTTTTCATACTTTGTCAATTATATTATATTAATATAGAATACCGACTCCCAAAATGGCTGCACTTTTGGTAAAGGAGGTAAATAATGTAAATATCGGAAACTTTCTTAGGTTCACAAACATATAATGTGCCAGCTAAATATTATACTTCTCAATCCCACCCAAAAAAAGTTAATCCTTTGATAATTTTAGGTACAAAAATGTTTAACCCTTTGACTCTCATCACAGTAAACAATAAATACCTGTGCACACTCGCACATCTGTGGTAGAATCATCTCCTCTACAAACACCTGGAACTGTTGGCGAGCACCTTCATTAGATAACTCATGTAACAAAGATCCTGAAATATAAATAATAGCAGGTAAAGATTTGGGCTTAAAATATTCATCAATCTCTTATTATACATGTGACACAACATGGCATCCATTCCTGCACACACACATACAGACTAATAATATCTGTAATTGTATAAGTTTGTTTTAGGGATTAAACGATGATCGAGTATAATTGAAAATTGATCGTTTATAGAACAGATCAGCAATGATCGATTACAAAGTTTAATAATCGATTATCGGTTATTTATTTTCTTGCTGTTACTTAAGTGACTCACTGTATTATAACAACACTCTAAATTAAAGCCAGCTTTGGTTGAAACAATAATTTTCATTCAAATGAATATGAAAGCATACTGTTGACCATGGAGTTAATAGTTGACAGTGAGGCATTCTAGTTTAAAGATATACTACGCTCAAATTCGACATTAGAAATTATTTAGAATTGCTACACAGTCTATTTGTAAATATAAAATAAACATGTTTTGACTTCGCATTAAGAAGATATGTTATGCATAAAATTATTTAACACACTAAAGGTGGTAACAATATCAGGGCTCACGCTGTCAGTCGCCATAGTCGCCATTTGCGATTATCTTATAAGATTGGCGATTATATTTGCATTTTGGCTACAAAATCTGGCGATTATTTTTTACTTCCAACAGTGTTTATATAAGGTGTACAATCAATAAAGACTGCAATCCCCAATTAACACCTGAGCGGGGTAGATTTAATTGAGTGTCAACTTTTTTATCGGTCACGCATTGCTTACTAATTGCCCGAGGTGATAAAAATACACGCAGGTGATAAAAATACATTGGAGATGTAAAATTGTATAAGTACTTATAAGATATTGTTCCATTATAATAGCCATAAAAAATCCGCCAATAAGCTACAAAAATCGTCTTAAAATTGATAAACTGGATATTGAACAACCCAAAATTTACCGTAAATTGCAGTAATGGCAAATTTTGATTTTTTTCTTTTAAGCTGCTTGACTAAATCGCCAGTGGAAAACAATGATAAAATATTTAAAAAGTATTTACTATCAAACAACTATTTGCACAAAATCCAAAATTGTGAATATTCCTTCAGAAAGCAGAAAAAATCCGATTGTCACATATTTTCGCGACACCGATAATTTTGATATTTATTTAAAGGTGAAAATAAGCTATGTTCTGTTTAAAAATCTTTACTATTATGGCAGAAAATTTGTTTTACATTGGTGATGATGACATTTTTCAGTAAGTTATTCAGGAAAAGACTGCATTCTGTGAATTAGTTTGCAAGTGTTATTTCTATAGCTAGATCTACTCCAGTTTTATGTGAAATGTGGAAATTGACAGTGGTCTATAGCTAGAACAAACTAAAGAAATTGTCTGATAACAGCATTATGTAAAGTTATAATGAATCTTTAATATTATTGTTATACAGTAATTATACTATATAACATTTTTATTCTGTTCTATAATAATTAAAGTTGTGGTTCTATGTAAAAAAGGTAGTTCTGGCTTCCAAAACATTATAAGCCACTAATTTACATTTTTGTTTTTCATCTGATCACGTCATGTCATATTATATAAATGGGTACGATGAAAACCGTAAGCTATAAAAAAGGTAGTTAATATACACAGATGTATCAGTTTATTTGAAATCCTTATAAAACTGAAAAAGTTTTATATGTAATGTTTATTTAATCAACTGCTTATGTTGTTAATCGTGAATAGTCCGCTGAACTTTTGGCTATTATTTTTTTAAGCTAAAAATATTGGCTATTATTTTATTTGAGCCAGTGTGAGCCCTGAATATCAATATTTAGTGTCATTAAAAGAACCTGGCAGTTTTGATAAGAAATGACCAAATTAGCTTGTTCCCATACATAGTTTATTCATTCCTTTATTGGAATTGAGACATAATTTTAATTTTCATAGATTTTAAAGAATTTATTTGATTAAAACATTTTACTCAAGGATGAGCGTAGTATAACTTTAAACTAGTTTATTTCAGTTGATAAAGTGGTAGTTATACAAAATATAGGATATTAATGGAATTCTCAGAATATTAAAGCATGATATGTATATTGTACATATTTACTTTGTTTTTGTAAATGTTTTGATTATATAATCGTTGATTGATCGAAAAGGGTTGTTCAATTATTGTCGATGATCGATTATGATTTTTGTCCGATTAAGAAACCCTAGTTTGTATCGAAATATCAGTCCAGAGGGGACCCACCTATTCCAATCCGAACAAAAAACATGTAAGATATGTTTTCTTGCATATACTACCATATTCCATCATATTTCAAATTCTTAACCCCAATAAAACAATTATCCATGGAAATTTATGTCATTACACCCGTAACTATTTTCTAACAACTTCATTCATAATTGGGATATTATGTCATCTTAAGCATTAAATGACGTCATTTTAACATGGTTCAATGATAAAATGTGCTAAAATAACGCCATTGTATAGCTAGCAACTCATCTGGCACCTCACACCAGATGAAATGTCTGGCATTGGTAAAACTAATGGAAACACCAGTCTGATATGCAAGAAAAATCAAATTCAGCAAGGGAAACAAACAGAGAGACAGTACAAAAACAACATGCACCGCCACTCATTATTTTTCAAAGTTGGACATAAAAACAAACAAAACACATTAGGAGAAGTAATTATTATACTCACTAAGATTTTGACACTTGATTGTCATCGAATCGAAAGGTATGAGCAAGTAGTCACAAGCCTCTCTCAGCTCCTGTATTGATACATTAGGTGGGCATCGAATCACACCTTCACGGTAAAAGTCCTGAAATCATTCATTACCTGTGTACATTTTCTTACATAATATACAAATATTCTAAAACATTTTGTTCACTTAAGACTTTCTATATTGTTCTCTTAGACTACAATACTGAATTTTTCACTCATCAAGTAATTACTTGATAATTGGCCATTTTTTTCGAGTCACATTGACATTGTTAAGGTCATATGGCCACTTTCCAGCATTATTGGCAAAAGATCTCAGGTGCCCCTTTGTGCAGTATTTTAGGCAAGAGTAGCCAATAAGTACACTGGTAAGTTAGCTGGATAGCTTCTCCACATGAAAGAATGCAAAATCCATGGCAGGATTCCAACATATTATACCAGTGAGAGGCAAGTAGTTTGAATTCAGAATGTTCCCTGGGCAACAGAGGCCCCTGCATTGATTTAGCAACTTTGATATTTGTTAATGTTATATTACTTTTCTCATATTTAAACACTTTCTTTGCATTTTTTATAATTATGTTTGTTTATATTATATATGCTTTCACTGTTTGTGGCGAGACATGTAATTATGTTCATGCCTTCCTATGATATTGAATATGAATAATTAATATGCACACACTAACAAAGCTTTATAGTAAGCAATGTCACATACCAATATAGCTCTAAATACAGATGAAGAGAACCCCTCAGCCACCTCATACTCCCCTCTCTCATTGGGATGTGTGAAGTTATGCTCCATTGAAGATGTAAACATTCTGAAATTATATCATAAATCTAAAATCAAATTAAAGTACTTGACACTGTATATCTTTTAATAAAATTTCATTTTTAAGAATAGTACTGACAAGCTGGTGTCACAAAGCCCTTCTGACCTTCCTAAATCGTTCAATTGTAACCAGATTGTCTTATCATGGATGCCTAATTTATTATAATATCTAACCCAAACAATCCCTGAAATTGGACAAAGGACACTTCATTTCATAACAAGGCACACAAAATACTCCATTTAGCTAAAAAGCTGCTAATTCAAATCAAACCAGAAATATGCTAGCTAACATCTTTCCTTACTTGAACTCAATTCTAATATTTCAAAATCGCCTCCTAATAATTCTTGTCGTCAATAGTCTGTTGCAAGCAGACAGGAAGGTATTTTAGATCTCACAGGACAAAATGTGATTTCCATCCAAAAACTGAGAACTCACCTGCCCAACATGGTATTGGGATGTTGTCTAAACAATTCTGGGTCAACAACAAATCTTTTGCCATCAACGAGAAGGGTGATTCTCTCCCCAAGCCTGGGACTCGATGTGTCCCGAGGTTGTCCCATTACTGGCTTCTTGTTATTTAGAACCACAGCATTTTTACAATCTTCTGCAGGGTCATCCATGTATGGTTCATAATTTGAAGCACCATTTACCTGAAAAGACAATTTAAGTGTTCAAAAATGCTTTATTGTCTTGTTTGATTTAAACGGAAATACAATTTTTTTTTTAAATTACATTCACAAGTCTTCAACTTTTACAGCCTTTATATTATTTCTGTACCCTCAAGTATGTTGTAGTACTGATGCAACAATACCAGGGTATCACTAGCCATGAAATCCTAAGTGTCATTTTGACTTAGTTTTACCAACTACAAGGCCAAATCCCCATAATTTTAACAAAATTTGACCCTCCAGTTAAAATCAAGAGGGTTAAATCAGGCCTTTTGGAAATTCGAAGTCTCAAAGAGTCATTTCAAGTGTCAAACAGACATCCTGAATACTCTTTGAGAGTGACACTAGAATTTGATGTTGAAGGCAAAATAAAACAAAACTTTTTCCTTTCCTACAGCAGAGTACAAAGAATAAATTGGAATATAATTTCACTGAAAATATGATAATTATCAGTCTATCTAACTTATCAATAAAGATTTTTTTCACTTCTTTTAATAAAGTATTCCTTCACTGAAGATTAATTAATTTGAATTGACCCGGACATATTCTTTAAAGATTAAAACAGTAAATTTTAAAATCAAATTTAAGTTGGTTTCTTACAGGAAGATTTACTAAGAGGTTGACAGGCACTCTCTGTGATCTAGCCGAGCGTCCAGGAGTTGAGTTAACTGATGACACACTTACATCACCATCGTCATTACTAGAATTCTCAAAACTTGCAGATCTGGCACGATTTACAAGGCAGGGTTTTGACCGAGGGGCACCAAGAGAACTGAAAATAAACAAAAATATTTGAAGTTTACTCTTTAAACATCAAGAACAATACTCCAACGTCTCTGCTTCAAGTGCAAGGTTAGGGCGTGACTTATAAGGCAGGGTTTTAAAAGAGGGGCAACAAGAGAAAACTGACATTGTACAGAAATATTCGAAATTTACACATATAACATTTATAACAATATAAGCAGGACTCTGCCTAAAGTTCAGTATGCTAAGATTGCACATTTGTCATTCTGAATGTAAATTGCAGCAATGCTGACAGTTAAGTTTGAGTTTATTATAACAAACATGTTCCTTTTAAATACAGCAAAGATGGTTAAAAGCGAATAACTCAAACAACTTGAACATTATGCCTAGCAGTCTACCCATTTCTACTTTTATTTCTACATGGGATTCTAAATGAAATGACTTTTTCTACATAAAATCATTTTTAAAAGCAATAATTTTCAGTATTAAATACATGCACAATGTATTGCTGAACATGAAAATATTATTTACTTCTATTTTGTTGTATACGCACCTAGTACGCTTGATACAGGCTTTTCTTCTATCGTCAGTTTCTGAATAATAATCAGTATCACTGCTGTAGGTGTCGTATTCTTCAGCTCTCTTGTGAACCCGTCTATGTCGTGATGCCATGCTACACCAGTTTAAACCAATGTCTGCCTTCTATTATATCTCATCTCCTTCTAGCTAATAAGTTAACCTCAATTCTTAATCAAGATTAACTTTACCTGTTCAAATGAAATAAATATTACATTTTAAGTGCTGACAGAACTCAAAATACTTTCTGTAAAGAAGGGGACACAGGAAAGTTCTGCAATGAAATAAATAATTAAATTCCTAACTAAAAAAGTATAAAAAAAAGGGCGAAGTGTATCAAATCTTAATGAATTTATAATCACTTATTTGATAAAATTAAATGAAACAACATTTTTGTGATAGATGAATAGTCAATGAAAGCCATGTTTTACAAAATATAAAAAACAGTTTAAGAATGTTTTATGGAAGATAAATTTGGGAAATTTAACATTAACTTTTATTAATAAAACACTATCCACAAAATTGTAGTATCAAGTGCAGATGAAAGTCATTTCCCTTGATATCCCAATAGGATGGTAACTGGTACCATTTGTCATGGTTATACTTAACTGACCAGTTAAAAAGATAAATTTACAGATAGCTTTACAATTATGAAAATAGTGCAGCGTGTCAAAAAATCCAGATAACCTGTTATGATTTGAATTTAGATGCTATTCAGGGTTGTCATTAACATTTTTTGCAGAAGGTTTGTTTTGAACTTGAGGCGGTCATTTCTGTCTTTATCATGCATAACAAAGAGTGTTTTCTTAATTTTGAGGCAGCCCATAATGCATTTGAGACAAGCATTTTGGCCTCCTGCCGCCTCTTAATGACAACCCTGCTATTTATGACATTACTTTAATTTTCTTCTTCAAAATAAAATTATAAATAATCAATGTTTACAAAATGTATTATACTGTATCTGTAAACTTCAGGCAATACAAAATAGAATACTTCAGTTTGATTTCTAACTTTTAAAATACAACCATAGAACGCATAACTATCAAAAGGTGTACTGGTAGCTAAAGGGTGGTAGGTAAGAACATACAAGACATGCGTAGCAGTCCAGTAATGGATTAAAATAACATTCTTATAATAAACTATAGTTATCACTTGACATTCACTAAATAATTGATCTGATAAAATCGCTTGAAATAGCTTTTTATAATAAAAATTTAATTAGCAAGTGCTAAGCATCCAGCTAGCAAGATTTAAGAATTCTTGCAACTTTTTTTCAGCCTTGATTTTCAGTGCCAGCTAATGGCTTTATAAGTGTAGTTATTTTAGTTGCTATTTCCTTTCTTATGACCAAATCTCAACAGTCCATAGAAATTTCAATGATCAAGATCTAATTAAATATATGTAATTTATAATTGTTTAATTTTAATATCCATTTGTATTTTCATTCAAAAACTTTCAATCATCACAGCTTTAAAAAATTACAATACATCAACCGCTATAGTAAGAATTTATATAACTTTGTGTTATGCTTCTTTTCCATTAGCCATATAATGATATATAGGGTTCTCACTAGGACTTTAAAACATGGAGTCCATGGACTCCCAACCATGAAAAAGTTGGAGTCCAAAAGCGCGTCGCAATTAATATGTTTACAGATTAGTCATTCAATGCTCACAATAGCATTGCTGATATTTTGAATCTTCAAAAGACTTCCAAAGTTTATAGTTATTCAAAAGAAACTCTGAACAACATAGTATAATTATTGTTTTGTTGTTAATATTTATTATGAAATTATCTTATTATAATGCATCAACACATGGAAATCGTTTTTTGTTGGTTTTTTTTTTCACTTTTATACCAAATTAAATTTTATTCTGACTCTAAAGACAAAAAGTTTATATTTGTAAAAAAAAACGTTAATGTATACAGGCAGCGTTTAGCGGAATGAATAGGAGAATCGTGTACAGCTTCACACAGTGTGTAAGAGATTCATCAGATCGACATTATTTTAGCAAATATCTTTAAAAGGGGGCAAATTGAAATTCGATATTTAAAGATTTAATGTTGATTAAATATTAAAGGAACAATTCATTCGCATGTTTGGCTTGGAAACCGAGAATTTTTGCGAAATTTTAGGGTTTCTGGCGAACGTGAAATCGCCGATGTTCGGGACCAATTTTCGGATAGAATCTAAATATCAACGAAAAGCGTATGTGTATTTTGGTTTGTTGTCCTGGCATTTCGGCAATTAAATTCTTAATACTCTTATAAAAAGTTTTTGCAAGAATGAAACTTAAGCAAAATTGTGCGTAGAAAATGCCGAAAATATTCGACAATCATTCAAAATTACACTCATTTGTAATTTGAGAAAACAGTCTTTAAACTTGCGGCGTAAATAGTCGATAGTTTTATCCTTTTGTCGGTAAAATTTGCTAATTTCCAATCAACTGTTGATCAAAGATATAAAATTATCACCTCGTGTTATATCTGGTAATTACATGTACTATACAGCGCGTGTCTGATCACTATTGCGTGATAATGATCGGAAGCGTTATCGCTGATTGGCTAATCGCTTCACGGGTCGATGTGCATAGGACCGCCTACCTATAGACTGACACGCGCTGACGCATTTGTGTATTTGCGGTTGTAAACAATCGGTAATGTTTATGCGTCCCCAGGCAAAATTAAGCGTACGTGGAATCCTTGCTCTGAAATATTTGCGTCCAGCTGTAATAAACATGCGTACCGGGACGCCGAAATAAGCGTCCCCGAGAACCCTGTATATACTGTGATGCAAAATGAGATATGCTTGTAAATCTACTTAAGAAATAATATTGGTCTGAGCGGTGTTTGTTTGTTTTTGGGTTTTACGTCACATCGACACAGTATAGGTCATATTGCGACGTTCAAGCTTTACTGGTGGAGGAAGACCTCAGGTGCCCTTCCGTGCATTATTTCAGGCACGAACAGGCACCTGAGTAGAACCACCAACGTTCCGTTAGCTAGCTGGATAGCTTCCTCACATGAAAGAATCCAAAGTCCCTGTCGGGATTCGAACCCACAGCGGTGAGGGGCAAGTGGTTTGAAGTCAACGACCTTAACCACTCGGTTATCAGTTTTTTTAACACCAGTTTGGAGAATTTTGATGCATAGTAATTGACCATGATGGCGGTATAGCTAGGACTTTTGGCTAGAAGTCAAAGGAATGCATATCTAGTGGATAGAAGCTTGTCACTTATAAATTATTTCCAAAGCAATTTCTATTAAAATTTAGTCAGATCGACAAATTTAGACAGTAAAACTGATCCATGACATAATCCTTTATTAAACAGTTGCAAGTGTAATTTGATCAAAGTAAATAACTAACATATTATATTCAATACAAACTGTGCAATAACATGGAATTTAAAAAATGCAAAAAAAAACAAAGCATGCAAACAACAACAACAAATTGATTTGTCAAATTTCAGAATTTTCAAGAAGTTCTAGGAAAAACATGATGTCATAGCCTAACTAGACAATGAATGCTGCATTTTTCTACATGTTTCCATAATCAACAAGGTTAAATTCAAATACATTTCGCCAAAGATTGAGGTTTTTAATCCAATGTTTTTTATTTTTTGTTATTACGCACCATTTTAGTTGAAGGATTGTGGGTAATTTTGTATTTTCTGCATGGTGTGAAACTTAGTAAATCGATTTAGGTTCAACACTACTAAATATTTAGGTTTCTCGGTATTATTATATATCATTGATCCAGATAGAATATGTTAAACAATATGAAAAACAATCATGTATTTCAAGCGTAAGACATCTACTATGCAAACATAATAACTTAATCTTTTAATTAGTATTTCACGTTGGATATGTATTAAAAAATCTGGATAAAGTGTGATCCCTTGGAAGCATTAACAATGACAAAATATGATAAACAAGATCATCAAGGAAAGGCGGCGTTCAACGAACGCAGCCCCCACCCGAGCCAGTGGCAAGGAGCCCAGGAGGACCCCAAACAAAAACAGGGAAGGGCATAAGGCAGAGTACGGGCAGGCAAACCACTACCTAAGAATAAGTAATTAGAAACTGATAAGGAACTAAAAGAAAACAAATAAATGATTGAATATTAGGCCCATAAAGTCAAAAGGCATAGGGGAAGGGGACACGAGACCCGGGGAGGAAGGAGATATAAATAGAATAAATAAAACATAGGGGCAAAGGGGAAGATACTTACCGTAGACGAGAAAACAACAAGAGACACAAAAGTGTCACCGAAACAGTATCAAACAACATAGACAAACATCTGAGGAACACAGAGGGGCACCGCCTTGGAACGGTCAGCAGCATAAATACTGCTGGGGAGTTTAAACCGGTTAATGGTGCACCAAACCTCGATCTTAGCCCCACCATGTTCCTATAAACAAGACAGTGTAAATAAAATGAATCCCCGCCAAGTGAAATTCTAACAGTTGTTATGGTTACAAAAGATTAAATAAGTAAAACACTAATTAAAATGATCATGTAGAAACATATAAAAGTAAACCCAATGACTATTACAAAAGTACTCGATGTCTTTAAGGAAGACAGAGCAACAAGAAAATCACCTACAAGGGCCCGACGAAGCAAGACAGAAGACAAACATTAAGGCAATTCAGTCCCAAAGGGCTTTAAGAACTGTCCATCATAGAGTCTCCCACTTGGTCCGTCAGATGTAATCAAAAGAGGAAAGCGTAGCGTCCAACTGTAAATGTGTTGAACACTAAGCATGCGGTATGTCTTAAAATAGTAGGGTCATAACCCCTTTTAATAAAACGTTTAATTAATTTAGTAAACACAACAGATAAATTACAATGACCTAAGATCTTACGAAGTTTGTAAACAACATCCCCGTAAAAGTCAGGCTGGCTAATCCCTTGTCGCAGAAGTGTTTTTAGATCACTATTGAATTTTGAAATTAAATCAAAGTTACGATTGTAAAATTTTGTAAAATATTTACGTAATTTATAATAGCGGTAGCCCTGTTTGAGTAGCTTACCGGTAATGAAAATATTTCGCTCGTTAAAATCCTTTACGTGGCTACAAGCCCTAGCGAATCTAATTAACTGAGATATATAAACCCCGTAAGATGTTGCATGCGGTACGTCTCCATCCAAATAAGGATAATTTACTATACTAAAATCAAAGTCATCTCTTTTATCATAGATTTTCGTGTGAATAGAATTGTTTTTGATAGTGATATGAAGATCCAAAAATGATGTAGTTAAATTTCAAGAATTTGTTTTATTAAGTTGTAGCTCAGTAGGATAAATTTTAGACACCATTTGATCAAAATAAGAATTATCTAAATTAAAAATGTCATCAAGGTATCTGGAAGTGTTATTAAATGCTGATATAACCTCTTGTTGTGTATTCTCAGAGAGACTCAACATAAAATCTCTTTCATAGCAATATAAAAACAAATCGGCGACCAGGGGTGCACAATTAGTACCCATAGGTATTCCTATTATTTGTTTGAATAGGGTATTACCAAACCTGACATAAATATTGTCTAAAAGAAAAGAGAGTGCTCTACAAACTTCGTCACAGGTCCACATAGTATACTGTTTTACAATACAGTTTGTAAAGAAGGCTTTTTGAGAGTTACATGCAAGAAATGTAACTTTTTCCCGTGCAAAGGTTTTCTGAATAAGGGAAATTAGTTTATCATGAATTAAATTATGTGGCAGTGTAGTGTAAAGAGTAGAAAAATCGTATGTACTGAAGACTTGCTTTAAGACATTTCAAAAAGGATATATTACTCAGTACAGCTTTTCACTATTTTTGTACCAGCAGACAAGGCGGTTAAGAGCGATACTCAATATTCAACACTTAATAGTGCTTTTATCAAATCAAATCAAATCAAATCAAAATTTATTTATTGTTGGTATATATATAACATTTTACAAAACATAAGCTATGTATAGCTTTTGACCGACATACATGCATATAAACATAAAACTCATAAAAGAAGCACATTATGATAATCTTTTAAAAGAAAGACAAATGGTAAAAAACAAGTTAAATTAATGGTTATACTATAATGTGGGATGTAGACACTAAATGTAATAGTTTAAAGTAAAATAATAATAAGCAATAAATAATATTGACATGCTAGGGATAACATTTAAATTACTGTAATATAAGTGAATATATAATATATATCTAGATAAAAAATGCGGAACATATTAGCTCATACATAAAATAAGATTAAATTAAAAGTTGGATTCTGCTGATCTTGTCCCAGGCCTAAGGACTGTTATAAAACAAAGAAAATAAGATATTGAAAATGAAAAGGATCACAAAAGTGTGACCACTAAATAGGTTTTAAAAAGAAAAATCCCCAACTCAAATTTGGCAAGAAGTGATCAGCAGCCTCCTCACAAGCTGGCAATAAGCAAACAAAATTCAAACACACTGGAAAAACAAAATAAACATTTATGTTGAGAATATTAACAAAATTTAAGCCAAATGTGATACAAGCAACTTTAAAGATACATGTAGGTATACAGCAAAACAAAAGAAATCAGGCAGGAAACAAGACTGAAGATGGAGCTAAACTATAATGCAGGTTTATAGACAGAATTAGTACATGAGCAACTCTCTCCATTCCATGCACCAATTAAATTTAAGTTTTGAATTGGTCATAATTCACTTACAGTCTGAGGTGTTGGGGAAGTGAATTCCATAGTTTAGGTGCATATATAGGAACGAACACACGTTTATTTAAATTATTTGAACAGGAATAAAGAATATACAACATGCCAGATAAAATAATATGAAATTAAGTTATATATTCTCAAAATAATTCATCGATAATGGTCTCTTAATAGACTATAATTAATTAGCGCAGTATATAGTGATAAATCTACAAGTACTCTAATTACATGTTACTGTTCCATAGAATAAAAAGTATCTGCCATAATATTTGTGATTATATATTTCATAAATTCATAAAAAATGCGTATGTGCGTATCAAATTAAATTTTATAGGCCTATCAGTGTCCTTGATCGATATATATCATACGTTGTAAATTAAATAGTGAATAAAGTTATCCTGGTGTGACCAAAGATAATTATTTAGGACAATAAATTAATGTTAATGTTTTTATTTTATTTTTTCTTAATATGAACAATGCTATTTTTGTTTTAAGAGTTTATTACCCATTTGACATATGTATCGTTCAAAGTAACATATGGAGTACTTATGCTATGCTTTCATGACTGTTCTGCTAGGCGCTGTATCCCAAATATTTTTTACGCTCAATATAATAATATATGTACTTTGTTAAAAATACATTTATGAATAAACATTTTCGAACGCTTACAAAGATCCATGCATATTGCTATACAGTATTTTTAACTCGCATTTTTTTCTACTAGGTCAAAATGTAGTACACGTACGTTGTACATAATAAACTTTGCATATTAACAGAAAATATTATAAATAATTGATTTAAGCCGTTTTATTACTCCATATTATTCCAAAATTTACGAATGGTTCCTTATAGGGGAAATACTTTGAAATATATACATGTTTTGCTAAAATATTTAGCCTTGTATTCCACGATTACCATATATGGTAAACGACTTGTTTATCGACCGTCTATAAAAAGATCTGACGGACAGGTATACATGTACTAAATTTCCCAGGGTAGTTATTCGCGTTTACTGAATCATTTGAGTGGTGGACGTTAAAGTGTTGACTAGCATAAAGGTAAAATTTATTATCTCATTAAATTTCGTTTTCTATTATTAGTTTCTAATTATATTTTACGTTTTTTTTGCATATCACTAAATTGCACTATATATTTATAACAAGTATACTCTATTTTTAGTTACACTTACTTCAGGGTTTAATGCTGGTTTGTTTAACCTATTATGTAAAATTGATCAAAATTTTAACTTTTGGTTAAGGCAGTTGCACACTAAACTATATAGTAGAGATAGATCACGTGAGCAGCTTGTATACTGACTGATAAAAAGAGTATGCTCTTCTTAATTATATGTTTATAATTTTCTTAACCAGTCAAACGTAAACGTCCAATAACAACAACATGTACATTATCTCTAACATTTATTTACGCTATTCGCTAAATAAAGTACATGAAGCTTCATCAGAATAGAACGGGCGTTACGTCATATAAACATTTGAGGCTTTTCTACATTTTTAATGTATAGATCTATCTTCAAAATCAAGATTTGTATTACCTCGACATGATATTTATTATCAATATGTGCTTAATGCAAATAAAATTATTCAGCACGCTCGTTGACTTGAAAAATAGTTATTGAATCGATCACACTTAAAAAAGAATGCAATGAAGTATCTAGATTCACTTAATTATAATATCACACACTCATTAAAACAAATTACAAATTGTTCATGGCATGATCTTGTTTATTGATTATAACATGTATGATTTGTGTTTTTATTTCTGAAAGATCGAGCAGTTTGCAGTGTTTAGATGCACAATTGCCTGGTTACGCAAGATTTAGGTTAACATACCCTTGGGAACAGTTTACATTTCTGCATGGTAGTCAAATAATGTGACGTTTTGTGATAGATTCTGAGATAATTTTTAAATCTAAAAATCTACAATAATAGCCAGAGAGGCATTTTGATAACCTAACGAACACTGAGGAAATCCAGTCAGCTTGCCAAAATAACCTTTAGATATTTTTAGAAATTATCAACACTCCTGGAATGCTACCTAGCTTGAATATACAAATGTGTACATACCGTCTGCATATGTTTTTTATTATTGAGCCGTGTCACGACAAAACCAACATAGTGGGTTTACGACCAGCATGGATCCAGACCAGCCTGCGCATACGCGCAGTCTGATCAGGATCCATTCTGTTCGCTATCAATTTCTCTACTAGTTATAGGGTTTGTAAGCGAACAGCATGGATCCTGATCAGACTGCGCGGATGCGCAGGCTGGTCTGGATCCATGCTGGTCGCAAACCCACTATGTTGTTTTTGTCGTGACGCGGCTCAATTATGTTTTTATATGTGTTTTGTAGAATTCAAAGATGTCAGAATGGATTAAAACTGAACGTGGTTGGGTATTACGACAATTAGAGTATGTAGAATATGCAGCGATGCAGGAACAGAAAATTAATGCAAAGTAATTACTATAGTTATATATTATTATTACTTATATATTGAGTCCAACTATTTCATTTTTTAAATGATAAAACAATACTATTTTTAACGATCTAATGGAAATAAGCTATCTTTTCAGAAATTATTTCCTATATTAATCTACAAGATGAAGTTGATGTTATGGCTAATGAGGCATATTGCAATATTGAATTTTAGTGATGGTGCAATAATTCCAGTAGTTTGACATTGATTTTGTTTTTCATGTGATGATGATGATGATGATGATAAAGATGAAGATGATGATGATAAAGATGATGATGATGAAATTACGCAAGAGATGTCAATATTGAAACATTTTCATCTAACCAATAGACGATAAAATGTCAACATAATAATTTTCTTTTATATATAGGGTAGTTCCGGCTTGTAACCGCGAGGTCAGCTGCTCGCGTAATGTTATGGTCAGCGGCACTAAAGGAAACCGGAAACTGTCCGTCTGTGTGTCAGAGTTTATAGAATATATGGAACTGATGTCTGCGATATTTGACGTTCGCAAAAAGGAATATCTTAATGATGTAAGTTGTTTTATCACAAATTAACGTAAAGTTATTAAAAGTAACGAAAACTGGACTGTTATTATACACCGAAATATGAAAAATATGCAAAAGACGCTGATAAGAAAATATTAAACGATTTAAACGGCTGAAATGGAGCGACGTAATCTTGAGAGAAATAGATTTCCAGGTTAGGGCATCGTCATTGGATGAAAAAAAATGTAGGACAAAGACGTAAAATGTTATTTTTTATGAAAATCATCTTGCAGAACCGTAATCTTCACAATAGTTATATATTTTTGCGTAAATGAGTGTGGCGCTGTTATATGTCGCAACGACACTAAATGTCGCACTTGCCGCCTTAAGTCGCACTAGGCCGCTAAATGTTGCATCTCAAAAAAAAGTAAACATAGTTATTCAATTCAATATTTAACATGTGAACAATATTTACGAAATACAATTGGGACTGGGCTTTTAAATATCGCAATTATGACGTCATTTGTCGCCCTATTTGTTATTACCAGTTACAACTAAATAGGATTTTCACTCGGACAAAATACTAATATCAGCTTTGTAACTCTTATATAGTGAATAAAATAACTTTATTTTCTTGTAGTTAATGGGATTACTGATGACAAAAGGTCTTAGTAAAGTAAGTGGCTGCGCTCAAAGGCAAATCTTCAAAATTCTAGAGGCCATTGTCAATGAAGGTAAGTGTGTGTGAGACCTAGATTTTAATGTTTCCGCACGTGGTACACTTTGCATGCAATCGATTATACCATTAGGATGTACCTCCTCTATTCTAAGAGAGAGTCTAACGTACCATTAACCTTTAACTGTGTGACGTAAAAGGCACTACAATGCTAGTAACTTTCTCATGGCACAAACTGATTTTCAAAGGTGCATGTATTAGATCTCCATATACATATTTACATTTTATTCTAATGATGGCAATTAAACGTGGAATTGTGTCCAGTATTTCAGATGTAATAATTCAATTTGTCACAAAATGATTATAATAATTATAATACTGCACGTTTGTAACGTCGCTTTTCATTGGATAACCGGGCCATTTATAAATATAAATTATATAGACGGCTTCTTTAAATAATGAAGCAATTTCATGCTTTCCTCTAGAAAAGGAAGTTTGCTGTATAATAAATTCGTTATAAAGATTTTGATAGGTTATATGGATTTATATTAACGGTTCTCTCGCCTGGCGACACGGATTTATACAAACAGCCGTTTATATAGGGCCATATAACCTGATAACAACATGATAAGTCTAGGTGGCCCTAGCATATTCCGTTGAGTAAAAATAAACTTCTGTATTACAGCAATGCATACAGAAACGAACGTTGTCCCTGTGAAAAAGTTACTGGTTTGTACTATGAAATCCATGACTGATCAAACTGAAGAACGAATAGGCTCGAAATCCCTCTGGAACAGACATATAAAGACTGTGGCAAATATAAGCACGAAGATGGACCAGTACACTGTGTCAGAGGTAAGCATTAATTAAATGAATAGAAAATGAGAAATTACTACATGTACCAGAAACGCGTCAAAGTTAAGACAATGTCACTGTTGCAGTATATATAATGACTACAGAGTAACATTCTTATGGTGTTTAAAATGCTAAATAAAATTAAGAGTAGGAACTGTGAAATCATCAAAGCCATTTAGATTTTGTAAAGTTAAAGCCCCTAGATTAAAATAATGAGTCTCTTGTATGGTTGCTCATAACCAGTTTGATTTGTCAAGTGATTCGCTGAAGGTTTGCTTTATATCCACGGCCATTTTAATTGAATTGATAGGATGAGTATCTTGCCATAGACAAATCAACGGCTGCCACTCTCGGCGCCATTTTGATTTTTGGGGCCGCAAGGTTCAAGGAAGATGATATTTAATGACGCTTTAATATTAAGCGAATAACAGCCAATTTAATACATGTATATACATTTGATAAAAATCGTTATGACAGCTGAATCTTCGACACACAGCCATGGTTAAAACACGATGCTTGTTATTTCAGAGAGTTGAAGATGGGCTGCCAACGCTTACAGACCTGCCTAAAGAATGCATTCGTGAGATAATGCTGAGACTTACCGACCACAAAGACATTATAAACCTTGGTACAAACATTTATATACCAAAATTACATAATATTAAAATGGTCCTCACTTGTTTATAGCGTACTCGGATATCGCGAACACTCCGTTATGACGAATACTTCTTCTACGTTCCAACTTTCCTTGTTCTGTACCTTATTTTTAAATCATTGTTTATAGGACCCCTGCTTCATGCATTTACCTTTGTAAGAATCTGTAGCAAAGTGTGAAAATCGATTTTATTACATATAAGTTTCAATTCAAATATCTTTTTGGATCACAGAGATGCCTTTTACCTGCTTTTGTCATTTGTTTTACCTTTTTATAGTACATTTGTCTTATTTTTGTTGCAATTCTTTACGTACATGTTTTTGATGGGTTTTTTTTTGTCTTTTTTTTAATAAATTCCCATCACCATTATACTTATATGGGAGAGAGATAAAGTTAACCTTTCAAACTAGCCAGTTGAGTAGTTTTCTGATCTGTTTTGACATAATTCATTTTATCTACAATATACCATTATTTTCAAACAAAATGCTGAGGAAATTATAATTTGATTATATTTTTCTACCCATGGGTTTATTTGTTGATTGTTTATACCTTTTCAGGAAAGACGTGTTCCGATTTATATTACATGACTCAAGATAGCTCTATATGGCAGAAACTCGTGCAGTACCATTTCACGGAGAAACAAATGTACACATTCATAGAAGATACAGAATACATTGACACCAGTGCATCAGTTTGGCAACAATTACATGCCAAATGCTCAAAGTAAGTAAATTGTTATATTGCAATATTTGCATTTATAATGACCTACATATATAACTAACAGTTAAACAAGTTATTTTGACTTTCGCGTTCGTTGTCCCCTTAAATTTATAGTAATTTAACTAATCTTGTTTCTTGGCCGAAAGCTTACCACTACCTCCAAAAATTGGCATCTGAAAACTGAATTCGATAGAACCTAGAACAAAAAAGATATTTTAATGCCAGGTAGGACTTGCAAGTTGTAAAAGCCTTTTTGAACTTTGCGTAGATCAATCGTTCTTTTATGAATCGTACATGTATTGCATTAAATATTTTCACACTTTCTTTCAGAAAATATGGTTTAAAGAAGAAATACACAGACCAGTTGGTTATCTGCTCGGCGTGTAAAACTTTGCATTGGATGGTATGAAGCATTTCAAAATTTAAAATATCAAGTTATCCTTTTTAAACTGCGAAAATTGATAGTACCGGCTTTACCTACTGTGTTATAACGTGTTGTCATATTGTCCTGTTTATCCAGTAGCAAACCTTTTTTTCGTATATCCTCTTTCCGTGTGAGACGGAAGCCTGTATGTGGCACCGAAATAAAAAGATGATAAATATCCAGTAAATATCCAGACCATTTGTGTACTTATTTTTGTCATATTATTTTTACTTAGTTATTTCGTCCTTATATTATATATATTTTATATGATATTATCTAAGGCAAAAACACTTAATTAATCTACTCGTGAATATAATTTTAACCTCAAGATGGTGTTCCATACAGTTCTTTTTATTTACGATAGTATTTTGTTTATTCTAACGATAATTCATAATTGGTCTATTTTTTCAGATGAATTCTCATATTTGCTGGAGCTCAGATCAAGATGTAGAGGGCGTTTATTTGGAGCCAATCAGTCCTAAAGAAATCTTCTCCATATTTTTTGGTACCCCACGTTCTTGGGGTGAAATTTATCAATAAAGTTTTTACTGGGGGTGTGTGTGCACAAACTATCAAAGAACATACTGAATGTTGTAAATAGAGACAATAATGTGACTATCACGAGCTACATAGACACAGTCCCTGTTTTAATCCTAACACTGGTAAAACCTTGACCCTCTCACGTCTAGTTTTGTTAAGTAGGTTAAGCTTTCCAAATACAGTAAATGTAGATATTCTGGAGTGTATTTTGGAGCGGAAGAGTCGGACGTAGGCGAAGAAGAAATATGAAGTATACCAGTCTTTGTGCAATAGTGCCACTGCATACTTTTATCAGTAGATTTTTTTTATCTAAAAGTATGAACGTCAAATGTTACATGCACCATGCTTATTGAATTGATTGTTTAATATACAAAACACAATATTGTTCACATTCACTGCATACTTTTACTGTTATTTAAGTTCATCTTGTACAAAAAGATAGGGCAAGTTTACATGAACATGTAATTTATTTCTTTTAATGCTTCTGTTGTTGTTGTCATTATTGTTGTTGTTCATATATAAGTCACACTTTAAGTCACACTTTCAGTTTTTATACATTGCACTTTATTTTGATATTGGAAATAAAGATAGGTCTCAAACTTGTTTTATGTTTTTATTATAAGCGCTCTTTTTCAGGACACTTGTTTCCATAATAAAACATTTATAATGTCCTCAAACCTATAGACTCCAACATAATAGTATGTATGTAATGTATAAGAACTATAGTAACTAATGCAAATGTTACCTTCAGATTTTTGAAAATTTAATTTCTAAACTTGCAGTGCAATTCTGTGTTCCAATGCCAGTGGTGCCTAGGTCGAAGTAAACTCCACTTATAACGATACCGCTTATAACGATATACCGCTTATAACAATATTAATGCTGTTGCGGCCGTCCCGTTACGATATAAATACGGCGGTCCCCTGAATATCGTTTTAAGTGGATTTTACTGTATGGTGGCCGAGATAAAGTAAACTCATAAAAAGTATTTAATATTCTTGTCTATTCTTTGAAGAATGACATATCGCTCAAAATGCTTTCATTATTAATTTATATAATCTGTGTCTGGGACAATCCAAATGAAACTGCTAATTAATTTCAAAATTTACAATCATGGGCGTCCGTTGCCGCTTGGTTAAGGTCGTTGACTTCAAACCACTTGTCGCTCACCGCTGCGGTTTCGAACCACGGCAAAGACTTTGGATTCTTTTATGTGAGGAAACTACTAGCATTCAGCTAGCTTACAGAACGTCGTTGGTTCTACTCAGGTGCCCGTTCGAGCCTAAATAATGTACGGAATGGCAACTATAAGGTCTTCCATACTAGTAAAGCTGGGAGGTCGCCTTATGACATATATTGTGTCGATACGACGTAAAACCCAAACGTAAATGCGTCCGAAAAAGGGAAATTGCAAAAAATACACAATGACTGCACAGTCTTACAGTTATAAAAAAATGAAATTTAAGGTCAAGCGTTTTGAAATTTCATACATGTATATCCAATAGCACGGATATCAAATTTCCGATGTACATTAAATTAGTTGCATCATTTACTCTACTCTAACACAACCGACGAGAACGCGGTTATAACCTTATGTACTACTTAATTTGTAAAATTGGCATGCCCATCCTTGTTTTGAACTGTAAAGTAAAGGGCCAACACTTCGATAATAGGGTCTTAGGGCGTATCGCCTTTGATATAGAAAAATCTGGGGGGGGGGGGGAGTGATTCATCGGAAGCATTAAAATCAGCATAATTACATGTAAATTGCAGACTCGGTTTGATTGAGTCTGTAAAATAAGGGATAATGAAAATTGCAACATCTCTCACGCCCCTAGCACCAGCTTGAGCGCTACTCAATTTTCAACACTTAAAAGTGCTGGTTCTCGAACGACCAGAAAAATATAGCATTGAAGTGAAGTACGGGCAACTTTTTACGGTTGCCACACGGCGCTCGATATACTCAAACATTGTAGGAAGATTCAAAACCCGGAATTATTCATACATGTTGTGATGTAGTTTATTTACAACTTCTACCGTGTTCAACTGTTCTGAATAAACTAAAATTACCGGGTATTTTGATTTTTAAAGAGGGCTCTTGTGCCTCACAGACCCTGTGTAGTGAAGTACGTACTGTTCTTGGACATTTTCAATTTTCAATATATAATTATCTTAATAAAAAACTTTGAATCACAGGCACGGATTCAAAATGATTCATTCTGAAGCCTTGTCCTTCGTTGTAGAAGGGAACTCCTCTGCTTCCGGTGCATTTCTGATGAACATTTTAAAATAAACTTTCCTATATGTCCAAAAAGTTTTCAAGTTTATTACATGCAGCAAAGGCGCCAGAAACTATTCTTTCATTGGCATTTTATACTTACTTGTTATATGTTTTGTATGTAATTTTCAGAAGTGTTATTTATTTATTTTTACACATACATTGACATAAATAATGTTCAATATATGGGACACCGATTCATTAACAGAAATAATATCACTAGTTTTAGTTTTGAACCTGAAACACCAAATTTTAGTAACCATTTCATTATATCTAAACAATAAAAATGGCAAGCAATTTCAAATTCAATGCGGGTTCATGTGTCCTTTCAGGATGACGGTGCTAGTGGAGTACGTACTCTGTATGGACAAGGAACTATACAATGCTAATTTTTCAAGCTTTTGAGGATTTGGGATGCTTTTCAGTTAAAATTTTACATTAAATTTCATTATCTGATGTAAGTGAAAGCTTAAACATGCAGTAACATAAGATAATGTACATAGATCATTACCCCTGGCCCCGTGTTCACTAAGAAAAGATCAGGATCAGGGTCCAGTGATCCTAATTTTATTTTCATTGTTTTATGTTACTAAAATTAATCATGTTTTGCTAGAATTAAGTGGTAAATATTCAAAATGTAAAAAATTGCTGATTTGCACAGAAACCAAACTATTTTGGGATAAAATCAACAAATTACGAAACAAATACAAAAATATTCGGATCAAAATAAGGATCAATTTTAGGATCAGGATCAATATTTGGATCAACTGTAAAATGCCCGTATCTTGCAAAAATAACAATAAATTTATTCTAAAATTTCATAAACATGCGTTTTCAAGTCTAGTTTTATCAAGTAAATGTTCAATATTGATCTATGAGGATAAACAATGGGGAATCTTTGAGTTTTTAAATTTGATCCTGATCTCGATCCTTAAATATTGATGAACACGGGGCCTGATGTTAGCCCTTGCAAAGCCTCTATTGCAGGTCACAGACTATGTTATCTTATAAACGGATATTTAGCGCAAAACCTCTGAGGCATCTTGTCCTTTAGCAATTAACAAGAATTTTCGTACTTATTAAACATTTTTTTTGCTTATGATCAATCATTGCAATGGCTAGCTTAAAATATATTTTAGTATTTATTTCCCTTTTTGTAATAAAAAAAACCCCATCAAACCATGCAATGGATGTTGGTTATCCAATGTATTCTTCATATTAAAATATTTTAAAATACCTGAAAGTCAATATAGTATTATTATAGATGTTGAAATATGATTTTTTTTCAAAACGGCTTATATTAAGTTTTTTTGATATATATGATCAGTACATGTGCTAGGATTGACAAATATGCATTTTATTTGGATTTTAAAGGCGTTTTGAGCTCCAAACCCCAAGTGTCTGTGATCTGTCCCAGGATCAATTAATGTTTATAATAATAAATGTAAAGTTAGATTAATATGTACAGTCCACCTTATGTCGTGTGCACATGATAAATTCATACATGTTAACACGGATTTATATTACATTAATATAAATCCGTGATATTTACTAGATATCGATGTTTAAATTTTTAAATACAAATCTGTTCAATATGAAAATGCTTAAATATATGACATGTTTAGTAATGAACTTTAATATAAAACAAAATGAAATTGCAATATTAAATTTTAAAATATGCAAGGTCCGCCTCGTCTCCAGGTACGGTCCGCCTTGTCCCAAAATATGGTCTGCCCCGTCTAACTTGGTACGGTCCGCCCTGTCTCACGGTCCGCCTTTTCCTAAGAGCATTCGGAATATCTCTACGATGATGGTGGCCGCTGATATTCAAACATGTAAGAACACATAGCGACAGACTAAACAGTGAATTTATACAGAATTAGGTGTAATAGCATTGCTTCTTTACTTGCATTTAGTTAAAATATATATTTACATAATATCCGAGTGCACAATTCTACTGTATATGTTTGATTTTCCCGGCAAATCTGTCTTAAAAAATCTCCTTAGTTGAGTAGTTTTCGGATATGTACAATATCCGATCAAAACAAAGTTAAAATGGAGTGTTACGAATAAAATGAAAAAAAATAAATTGTTATTCATTTGTAATTGAATTAACAAAAGGAGACAATTTCAATTGTCACAAAGCTATTAATTAACATTATTATATGGAATTTTGATTAATCTTAATCTTTTGATTTTATAGATTATATAGTCTTTATTTGACACAATAATTTGTGTGTTGCCCAAGCCTCTAGGTAAAGCTGCCATTGAAATCAGTACAAAGCATATTGACGATTCATCGAGGACAGATATCGGCGACACACCAATATATCAATAAATACTCCTAATTTTATCAAATTGATGTAAATAATTCAAATTCATACTGCAAAGGGTCAACTCCACTACATTGTTTACCAACTTGGCACGGATCAACTGAGCCCTATAATAGAAACCTATTATGATATTGATTGTTTTGTTTATAAGTTTTTTAAGGAGTAAATAACTATACAATCATTCTGATTTAGAATCACCAACAAATAGAAGAAGTTGGCCGCGCATAAATGTTTGAAATTATCTTTGTTAAGAAGTCATATCAAGACATGATGTTTTTATTATTGAATCATGAATTGAATTTTGTGACAATAAATGTAATCATATTAAGCACTGGTTTTCTTTTAATCACCCAATGCTGTTTGAAAAAATATCTGAAGTAGGCAAAACCATTGTCAATTTTTGTTACTATGTAACTTTTAAGTGCTTTATCAGATGAGCATTTGTTAATTAGGTATTAAATAGAGGTCTGATTTACTCTATCATTCATTTAGCAAAATATTTCTTTTCCAGAACTAGAATGCTTTGAAGAAGACAAAATTTCAGAAAATGAGTCGCAATAATAAAAGACAGTCTAAAGATTTTGATCGGCAGTTTGAAGCGTTTTTGAAAGAGGTAAAGTTGTAAAAATTGATAAAGCAACCATTATACTAAACTTTCTGTGTGATTAAATAAAAATATGATTATGGACAACAGCTAGGTTTACCTCTTTTCCTGCCAGAACTAAAAATGATTATCCTTTGCCACCAGTATGGAGCCAGATTAGCTGCACTTCCGTGCAGTCTGACCAGGGGCTATCCTGTTTGTAGATTAATTTTTGTATTTTGATATTGAAATCCCTTAAAATTGAATGGTTTAAATAGAGACTGTTCTAAATAAAAGCTGGACAAATCCTTTACACACATTCAGCAGAATAATGGTCAATGTTTTTTGTTGTAATATTGGAACTAAGAGCATGTTTATATTGTAGAAAAAATAAATATGAAGCCAACAATTTGATTATTGCATGAATTTCCTACATAAGTTGACAATATTTCTTTATGCTTGATGTAATCTTCAATGATTAGAATATGTAAGAGCCTAGAAGTTTGCAGAGTTGTCATTTGGTATTTTGTTCAAGTCAATATGTGGCTGCTGCCCTTTCCATGGGCTCTTCCACCATTCCCTACCTTTAGCTTTTATTTTCTGTTAGAAAAACAATTCTGTGTTGTTTCAAACTATGTATTTCAGTAACTTAATTTTAGAAAAGTGCATCATATTACTGTTAAGCCTTTTTTAAAACAGCGTCCCGAGAGCTATTTATAACATGTCAGTGATGTTCTTTGTAAAAACAGATAGGAAACAATTGTCCGCTTTACTTATTTAAATGTAGAGAGTGGTCCAGTAGATTAGAGGGTTTCCTTGTTGTTTAATAAAAATTATGTATTTTGTAGTCTGCACCTTTCCACCTTAATTCTTTTGATTTGACCTTTAAAGGTTTAATCTTAAAATGACATATTTAAGGTTTTACTGTTAGAAAAGCTGAAGGCTGCTTTAAAAGTGAAAAGAAAGAAAGCAGCTCCAGGCTGCACATTTTTATCCAATCTTGTATGTATTTATCATCATAATCGTGTCATGTTGTGTTTTATTGTTTTAGTCCATATCATCAGAGGATTCTATAAATTCTGCTAATATAAACAAGTACCTCGAGCCACCAAAAAAAGAAAACAAACCTTGGTGGGATGTTGATGATGACGACGATGATGACCAACCAGGTATGATTAATAACACAAAAAGTCTAAATCTTTACTTTTAAATTGTGTAGATTTCTTCCTTCATGAGTGCATGAAAATATTTTGTTTGACAAAATTTACAGAAATAGATATTATGAAAAAGTTGACAAATTATTATGAAAAAAACAAACAACCTGTGAAGTTACAAAGTCAGTCTTAGATGTTATAATTATGATATAATGATTTTAAGTCTTGATTTTAAGTATGGAACAGAATTAATGCATTTATTCCATCTTGCTTTATGATATCGGAACTTACATTATGCTTGCTTCTATACTTCTTTATGACAATGAAAACCTGCGTTTTGCTGAATTCAATCATGCCTTATGATTACTGAATGCACTTTCATGTAATTGCAACCTTGTGTGTTCCCTACTAAACCATCAAACTCACATATTTTAATATGCTATTTGTTTAATTGCATCTTTTTTAAGGACAACGTATTATGTTTGGTGTTTAAGATAACATTCTTTATAACTATATGTAACATGGTAGTTGTATCTTTAATTTGCTATAAATCTGCCACTTATATTGTCGACACTATGTCAAATTAAACTATTGATTTTGATCAATAATTGGCTGATTTGATGTGTCTTAGCATTCATATGCTACAATATATTCACTGATTACAAATATAATGCAATACATGATCACTGCGCATCGACAACGAAGATGACAATGATAGCGATATTATAGTCGCATGTGACAGTACGCACTAAGCAGTTGGCAGTAAGCATAATGCGAGTTGCAATAATTTGTGTTCATATTATGACAGCAGGTGTCGCTTTGTCGGTACATCCCGTTATTTTCCGGATGATCCCGTATTTTGGCACGTGGAGTAAACAAAGTTACGGCCACTTTATATAGGGGCGTATACAGAACAGTATTAGATGGGGACTGACATGTAAATTTACTAAAAAACAAGAGAACACGATGCGACAGACGAAAAGTGCGTGTTTTTGAAGATTCCGCCAGCATGTGGAAAAAAAAGTTATATATTTCTCTAATAACTCATCCTACAAGTGGCAACTCACCTCTTATACAATTGTTTACACTTCTTTTTGAGCGTGTGTGATAAGTGAAATTGAATTTTATCAAACTTAAGGTGGCACGAAGGTGACATGTGTGTGTGTTTTTATTTATCTCGTGCGCACGAGATACTGTGTCGTGGCCACGGGTTACTAAGTCGTGGCCACGAGATAGTTAAGTCGTGGGAACGAGATACTATGTTGTGGCCACGAGTTACTAAATCGTGGCCACGAGGTATTAAGTCGTGGGAACGAGATAACTTAGTCGTGGCCACGAGTTACTAAGTCGTGGCCACGAGATAAATAAGTCGTTGAAACAAGTCACTATGTCGTGGCCACGAGAAAGTTTAGTCGTGGCCACGAAAAAGTTAAGTCGTGCGAACGAGATAAATAACCAATCAAATTACACTATTTATATGAATTTTCCTAACAAGGATGCCCCTACTTCATTTGTCCGTAAAAGTGCCATTTATACAAGTTATTGATTGGTCAAAGATTTAGCGTCATTGTGACCCTGATTTCTGACCAAATTGCCTAAAAATTATTAGGTGTCATCTACTGATCTTTTTAGGTTATATAAACTACGGCTTATTCTTTCTAAATCATTCATCAGACAAGGATTTTGCATGAAGTGTCATGTTTATCTGACCTGTGACCTCAAACATCCTTATAGGATATCTTCTGTCCATGGGCAATGTCCCTTCCCAATAAAATAAACCAGGACTAAGTCCCTCTCAAGTTATGGTATAAACAATGTTAACAGGCCTTTGTACGTACAAAATGACCAATTCTATCATAGAATTGTCCCAACAAAGGGCTATAACTAAAGAGATAAATAAAAACACACACATGTCACTTAGTAACTCGTGGCCACGACTTAGTACAGTACAAACTTGATTTTTTTTTGTAAAATAAAATAAATATAATTTGGCTTCACACAAACATTGTGCTTTAAATACTTTGTAATACACTTTAAATACACTGTAATTGGGCAGTATGAATATTCATTTATAGTGTTATTACAAAAATATATATGGAAGTTTCTTTTAAAGACAGGCACAACTTTACTGGACCCGTAATGAGGAAAGCAGATTCCTATACATTATGTGTATGTGTTTTTATTTAAATAAAACATATTTAGTAAGAATTTTATAGATTTCAATAAATTTCTGTGATAAAAATATATTACTGAAAGATGTGCATAGTATATCTTTAAGCACAAATGTATGTGAATGTGGTGGTGTGTGCGGGATGTCTGATCTATAATCAGACACACATTTGCCCAACATTTGTAATTGACTATGCACATGTCACAAAAATAAACAACTTCCTTCTTTCCTTATTACACATGTATATTTTAATGTGTTACATACCTATTCGCCACTATTAGTGACTGAGACATTTATTAAGTTAAAAGGCCAATTAATAAGTTTTGCTTTTCAATGTCCAAGTCATTAGATAAAGACCTTCGCAATAGTAGGCAGGTGCTTAACAACTGGATGACAGCATTATATGTTTTGATAAGGGAGTACACTATGACCACTATTGCATGAAACTTACACGTATATATTCCATCCCAGCTCATCAACGTATCTTTGGGGGTAGGTGCAGCCCTTAAGCCAAGGCCCGAATCCGCCACTGTACCTATAACTGCCCCATTGAATAACTGTTTACGAGCATATTTTTTCTATTAGACTGTATACATATACATGTATAAAATTATACTGCATAATCCTTAATTACTACTTGTATTTATATTCTTTCCACTGCAATATTTATGTATTAAGAGCTTGGTACGTATTTATAGCATTGTCGCCCTCTGTATTTTAACGTATAACCACGATGGCCCTAACGGTATTCCGTAATATATACATGTACGGAAAATTCCGATGATAGGCGAATCATGGAAAAAATCCGTTGATATCGATAACAGAGTTCTCGCCCCTTAACAGTTCACAAATCGCTAGACATTGTTTAAATTGTTTATCATAATGTAAGATGATCAAACATAATCCACAAAGCCTCAGACACCGAGCTTTATTAAGCATAAACACTGAATAATGGATATAAGCGAAAGCTAATAGTAATCACGCCATGCGAGCTGTAAATCAAATAAGTCCCATCTTAACAAAATCCATCAGGGAACAAAAAATAGTCGATTTTAAATGACTTCTACATAAAAGTAAAAAAAAAAACTAAACCGTAAATGGTTTGTATAGAGCATGAAGAAAGGTAGCTTATACATAAAGGTATAAGACGTTAACATTTTAGTATTCCAAATGGCTTGTTCCAGTTTAATAGTTATCACTCAATGAAAGAATTGGTCACTACGAAATGTTTGAATGAAATATTGAAAAATGGAATTCAGAATAATGCAACGTTTAACTATCATAAAGCAAGATGGAATCAATCATAATGCAAGTTCTAATGTCATGTAGCAAGATGGAATTAAGCATAATGCAAGTTCCAATGTCATCAAGCAAGATGGAATCAAGCATAATGCAAGTTCCAATGTCATCAAGCAAGATGGAATTAAGCATAATGCAAGTTCCAATGTCATCAAGCAAGATAGAATAAATGCATTAATTCTGTTCCATATTTAAGCTTCTCTTGAACACTGATTAATTGTAACACTCTGATTTTGTATGTTATTTGTAATAACTCATGCTATAAGTTCTTAATATCAACCCTGTAATTCAGCTTCATTTTTTTCAGTAGTCTTTCAAAAACACATTTAAAATACCACAAATGAATTCCTTTCAGGAATGTTTCATGATGACTTTATTAAAAATTGACCTTTGCTGTGTAAATTTTAATAGGTCTGGGAGCTAGTCGTAGCTTCTTGAAGAAGAAGACTTCAGAAAATGGAGGTAAAGAAAGCAAGAAACCTGATGCCAAAGCTACCCCTAAGGCAAAAGCTAGGAAAGATGTGAGTTCAGTTTATGATTGTTTTCATCATTTTATGTTCTTCCCGAAGTGTGTGTATTTGACTTATAAGACAGTTACAGAAGCACACCTCCTGATTCCTGCTAATTTTCATGAAAATTTTGAAAATGTGTTAAAAATTGAAATATTGTGAAGTGAACAAAGAAAATAAGTTACACATTTCAAACTGCACATACAACCATGTAATTTACCAGAAAGAGATTAAAATATGTAAAAATAACCCTTACTGCATTAGTAACACCGTAGATATATGTTGAAAAAAAATGGCAAAATCGGTCATTTATTGCACATAACATTGAAATTTTATTACATGTATTTTTAGCTCGACTATTCGATAAGAATAAGTAGAGCTATTGTAGTCACCCGAGCGTCGGCGTCCGCGTCGGTGTCGGCGTAACCACTTATGTTAAAGTTTTTGTAATAGTTTAAATATTTTCAAAGTCCATTGACATATGTCTTTGAAACTTTGCACACATGTTCACCATCATGACCTCAACCTGTAGAAAGGAGGAGGTAACTGTATCAAGCATTTTGACAGAATTATGCCCCTTTTTCGACTTAAAATTTACGTTAAAGTTTTTGTAATAGTTCAAATATTCAATATATTGACATATGGCTTTGAAACTTTGCATACTTGTTCACCATCATTACCCCAACCTGTAAACAGGAGGAGGTAACTGTATCAAGCATTTTGACAGAATTATGCCCCTTTTTATGCCCCCACAATGTGGGTGCATATAGCGTTGCACTTGTCCGTCAGTCCGTCCGTCCGTCCGTACGTCCCGAAATCTTGTGAACGCAACTCCTCTTAAACCGGATGGCAGATTTTGCTTAAACTTACAGGGATGAACAACCTTAATATGTAGATGGTAGTAAAGGAAGGAATTTTTGCTGTGACCAAATTTAAGAGAATTATGGCCCTTTGTTGATTTTTTTACTAGATACTATATAGAAATTTTGTGAACGCAACTCCTCTTAAACCGGATGACAGATTTTGCTTAAACTTACAGGGATGAACAACCTTAATGTGTAGATGGTAGTAAAGGAAGGAATTTTTGCTGCGACCAAATTTAACAGAATTATGGCCCTTTGTTGATTTTTTCACTATATACTATGTAGAAATTTTGTGACCGCAACTCCTCTTAAACCAAATGGCAGATTTTGCTTAAACTTACAGGGATGAACAACCTTAAGTTGTAGATGGTAGTAAAGGAAGGAATTTTTGATGCGACCAAATTTTACAGAATTATGGCCCTTTGTTGATTTTTTCACTATATACTATGTAGAAATTTTGTGAACGCAACTCCTCTTAAACCGGGTGGCAGATTTTGCTTAAACTTACAGGGATGAACAATCTTAAGGTGTAGATGGTAGTAAAGGAAGGAATTGTTGCTGCGACCAAATTTTACAGAATTATGGCCCTTTGTTGATTTTTTCACTATATACTATGTAGAAATTTTGTGAATGCAACTCCTCTTAAACCAAATGGCAGATTTTGCTTAAACTTCCAGGGATGACCAACCTTAATGTGTAGATGGTTTTAAAGTAAGGAATTTTTGCTGCGACCAAATTTAACAGAATTATGGCCCTTTGTTGATTTTTAGTTTTCAACTTGTGGCATATGTAGTCCAAAAAATATTTGACCTAGAGTCATAAGATTGACAGAACAGTGGCGTGTGGAGGCATCCGTGTCCTATGGACACATTTCTAGTTCACTTGTTCACCATCATTACCCCAACCTGTAAACAGGATGAGGTAACTGTATCAATCATTTTGACAGAATTATGCCCCTTTTTTCGACTTAGAATTTACGTTAAAGTTTTTGTAATACCTCAAATATTTTCAAAGTCCATTGACATATGGCTTTGAAACTTTGCACACTTGTTCACCATCATTACCCCAACCTGTAAACAGGAGGAGGTAACTGTATCAACTTTCAAGCATATTTTTTACAATCAAGCACTAAGAATAGTCTAGCGTTGCTGTCCTACCGACAGCTCTTGTTATCTTTAATCTATTTACATTTCTTAAAATCTCAGTTTCATATCAATTTGTTATTTTTAATAGAAAAAATTCGTCACATAGAATTTTATAAGATTATCAAATAATCCTTCAATTTGCTGCATGTTGTAAAGACATAACTTTTATTACAGGTTAAAGCTCGTGGAAAACCTGAGGTTTCTATAAGTAAAGACAGTTTAGATGATAGTAAGTGGTGGCTTGAATTTCGTTAAAAAAAAGCCCAAATATGTAGGGTGTCCTCAAGGTGGCAGAGTCCTATAAATACAACACTTTGAAGAAGTAGTTGACAAACCTATTTCTTTGAATTAAAAGGAATAGTTTTAAAAAAGTTTTTATAGAGCTCTTCTGTTAGAGAGTTATATACCAAACATTTTATTTTGCTACATTTTGGAATTTAGTTTTACATATTGTCCATCAATTTTTTAGAGGGCTTGTGTATTGCTTTTTTTTTATAAATTTTTTTGGCACAGGGGTCTTTCTCCACAAGTAAATGTAAAACCTGAATAGTTTACAACAAAACTAGTGGTCTTAATAGTATAGATGTACCTAAAGACCGTGATACAACTGAATCTACTTGTATTGTATAAGTTAACAAATAAAGTCTTCATAATATAAATCAGTATATAGATAACATTTCTGTATTAATTTTGATGGTGTCAATATCGCTTATAATATCAACAATTTGTTAATAATTGCTATCATATAAAATCAGTTTCACAGGCAAATTTTAATATGATTTTATACATATATTTATTTATGTACCTAGTCTTTGAATGGTTGTTATAAAGTTGCTGTTTTTTGTTTTAGTTTCAGAAAGATCTGAAGAAGACCATGGACATGTTTATAGGTAATTTGTAAAAGTTGAATAAACTTTTAAAACAGGATATACATATTTTAATGATATGGGAAGAAGTGTCCTTATTTTTAGGCATTTAAAATATACATACATAGTTTGTTCCAAAAGTGTGCAAAATACTTCAGTAAGATAGAAACAAATTGCCTTAGCAATTTAAAATCTTTACATATGTAAATTCAATAAATTTCCTCTTTACATGCAAAATTTCATACATTTAATGATATGGGTTTATAAAAAACAGACATATGAAACTAAGGAGTATAGAAAAAGAAAAAAGCAACACAAGTAACAACATCTTTTTATAAGATACTTCACATGTCTTTTTAATCATAATTGAAACCATTACTTTACCTTGGCATTAAACAGAATTATACGCCTTTATTCTGGTTCTTGTTTAACTATCGAGTATTGAAGACAGTTAAGACAGCTCTTGTTTATATATTGACTCTCAAGGAGTGTTTTTTAGCTCACCTGTCACAAAGTGACAGGTTGAGCTTTTGTGATCACTTTTCGTCCGGCGTCTGTCCGTCCGTCCGGCGTCCGTCCGTAAACTTTTACTTTAAATGACATCTCCTCTTAAACCGCTGAGCCAATTTCATCCAAACTTCACAGGAATGTTCCTTTGGTGGTCACCTTTAAAAATTGTTCAAAGAATTTAATTCCATGCAGAACTCTGGTTGCCATGGCAACCGATAGAAAAAACTTAAAATATCTTCTTTTAAAAAACCCAAAGAGGTAGAGCTAAGATATTTGGCATAAAACATCTTCTAGTGAGTGTCTATCAAGTTTGAACAAATAAAAGCCCTGGGGTCAAAATTGGCCCCGCCCCGGGGATCATTGATTTTCCCTATATGCATATAGTAAAAACTTAAAAAATCTTCTTTTAAAGAACCCAAAGAGCTAGAGCTAAGATATTTAGCATGAACCATGTTCTAATGGGTGTCTACCAAGTTTGTTCAAATAAAAGCCCTGGGGTCAAAATTGGCCCCGCCCCAGGGGGTCATTGATTTTCCCTATATGCATATAGTAAAAATTTATAAAATCTTCTTTTAAAGAACCCAAAGGGCTAGAGCTTAGATATTTAGCATGAACCATGTTCTAATGAGTGTCTACCAAGTTTGTTCAAATAAAAGCCCTAGGGTCAAAATTGGCCCCGCCCCCCCTGGTCTATGTTTTCCCTATATGCATATAGTAAAAATTTATAAAATCTTCTTTTAAAGAACTCAAAGAGCTAGAGCTAAGATATTTAGCATGAAACATCTTCTAATGGGTGTCTACCAAGTTTGTTCAAATAAAAGCCCTGGGTTCAAAATTGGCCCCGCCCCAGGGGGTCATTGATTTTCCCTATATGCATATAGTAAAAACTTATAAAATCTTCTTTTAAAGAACTCAAAGAGCTAGAGCTAAGATATTTAGCATGAATCATCTGATAATAGGTGTCTATCAAGTTTGTTCAAATAAAAGCCCTGGGGTCAAAATTGGCCCAGCCCCAGGGGGTCATTGATTTTCCCTATATGCATATAGTAAAAACTTATAAAATCTTCTTTTAAAGAACCCAAAGGGCTAGAGCTTAGATATTTAGTATGAAACATGTTTTAATGAGTGTCTAGCAAGTTTGTTCAAATAAAAGCCCTAGGGTCAAAATTGGCCCCGCCCCCGGGGTCATTGATTTTCCCTATATGCATATAGTAAAAACTTATAAAATCTTCTTTTAAATAACTCAAAGAGCTAGAGCTAAGATATTTAGCATGAATCATCTGATAATAGGTGTCTACCAAGTTTGTTCAAATAAAAGCCCTGGGGTCAAAATTGGCCCCGCCCCGGGGGTCATTGATTTTCCCTATATGCATATAGTAAAAACTTATAAAATCTTCTTTTAAAGAACTCAAAGAGCTAGAGCTAAGATATTTAGCATGAATCATCTGATAATAGGTGTCTATCAAGTTTGTTCAAATAAAAGCCCTGGGGTCAAAATTGGCCCCGCCCCGGGGGTCATTGATTTTCCCTATATGCATATAGTAAAAACTTATAAAATCTTCTTTTAAAGAACCCAAAGAGCTAGAGCTAAGATATTTAGGATGAAACATGTTCTAATCAGTGTCTACCAAGTTTGTTTAAATAAAAGCCCTAGGGTCAAAATTGGCCCCGCCCCCCAGGGTCATTGATTTTCCCTATATGCATATAGTAAAAATTTATAAAATCTTCTTTTAAAGAACTCAAAGAGCTAGAGCTAAGATATTTAGCATGAAACATCTTCTAATGGGTGTCTACCAAGTTTGTTCAAATAAAAGCCCAGGGGTCAAAATTGGCCCCGTCCCAGGGGGTCATTGATTTTCCCTATATGCATATAGTAAAAACTTATAAAATCTTCTTTTAAAGAACCCAAATAACTAGAGCTAAGATATTTAGCATGAAACATGTTCTTATGAGTGTCTATCAAGTTTGTTCAAATAAAAGCCCTAGGGTCAAAATTTGTCCTGCCCTGGGGGTCATTGATTTTCAATATATGTGTAAAGCAAAAACTTTAAACTAAAAATTCTTTGAAAAAAAAAAACAAATAGAGTTTAGATACTAAGCATGAAACATCTTCTAGTGAGTGTCTACAAAGTTTTTTCAAATAAAAGCCCTTGGGTCAAAATTTGCCTTGCCCCGGGGGTCATTGATTTTATTTATGTGTATAGCAAAAATCTTCTTTGAAAAAACCCAAATAGCTAGAGTTAAGATATTTAGCATAAAACATCTTCCAGTTAGTGTCTTCAAAGTTTGTTCAAATAAAGCCCTAGGGTCAAAATTGGCCCTGCCCTGGGGACATTGATTTTCCTTATATGTGTATAGCAAAAACTTAAAAATCTTCTTAAAAAAAACAGAATAGCTAGAGTTAAGATATCAAGCATGAAACATCTTCTAGTGAGTGTCTCCAAAGTTTGTTCAAATAAAAGCCCTGGGGTCAAAACTGGCCCCGCCCTAGAGGTGTCATTGCTTTTAACTATATGTGTATAGTTAAAACTTAAAAAATCTTTTTTTAAAAACTCAACGAGCTAGTCCTTAGATGTTTAGCGTGAAATATCTTCTAATGGGTGTCTACCTAGTTTGTTCAAATAAAAGCCCTGGGGTTTAAACTGCCCCCCCCCCCCCCGGGGGCCTATGTACAGGTGAGCGACTTCAGGGCCATCATGGCCCTCTTGTTTACATGTATAAATTGGTTCAATAATAGTTTTTATACATTTTGTTTTATAGACCAAGAGTTCATATACCAGAGGACAGCATGGACAGTATCAATACAGGTAAAGAGATTCTATATGTAATAATTAGAGTTAAGAAACTGAAATTTGATTGATGTCACTGCATAGCCTCTGTTAGCCTTCAAGTGTTGTTTTGTCATTGTTTTACTGTTTGTATCTACACAATTTATATGTTTTTCAATTTTTTTGTAGCATATAACTTTATTCATTATATATCGTAATCCTAGCCTGAAACAGACAAATGTGGTATATAATATATATTTATAATGTTCATTCTATAAGAGAGAAAAGGTGTACATAGTACATTTGGATGGTTGTTAGTTATATTACAGTAAAATTTTACTTGTTTTCAGCATTTAAAGACAAATACTGCTTGTATTTCAGTAGCAATGTAAATTGTATGAAAATTTATTACAAGAAGAACAGCACAGCATTTTATTTACAGACTTAAACAAATGTACATCATCTTGTTAACAAAGATTTGATTAAACATAGTCACATGGCATGCGAAAACATACAAATTGTAAACAACTTTTTAAAATAAATAAACAATGATTTAAGAGGACAAACTTCATGCAAGAAGATAATAACAATTCAATTATGTTAAGAGTTAAGGATTGTGTTTCTCAACAATAAAGATTCTTGGATATATTTTGATAACTTCATTAAAACAGTTTTATATTGAATTGATAGCAGATCTGTAAATTTGAACACAGATGGTGTAACATAATATCATTTGTTTAGGTACTGCATTTGTAGACTATGAAAACAAGGGCATACACATATAAAGTGATACTCATCTTCTACGTATGAATATATATTACAGAAGATTTGCTCAATGAACGTGACTCAGGAAACAAACTTGGTATGGACACACTTGATGAAATGGCAGATAAAGAAAAGTTCTTCAGGGTATGCTTATTGTATTAAAATCTACCCTTACCCTACTAGATTTCTTAAATTGACCTACCCATCTTTCAGTGTAGACAAAACCATTCAGATTTTTTAGGGATAATTTCAAAATACATACTGACTGAATATCAAATAGTGCAGACTGTGATAAGATGCTGCAATGGCTGATCATGGTCAGTACAGGTCACCTGGGTAGATTCTGTTTCCTGCTAGCAGGCTAATATTTTAAAGGGTGTAAAGTTATTCCTGATGAAACTGAATCATTAATGAGACTAAATCTTTTAAAAGTTGTACAGTTCATATTCTTACTGTTATATCTTGCTTATATATAAAGACAGAATCACCTTAGACAAAGTTAAAGATTACCAAACATTCAACTGTATTTTGAGAATGTAATTTGATGCTTTCATGCATGCTCTTTTAATTTAGTTACTTTGGTATGAAGATGTAAATCTTTGGCAAAATAATAGACAAAAAAAAATTTTAACCAGTGCAAATCAAGGTCAATCATTCCTTTCATCTTCATAGGGTTTGAGATAACTAACTTTTCTGAAAAAACTGGCATTAACCCAAAAGTATAGAGTAAAAAACAAAAAACATTAAAATTTGAATCATTATAATTTAGGATCTTGAGAAGAATGCTGATGGTACAATAGACTATGGAAGGTTAAATCGTGACCTCAGTGCTACAGCTAACACAATGTCACCAGAGGGCGCTGCTAGGACGGCAGCGACATTGGCCGCACTTCAGGACATGGAGGACGAAGAGGAAGACGTGCCGCCACGTCCCGAGACCGGCGGTGAAATACAATCAGAACGGGTAATTTTACGTCTTTGTGTCTTTGATATAATAGTTGAAAAAGTTTTATAGATAATGTTTCTAAATAAAATCTTCAGTTTAAACTAAGCTCAGATTTATATATTTTATATGCTTGTAAGTGAATCACATAATTATTATTGTTATTTGTTATAACTAAACTGAAGTTCTTAATAATTATATTTAAACTTAATAGGTTTAAAAATTCATAAGCTGTTTTAAAACCATTTTCATTCTTGCTTTCAGGAACATTCTGAGCAAAAACCAAGCATGTTGTCTAAAGGTAAGTACTTGATGTTTTGTTAAGTTATTTAAAAAAAAATTAGAGGAGATTTTTAGACCTATACTCTATGGCATTAAGATGTGCCGTTGTCTTTCAATGTGTGTGTGCGTGCGTCTGTTCCATTTGTGTCACATGTAGCTCTAAAAGTATTAAAGTATTTGACCTGTCATGAAACTTAACAGGAATGTTGGTTAGCAATGAGCATGTGTAGTTATGGAACAGGGGGTTTGCTTGAATTTATTCAGTAATTGTAGAGTTATTGCCCTTGACATTGAAAAACCATTTCATAATGTTGTGTTACATGTTCATATAAAAGTGCTTGCATTAGAGAGCACTAATTTTTACAAGAATTTTCATCAGCATGTGAAGTTGTGCACCTGGGGTTATGCATGTTGATTAATTCAGTTTTGTTACAGTTGTTGTCCTTGCCTTACTAAAGTATGGTAGGGAATATGATAGTATTGAAACATAAATTACTTCATATGCTTTGCAAATAAAGTCTATGGCTTGGTAAAATTACTCTGTTATAATAGTAATGCTTGTATTAGGGATTTCATTTCATCTGACCAAAAGACACTTGATTTTTCAGTTTCCCTAATGGATTCCTTGGAATCTACCATGAACACAACAACTTCCCCTCAGGTGGGGAAAGGTACAATGAGAGATGTGTTAGAGGAGGATGAAGATCAACATGTAGACAACTTCAGACCAAGTCATAGTGGACCTGAGACTCTCAAAACTGTTACAGGTTTGTTTAACATTTACTTATCTAAAAATCTGGAAGAAGGGTGATCCCTTGGAAGCATTAATCATGTGAGAAAGCTATCCAGCTAGCTTATGGAACATATGTGGTTCTATTCAGGGGCCCGATCGTGCCTGAAATAATGCACAGAAGGATACCTGCAGTCTTCCTAAAGCTGGAAAGTCGCCATATGACATATACTGTGTTGGTGTGACGTAAAATCCAAAACTACTAACCAGTACGATACAAAATACACATTTTGTGTGAAACATAATATTGTTTAGTAAAAATTAATTTTGTTGCTTAAAAACTGTTTTCTCTTTGCTTTGCATTGAAAAAATCTTTGATATTGATTTTCATTAAGTTAACTATGAACAAATGAAAGTTCTTATGGCCTTAGTAGCCAAATGTTTTTCCAGCTTGCTTTAGGAAGGTTGATGGTTCTAGTTAGATGTTTTCAATGTTCGTTTTGCCTCCAAAATAATAAAGGTACACTAGAGGCCTTCCTCGACATGTAAAGTTTAAATTTCTCTGTATGATCTTTACAGTGTTGATGTTACTTAGAACTGAAGAAAACAACAAAAAAACAAAACAAAAAAAGGCCCGTTTTTAATTGTAAAGTTCATTACACATAAATTCTTAAGAATCCAGTTTGTGTGGGAGCTAAAACACAATGTTGAAATAAATTTTTTATGTCTTAATCCTTGGCCTGCAGGCAGTAACAGATTTTACCCACGCAACCAGTTAGACCAATATTAGCCGTCACATCCTTGCTGCCGAAACTTGGTCTGCGCAGCACTGTTTGCTATTCAATCTGTAAATATTTTGAAATAGTCCCAAATAATGTTAAATGATTTTGTCTAGATTTGTTTTTGTCCATATTGATTGATTGTCAAGTCCATTTTAGATAATTAGTGTGGTATTGATTCATGAAAACTTTATTATATACATGTAGGTATGATAGGTACAAACACGAGTCAGGAGATCGAGGCACTCCACAATGCACTAGAGAAACTTGGACTCTCCGCTACCATAGGTAACGACAGCATGCTGGATCTGTCCTCGCAGGGAGACAAAGGGACCGAGGATCTTGTCAAGAAGCTACTGAGTACAACTGACGGTAATATATTTGAATCGTTGATATTTTTACACAAAATACTTGTTCGAAGATGAAATGTTCATATTCTATTTTGGATACTTAACTATTGCAGTGTTGCATGTAAAATCAAACCAAATCAAGAAGGAAAAGGGCAATATTCTTTAGGATATGGGACATAACATGAGAGGCACACTTTTAGTCATAAAGCATTCATTCCGAATTGAGTTCACATTGATATTATTGATGTATGATTTGCTTACATTTCTATACCTTTATGATTATAAATTAAAGGTAAACAAAGAAATGTGGCTGAGATAATGAAAGAGTTAGAAGATTTACAGATTAAAGCTGGCCGTGACGACCAATCCTCGCCAGATTCAAGAAAGAGTCCAAAAGGTACATGATGTTTATATGTGTATAGATCATTTACCCTATAACCTTCTGGAACTGACAGTGATTAGCCTATGCCACCAGTATAGAGCCAAGACAGTTTGCATGTTTGTGCAGTCTGACCAGGCACAACTTTCTTTAAATTGATAATAGACAGTTAAAAAAAAACGGAAGATGGTCAAGTCCATTTCAGAAATGCAGCAGGTGAAGTGATAAGATAATATCTTGGTCATATGCAACAGTATCTTACATATGTTAATTATTTGATGAGTCACAAAGACTGTGTTATCCCATGTTGCTTAAAAAAGACAAATATTAGACCAGAATGCCAAGAAGCTTTGCATAACCATATACATCATTGCATGTAAGTGAGCATAAAGTTTTGGTTAAGGCTGTTGAAATCTGAGGATAAATTAATGCGCATATCTCTTAAAGATTTAGCAAGTTGTTTATATTTCTGATTATGTTACCTTCATTCTAAATATTCATTTTATGATGAAAAACAGAGCATGATTGCTTAAAGAAATGTGTTCAACCTAAAATGTAGTAATACATGTAAATTCCCTATAACAGAAACAGTACCTGAAAAAAATTACATAATTTATCAACCTTGTAATTAAACACTCCAATTTTAGTCTGTTGATAAAGATAATTGTTTTCAAAGAATTTACCTCATTGAACATTTAATTGTCCTCTTAAGTTATTGATAGTTTTGAAATTGTTTCTAAACTGCTACGGTAAAGTTTTGACAAGTTTGTATGTAACACCTAAAAAGTGTTTTGTTAAATATGCACAATACATCAAGAGTGTCAACAATTATGCCTTCATTCTTTATATTACTGACTAAACTTAAAAAATACAGGCAGGTATGTAATAGGTGATTAATATTGAAAATTGTTATGCATAGTAAATTAATAAATTTTATAAGTTTGGGACATTGATATGGTTCTAACATTGGTAAGGTAGTTTATATAGTATGGTTGGTAAATTTGTAAGGTAGGTACCTTGTAAGGTTGCTAAATTAGTATGGTTGGTAAATTTGTAAGGTAGGTACTTTGTAAGGTTGCTAAATTAGTATGGTTGGTAAATTTGTAAGGTTGCTAAATTAGTATGGTTGGTAAATTGGTAGGGCTGGTAAATGGGTATGGTTGGAAAATTTGTGGAGGCTGGTAAATGTTAAAGGTTGGAAAAAGTAGTATCATTATGATGTAAAAAAAATTCTTTTAAGAAAATGCATTGCAATGTATGCATTGACCATAGAATTTTAGCTCACCTGTCACAAAGTGACAGAGTGAGCTTTTGTGATCGCTTTTCGTCCGTCGTCAGTCCGTCATCCGTAAACTTTTACTTTAAATGACATCTCCTCATAAACCGCTGAGCCAATTTCATCCAAACTTCACATGAATGTTCCATTGGTGGTCACCTTTAAAAATTGTTCAAAAAATTTAATTCCATGCAGAACTCTGGTTGCCATGGCAACCAATAGAAAAAACTTAAAATATCTTCTTTTAAAAAACCCAAATAGGTAGAGCTTAGATATTTGGCATGATGCATCTTCTAGTGAGTGTCTATCAAGTTTGTTCAAATAAAAGCCCTGGGGTCAAAATTGGCCCCGCCCAGGGGGTCATTGATTTTCCCTATATGCATATAGTAAAAACTTAAAAAATCTTCTTTTAAAGAACCCAAAGAGCTATAGCTAAGATATTTAGCATGAAAGATCTTCTAATGGGTGTCTACCAAGTTTGTTCAAATAAAAGCCCTGGGGTCAAAATTCGCCCAGCCCCAGGGGGTCATTGATTTTCCCTATAGTGCATATAGTAAAAACTTATAAAATCATCTTTTAAAGAACCCAAAGAGCTACAGCTAAGATATTTAGCATGAAACATGTTCTAATGAGTGTCTATCAAGTTTGTTCAAATAAAAGCCCTGGGGTCAAAATTGGCCCTGCCCCAGGGGGTCATTGATTTTCCCTATGTGCATACAGTAAAAACTTATAAAATCTTCTTTTAAAGAACCCAAAGATCTAGAGCTAAGATATTTAGCATGAAACATCTTCTAATGGGTGTCTACCAAATTTGTTCAAATAAGAGCCCTGGGGTCAAAATTGGCCCTGCCCCAGGGGTCATTGATTTTCCTTATATGTGTAAAAAAAAATCTTCTTTGAAAAACCCAAATAGCTAGAGTATCTATTTAGATACTAAGTATGAAACATCTTCTAGTGAGTGTCTACAAAGTTTGTTCAAATAAAAGCCCTGGGGTCAAAATTGGCCCCGCCCCAGGGGTCATTGATTTTATTTATGTGTATAGCAAAAACTTAGAAAAATCTTCTTTGAAAAAAAACCAAATAGCTAGAGTTAAGATATTAAGCATAAAACATCTTCTAGTGAGTGTCTTCAAAGTTGTTCAAATAAAAGCCCTTCAAGGCCTTGGGTCAAAACTGGCCCCGCCCGGGGTGTCATTGCTTTTAACTATGTGTGTATAGTTAAAACTTAAAAAATCTTTTTTTAAAAAAACTCAACGAGCTAGACCTTAGATGTTTAGCATGAAACATCTTCTAATGTGTGTCTACCAAGTTTGTTCAAATAAAAGCCCTGGGGTTTAAACTGGCCCCGCTCTAGGGGCCTATATACAGGTGAGCGACTTCAGGGCCATTATGGCCCTCTTGTTATTTTATGTTATCATTCTTATAATATATTATCATTCTTTAATTAATGATATTCTAGTTATAGAAAGACAGAAGCATGTAGACATAGATGCAGAGGAACTTAGGGGTTTCAACCTCTCACCTGCTCGACCCTTCCCAGTTGAGCAGGACTACTCACAGCGTGGTGATAGTTCCCATCGTGGTGATAGCTCACATAGAGGAGGTGATAGCTCAATGAAGGGAGGGTTTGATACCTCCCATACTGAAGATACTGAGATGTACAGGCCCGTGATAGAAGTGGTAAATATTTACTTCATATTTTTGAAAATCTTTTTCTTCTTTGAGAAACTGATATTTGGAAAAAGTGATCATGAATTAGTTGTGAAGTGCACAGTTAGTGTTTGCTTTGTTAACTGATTGTTTCATTAGAAATCAAAAGATTTTTTTTTTTTTTGAAGATTTTTTTTGCTATTTATCACTGTATATTGTGGTGATACTATTTAGAACATCTACACATACGCAAATACTTACATAAGCATTGTATTAAAACTATACATGTATTTATGGAACTGATTTACTGATTTTAGAAAACGATTTTGAGATAAAGTTGTTTGCTTTTACGTTTGTTTTAGAAATATGCATTTAGACGTTTTAAAAGTGTCTTTCATTTTAGATATTTGCTAAATGTAAATACATGTTAATCATTCTTTTCTCATTTATATATCATTTCTTATTACTTCATTTCATTTATTGTATTGTCTTTTGTATACTTTCTCTTTAGTTTTACCTGTTATTTATTACCTTTTTATTTCATTAATCCATATATATTATCTCATATGTACATTATGTCATTAACTTATTATTCATTTGTTTATTATCTCATTCACTCATTACATTTTAATGCATTATGTAATTCACTTAGTACCTCATTAATGCATTATCTCATTCACTTAGTACCTCATTCATGCATTATCTCATTCACTTAGTACCTCATTAATGCATTATCTCATTCACTTATTACCTCATTCATGCATTATCTCATTCACGTATTACCTCATTTATACATTATCTCATTCAAGTATTACATCATTTGTTATAATCCCACTCAATCATTACCTGATTTGTTTATTATCTTATTCAAATATCATCTTGTTGGTTATTATCTCATTTACTTATTATCTCATTCATATTTTTACCTCATTTGTATATTACCTCATATTCTATAGTCTGAAGACTCTTATATGGAAGCAAGGCGGGTATGTAACTGAACACAAAATCTAACAACAGAATTTTCTATGTGTGTAATTTAATTATTTCATTTAACCAAATGATTTGTGATGATTGTGTTGGTGTTTTTCACATTTCAAAAAGATGTGTAGCTTGATTTAATACGTCATGATTTGATGTGTTCTTTAATACAGTGAAAATCAAAGTACATTAATTTTGATATTTTGTACTACTAAGAATTTGAGAATATTTAATTTGATTGACTCTACCTAACAAGCAAATTTATGGAGACATAGATTTTGTTCCATTGTATTGAATCATTTCTTTATTTCTAAATAAAAGCACAATAAAATATTTAGCATAAATAAGTTTCTAATTAAAAATGATGGTTTCAAAATATTGTCTTTAACTTGAATGTTATTTGGGAAAAGCAAGTTTTATAGAGTATAAAATAATATTTTTATAAAGCAGGTTGGAATGACTTGTGATATATGTTGCAAGTACATGTATAATTCCAGATTTTGGATATTGTTTACAATTTATCAGTTCAAGACTTAAAGATAAAAATAAATTCTTATTTAGACAAAATGTTGTGAAAGACCACCTCGTTATATAGACTTAATAAAAAATCAGAACACTAACTTAATATTACAAATTAGTATCTTATCGTGCAAAGTAATCTCCTATCATAGACAACTTTGCAACTAAAAGCTCTTAATTTTACGTATAATTTATTTCACTCTCTCCACTACTGGCAACCCCAAGTTCAAGCACGGAAACCATCTGCCAGGATAAATACAGCAATAACAATGAAAAAATCATCAATGTTAAAGTAGCACACCTCCAGATTCATGTTAATTTTCATGAATATTTTAGAAATGTATTTATAAGTAAAATATTGTAAGGTGAACAAATAAAGTAATTTACATATTGCAATCGGCACTAACAATCCACAAAAATTAACAAAAAGTGGTCAACATATGCAAAAACAGCCCTTATGGCATTAGTTACGCAGTAGAATTATGGTAATAAAATACTGCCAAATCAGTCTTAAACTGCACATACACAAGTAAAATATTACTTAGATCTGAATGTTTTTACCTTTCTTAAAAGTTTAGTGCATTTTTCTCAGTATTGATTTTCTTGAAATACTTTGGCTCATCTGGAGGTTTGCAGCTTTAATGGAATATATGGGCTATTTACCACCAGATAAAATCTTTTCATTGTAAAACAGACTACTAGGACTCATTGGCATTCAGCCAAAATCACTTCAATTTTAAGTAACACTGTTAAATTTTTGTAACAAACGTCATAGACTGTAGCCGTTATTTTTCAATACTTAAGTAGCAAAAATTTTTGAATTATTTTATCCTGATGAAGGTCAAGTATTGATCAAAACTAGTAGATTGTAAACCTGTCCTGGTGTTATAAGTGTGTTACTCTTTTAGCTTGTACTTATATTGGTTGATATATAATATTTGTCAGTTTCGTAAATTAGTCAAAAGAAATTGAAAACCAGTTGTAAATATGTCAAGAATATATGTACATGTATACAACATGTTTATGCATATTTAAACTAGTCTGTGAATGAGAGAGGAAGAGGAACAAAGAAGGAGCATAAGAAAAAGTCAGGAAAGAAAAAGGCAGACAAAGAAAAACCACAGAAAGGACTGAAGACCACAGATTCATCTCTCAGAAGGTCAAGGTCAAGATCTTCATCTCCCATGAAAATAGGTTAGCTCCCTTCGATATCTCTTACACCATTTGCATTTTCTAAAATTAAAATGGCTGCGGATATTTTACTGCAAAAGATTCAGACAAAGATATTTTTTTTTAAAAAAAGAGAAAAAAAGTAAGAAATAAAAGTAAGATTTAAGGTCAATGGAGGAAGTTGAATATTTGAATAAAGAGTGGTAGGTGACCTTGAGTTTGACCTGAAATACACGAATAATCACAGATTGAGATGCAAATTTTCTGGTGTATATAAAACTAGTCTGAGCAGGGTTTTGAGTCACTTATTATAGATATGATGATATTAGTTAAAATAAATCTTTGATTCTTTTTGCAATCCTATTTAAGTAAGTTATTACAGATTTTGGGTTCTGAAGTTAAAATTGTACAATTTTTGTGTATGTGTTATATGTCCGGTTATAGTTGCCACCGGAAACCCATGTTCATGACTCAGTCCAGAGGACTGTTTGCATATTTTGTCTCACAGATACAGAAAGTACTCTTTTTCAGACGATAGAAGTTCTTTAATATTTTGAGTGTAAAGCACCATTACATAAAACCTTTTAAAGTCTCAATAGAAAGACTTGTTATTAATTTAAGTAGTGAACTTTTGAAGTCAGACAGTATTACAATCACACTACTGCCCAATCTGTTTATGTGTCACATGATTATTGCTATAACTGGACATCCTTTATACGGATAAGGGTAAAAACTTACCATGTCATATATACCATTTCTTTTTAGACTTTTCTGAGACATTAAAATGGAAGCACAAGTCTATCAAGGGATCAGGGTACGGACAGATGTACTCGCCACCTAAACCTCCGCGAGATAGGACTCATGACCGAGAGCGAGATTTTCTAGGTTACACGCGGTCAAAGCGTGTTACGAATGACTCACCATCCAGGTCCACTGACAGAACTACCAAGGTAATGAGTCCCAAGAAAAGAGAAGTGAAATCTGCTAAAGGAGATGTATGGAGTCCTGCTGATGTCACCAGGCAGAAAACTATAGGTAAACAATTTTTCAAATGTCACTATTTAAGCAACATGCCTCTAATGCCTTTATTGTTACTTTTACAAAAAAAATTTTTTTTTGAAAATCGAAAAATTGTTTTAATTTTTAGACTGGATATTTTATGATGAGTATTTAGCAAACAAAATCCATTGTCTTATAAGATTATTTTTATGTTGAATTTTTGAAATGTAAGCAATGTTTCTGAAGATAAAACAAACCAATACTACATGTCGCATGCAAATAAGCATGCTGGTTTAAAAAAGCATAATGTAAATAATTCAATATTCCTTTAGTGTTATAAGTTACAATAACATATTGATATATATATATTGTAGGAAGTCAGTCAGCAAAGAGAGCCAAGCTTGGTACTGTGGGATCTTCACATTTAGATGCTTCTGTAGAATCCTTTGCCAAGTACATCAAGGAACATTTTATACCTGAGGTAAGATGAGAATATTACTGCAATAATTATGCGGATTATCTGCCCCTCCTAATAATATACTGTTACTTTCTAGACAACCAATGTTTGATTGATATTTATTTTCTGAAATTATATTTAAAACTAATGACTTTTTGCACAGTTTGTCAACTGTTTACAACACAACAATGATCAAACATCATAACAAAGATGTGCCAAAGTTTAAAACAAACCCCCCCCCCCCCCCAAAAAAAAAAATAAAACAAAAAAACCCAACATTAAACAGTGGTGGTTTAGAAGTTTGCCACAGGATATGTTGTCATATGTTGTCATGAATTGTCTATAACTTAATAATTTTTAATTGTGTCAAGCATTTTAGGGGGTACAGTCACTATTTCAAGGATAAATGTGTGGTGATATTATCTTGCATGTCGTTAAAATAAACACTATATTGATGAAATTATATTGATATAAGAAAATGAGTTACTTACCTTTAATCATCTCATATTATACTATTACCTTGTTTTGAACAAAATTTAGTATGTCTTGAAATATTGAAATATGCATTTTGTAGTTTCTTGCCAATAGCTGAAGCTTAATTTACATGTTTTTGTAAAAGAGAATTGAGCCGCGTCATGACAAAACCAACATAGTCGGATCAGGATCCATGCTGTTCGCTTACAAACCCTATTACAAGTACAGAAACTGATAGTGAACAGCATGCATCCTGATCAGACTGCGCGGATGCGCAGGCTGGTCTGGATCCATGCTGGTCGCAAACGCATTATGTTGGTTTTGTCGTGACACGGCTCAATTATTCTATGTATCGCATTATATTATAGGTAAAACCATCCATGGAAGAGCCATCAGTATCTGCAAGCTTTAAGGAAAAAGCCGAAGATGGTACTGATGAGGAAAAGGACAAGGTGATTGAAAAACTGAAAGGTATTTCTGTATTTTATACCTAATGTTTTTTTTTATGTAATTCACCCTTACAATGCTGTAATGGACTTGACCTACATTGAATTTAGAACTGTTCATTGTTAATTAAAGGAGTTTGAAAACACCTAATAGTAAAGGGACAGGTTTTGCAGGTGGCTTGTTTCTTTACCTGTGGCGTAGACACTTGTAAATAGAATTGAGAAGGCCAAGCAGTCAATAAGGAGTTCGTTTTAACGATTCAGTAAGGAGCAGTGCACATCACCAGATTTTTAGAACCTTTTCAAACCAAATGTTTCCCTTTGACGAATTATTTGATGAATAAATAGTATCTGCTATTATTGGTTGTAAGCACATATATCGAAATCTTGTGGTATGCACTTCTCGTTAAGTTAATTTTAGAATGTAATGGCTTCCACAAGTGTATATTAGAATTAGACAAAGGGCAATTTTGGGCATATATGTCTTATAAACAAAGTTCTAATTGTTGTTGTTGTATTTCAGGTGAACTGGAGTCAATGGAGAGAAGCTACGAGAGACAGTTAGAATCTCAGAAGTTACAGTATGAACAACAAATATCTGAGCTGAAGCAGGAAAACTTTGTTCTTAATGCCAAGGTAGGTGTACCAATTACATATAGGGTGCTCAATTGATAAAATAGTGGCTGGCCCCTTCCAGTGGTCAGTAAAGCTATAAATAGAAGGAAACAAAAAAAACATTTAAACATTATATTGAAATGAACTAACAGATGTATTCTTACCAATTTTGGTCTGAAATTTCCTTACAAGGTTCTTGTATGAAGTTTGAAGTTTATTGAAAACAAATGTAGTTGGCCCTGTTTTTTGAGTTTAAAATAGAAAAAAAAACACCTTTAGAACATTTTCTTCTTGTGAATAACTTGATGGATTATCATGAAACTTACTACTTCTTACTAATTACTACTTAATAAAACTTTGTTCATTATTTCCCAGCATGTACTCTAGATTTTTTTTATTGTTATATACCTGATAAAGTTTTAAACAAAGATGCAATGTTGTATACTGTAAGAAATATTTGCAAGGGATCAAATTTTGCTAATTACGCAAATTGTAGATTAAGATTACTATAGATTATTATGTATAATGGAATCACATAAATTAAAGGTAAGTGGAGATGCAGATAAGGATATGAAGATGAAGGTACTGGCAGGACAGTCACTAGAAGGTATGGGTAAGGAGCAACTAGAAACTCTACAACGTGACCTGAGAGAACAAGAAACCCTGATATCTGGCTACCAACAGGTATGGCTATTTTTATCTTCTGTTAATTAGTTTTTCTTAATAAATCATAGGAATTCTTTCTGCTGAGTGATTTAAAGATAAGTGACTGTTAAAAAATATCAGTGATATGCAGAAAAGTCAGTACTTAAAGAAGCCTGGGGTACCAGATCTAGATTTAAAGTAACTGATATAATAAGATATAGAAAGTCATGCTAAATTTATTTAAATTTGCAGGAGCTCTGCCAGTTTTCACTATGTACTGTACTAGTATTCCCAGTTATTTCTGTGTGTACTATAAAGAAATGAATGTTTATGTATATTTACGAGGAAATTATTCTCTTTTTGGACATAAGATATAGCAGTTTTCTGGATGGTTATTATGCACCTGTACTGGTGTCTGGTTCTTTTGTGTACCTTTGTCTGCCTGCTAAGCTCAATAGGGAGAGCATCATATATATAATCTGGCGGCCACTGGTGTGATCCTCCGGGGCGGCCAAATTTTCCATGACAACTTATTTCGAACATTGTGTCTGTTGGTAATTTGTATTTCACGGCTGAGTCAGAATCATGTTGGATTAAGACAACAAGGTAAGAGTTTGTCACTTGCTGAGAAATTGGTTATAACTGGTTAGTTATCCAGGAAAGCCAGTATGGTGGATTGACTGTCGAGATATGGCCAAAAAATGTGTTAAAATAAGTATTAAATTTAGAAGAACAATCAAACATTGTGTATATTACTTGTATAGGAGAATAAGAGACTATATGATGAGATGAAGAACTTGAAGAAACAAAGTAAACAAGTTGAGGAGAGAATGTTTCAGGAGAACCAGAAATTACTCGCTGAAGCTGCTAATCTCAGGTAATGTCTTTAAGTTTTTATAGTTGACCTTAATGTTATCAAATATAAAAACGGTATTGATTGTAATGCTGTTAGTTGTTAATATACTATGTGTAGTGTCTGTAACTTTATATGTATGAAAAAATATTGACAAAATATGATGCCGAGGAGTTTTGTTGAAAATCATGTCATTCTTGATGAAGAAGGTTTTGAGCATGATAAAAGCTATATTTTTGTTGCTTTACATAAAAGTTGTTGTTTTTACATAGCTGAGGCACTTTGTTATCCAAATACCATGAATTACCCGCTAATATACCTGGAGATTGTCACTTTAGTGCAGTAACAGGTTAATATAATTTAAAGTTTAAGGGAGATAATCCCTAACAGCATAAAAATAACAAAGTATTCAACATAGGTATAGTCCTGTAATATTCTGCTTTGGATCCAAATCCATTAGTAAAGTTGACAAAAGACCTTTACGGTGTTTTTGTACCATAAAATCCAATAGAGAAAAATTAAGTTATACAACTGTAAGTTATGTAAACACACACATGAATAAGTAAAACAAATGTAAATAAGAGGTAACAGAGGAGTGTTTTTGTTGGTGGAAATAGAAAAAGAAACATGACAAGTGTCTTTGCATAGTATTTTGTGCCATTTGAGCAGACACTGTACTACTGGCTGGTTTAGTATTAAAGCAATTTGGCAATTAAGGTAGCTCACGTTTACATTAGAAAGTACCAAACTCAAAGCAAGATGATTTTAAATTTCTGTTTTTTAAATTTTTGTACGGGTTTTAATATAAAATTCAAAAAGGATATAAATTATTTTTACCACTTGCAACTGATTTTCCCTAGAAATGATTGTAGCATTAGTTTTGTTTAAAAGACTGTCCCTTTCCAAAAAAGCAGACTCTGCCTTCCTTAAAGCTGTATGCCTGCAGATGAGCCAAATTATTTGAAGAAAATCAATTTTGAGAAAATGTACTATGATTTTAAGAAAAAGGAAATGATTCAAAATTCAAGTAATCATTTTCATGTTTTATGCAATTAATGACTGATTTTGCAGTAAATATCACCATGTGTCTACTGCGTGACTAACACAGTAAGGGCTATTTTTGCATATTTTGACCTCTGTTTTCAGTAATTTACGATAATTTATATGGATTTTAAGTGCTGTTTGCAATATGTTAATAACTTTCTTTAATTTCTTTTTAATAACTTTCAATAATTTACTCATAAATATATTTTCAAAATTTTCATGAAAATTAGCATGAATCTGGAGGCATGCAGCTTTTAAAAAACATATTCATTTTTGCTTTTGTTTGAATCCGAAGTATACGTTTAGTGCATTAATATTAACTTGCTTGCACCCAGCATTTTAAATAATTTTGTATAGTACATATCAAAGTAATAGATATTCTGTCACCATGAATAGTTTTCTTATTTTAAATTATTATGATTCTGTGTCAGCAAAAGTTCATTAAATTTTAAATAATGTTATAGAATAGTAAAACAAGATAAGAACAATATGTAAGTATATTTTGTGACATGTGTGTGTGAAATAACTGCCTTAATACCTTGATTTGATTTCCCCCCTTGTATAACATTCCTGAAAATACTTCCTTTGCTTGCCTAGTATGGACTATAATAGTGTACCAGTCAATATTGAAAAAAGGTCCAATATAACATGTCTGTGAATGAATTCTTTTTCTTAAAATTCATGGATTTATAACTTGTTTGGAAATGGCCCATGGCTCTGTAAGTAAATGAACCATGAACCTATAACTTGTTTGTAAATGACCTGTGGATCTATAACTTTTCTGTAAATGAACCATGGATCATAACATGTTTGGTCTGTTAAAGAACAATTGGTTTGTAGCATGTTGTTTATGAACCATTGGTTTGTTACATGTTTGTAAATGCAATTTGGATTCATAATTTGTTTCTAAATAAATCATCCGTAGATTTAAAGCATAAACCATGGATTTTAACTGCTTCTTAATGAACCATGGATTTATAATATGCTTATAAACGAATCCTGGATTTATAACATGTTTATGAATGAACCATGAGTAGATAGGCAATGTACATACTCTTCAATATTGTGTACTAGACACATTTTCCAACATTTTGTGTTTAAAGTGATTTAAGTGGAGAAGATGAAATTAATAGAGGAAATGTAATAGTATTGATTCAGAATCCGAGAAGAAGTTTTAGCGATCTTCCCGTAAATATCAAATTTAAATTCAATAGTCAGGAATTAGATCATATGGGGTAGCATATGCATTCTATTGCATCTGTGTTACATTATGTTTAAAATTTACTTTATTTACTAAAGCGAGATTTCTTGCAATGTAACCAATATGCTTTGCTTATTTGGCTAGCTTAATATGATTTTGTTTTATAATAGTATTATTGTTAAGTATATAGAAACATAAATGTGAACAAGAATGAGGCTGTTTGCTTAATACCCCTGACCTTTGCCTCCACATTGATATAACACTTCGATAAGACTTTGCATGTAACTTCATGTCTTATTTATTATTGACAGTATTTTAAATTTTACTTGAAACTTCACAAATGTCTTAAGGATGATAATTGTAGGTCAAAGTCCAAGACCGATAACTCTGCTTTGGATTTTGCATGGTAAATATGAAGTTTTGAAATTCCTACAAAGCCCTTATTTTACAGTCCAGCAGAATAGTTGAATTGCTGCTTTTATTTTTAGCTCGACTATACGAAGTATATGGAGAGCTGTCCTACTCGCCCCGGCGTCCGCGTCCGCGTCCAGATTTTAGATTAAAGTTTTGGTGCAGTAAAATATTTTTCACTATAACTTTGTCATTTCTTAAGGTATCAACTTCAAACTTCAAATATATGTTCCTTATCATCAACCACATCTTATGTGACAAGGTTCATAACTCTAGCACCAATATTTTCAGATTTATCTCCCCTTGAACTTAGAATTTTCCTTAAAAAATACTATTTTTTACTGATACTTCTTTATTTCTTAAGGGATCAACCTCATACTTCAAATATATGTACATTATCATCATCCCCATCTTATGTGACAAGGTTCATAACTCTAGCACCAATATTTTCAGATTTATCTCCCCTTGAACTTAGAATTTTCCTCAAAAAATACTATTTCTTACTGTTTCTTCTTTATTTCTTAAGGGATCAACCTCATACTTCAAATATATTTACGTTATCATCATCCCCATCTTATGTGACAAGGTTCATAACTCTAGCACCAATATTTTCAGATTTATCTCCCCTTGAACTTAGAATTTTCCTCAAAAAATACTATTTCTTACTGTTTCTTCTTTATTTCTTAAGGGATCAACCTCATACTTCAAATATATTTACGTTATCATCATCCCCATCTTATGTGACAAGGTTCATAACTCTAGCACCAATATTTTCAGATTTATCTCCCTTTGAACTTAGAATTTTCCATAAAAAATATTATTTTTGACTGTAACTTATTTATTTCTAAAGGGATCAACTTCATACTTCAAATGTATTTACGTTATCATAATCCACATCTTATGTGACAAGGTTCATAACTCTAGCACCAATATTGCAAGAATTATCTCCCCATAAACTTAGATTTATTTACTAGAAAAATATTATTTTTTATTTTAATTTTTTTATTTTTAAAGGTATCTACCTCAAACTTCAAATACTTATTCCTTATCATCAATTACATTTTATGTGACAATGTTCATAACTCTTGAAGCAATATTTACAGATTTATCTCTCTTTGAACTTAGGTTTTCTTTAAGAAATATAATAACTTCTTTATCTTTTAAGGTATCTACTTCAAACTTCAAATATATATGTCTTATCATTACACAAATGTTGTGTGGTAAGGTCCATAACTCTAGCATGACTATTTCTAGAATTATTCCCCTTGATCTTGGAATTTATTTTAACAAATGTTATTTTTTACTATAACTTAATACATAATTATACATAATTGATTTTTCTTTCATAGTTTTGTCCTCCTTACTGCGTCCAGTATTTTATTAGTCGAGCTTGGCTGTCTCCTGTGACAGCTCTTGTTATACACCCATTTAAAAACAGGTCATCCCCATTTTAAAAAAAGGGTCATATTAAAGTTCTCCCCTGGCGGGCAGACGGATGGGCGGCAACCAATTTATCCAGAGCATATCTCCTACACACATTGAGGAATTTTAATGAAACTTCATATATGTGTAAAACATGTAATTTAGGTTAATATATGCAAGGTCAAGGTCACTAAAGATGATAAAATATAGAGATTTTTGTGTCGCCTCTACGGAGTAGTGGCGACATATAGGGATCACTTCTCCGTCGTCTGTCTGTCCGTCTGTCCGTCCGTCTGTCCGTCCGTCACAAAACTTGTCCGGACTACTCCTCATAAACTACTGGTGCAATTTCATCCAAACTTTACAGGAATGATCAGTACCAAGTCTAGTTGTGCATATTGTCAGCATTTTCCGGTTCAATGATTTTTGTCAGAGTTATGGCCCTTTAATAATTTTTAATTTTAAAGTTTGTCCGGACAACTTCTCTTATACCACTAATGCAATTTCAATGAAACTTTACAGGATTGATCTGTAGCTCAAGTCCTTGCGCATATTGCACGGGTTTTCTGGTTGAATGATTTTTGGCCGAGTTATGGCCCTTTGATAAAAAGGTGTTTTTTTCTGTGTGTTGCCAGATACACAAAAGCTTGTCCGGACTACTCCTCATAAACTACTGGTGCAATTTCATCCAAACTTTACAGGAATGATCAGTACCAAGTATAGTTGTGCATATTGTCAGCATTTTCCGGTTCAATGATTTTTGTCAGAGTTATGGCCCTGTTATAATTTTTATTTTTAAAGTTTGTCCGGACTACTTCTCTTATACCACTAATGCAATTTCAATGAAACTTTACAGGATTGATCTGTAGCTCAAGTCCTTGCGCATATTGCACGGGTTTTCCGGTTGAATGATTTTTGGCCGAGTTATGGCCCTTTGATAAAAAGGTGTTTTTTAGCTCACCTGTCACAAAGTGACAGGGTGAGCTTTTGTGATCGCTTTTCGTCCGGCGTCCGTCCGTCCGTCCGTCCGGCGTCCGTCCGTAAACTTTTGCTTTAAATGACATCTCCTCATAAACCACTGAGCCAATTTCATCCGAACTTGACAGGAATGTTCCTTTGGTGGTCACCTTTAAAAATTGTTCAAAGAATTTAATTCTAGGCAGAACTCTGGTTGCCATGGCAACCGAAAGAAAAATCTTTAAATATCTTCTTTTAAATAACCCTAAGAGCTAGAGCTAAGATATTTGGCATGAAACATCTTCTAGTGAGTGTTTACCAAGTTTGTTCAAATAAAAGCTCTGGGGTCAAAATTGGCCCCGCCCCAGGGGGTCATTGATTTTCCCTATATGCATATAGTAAAAACTTAAAAAATCTTCTTTTAAAGAACCCAAAGAGCTAGAGCTAAGATATTTGGCATGAAACATCTTCTAGTGAGTGTCTACCAAGTTTGTTCAAATAAAAGCCCTGGGGTCAAAATTGGCCCTGTCCCGGGGGGTCATTGATTTTCCCTATATGCATATAGTAAAAACTTAAAAATCTTCTTTAAAAGAGCCGTAAGAGCTAGAGCTTAGATATTAAGCATGAAACATCTTCTAGTGGATGTCTACAAAGTTTGTTCAAATAAAAGCCCTGGGGTCAAAATTGGCCCCGCCCCAGGGGTCATATATTTTCCCTATATGCATATAGTAAAAACTTAAAAAATCTTCTTTTAAAGAACCCAAAGAGCTAGAGCTAAGATATTATGCATGAAACATCTTCTAGTGAGTGTCTACCAAGTTTGTTCAAATTAAAGCCCTGTGGTCAAAATTGGCCCCACCCTGGGGGTCATTGATTTTCCCTATATGCATATAGTAAAAACTTTAAAAATCTTCTTTTAAAGAACCATAAGAGCTAGAGCTAAGATATTTGGCATGAAACATCTTCTAGTGAATGTCTACCAAGTTTGTTCAAATAAAAGCCCTGGGGTCAAAATTGACCCCGCCCAAGGGGGTCATAGATTTTCTCTATATGCATATAGTAAAAACTTAAAAAATCTGCTTTTAAAGAACCCAAAGAGCTAGAGCTAAGATATTTAGCATGAAACATCTTCTAATGAGTGTCTACCAAGTTTGTTCAAATAAAAGCCCTGGGGTCAAAATTGGCCCCGCCCCAGGGGGTCATTGATTTTCCCTATATGCATATAGTAAAAACTTAAAAAATCTTCTTTTAAAGAACTCAAAGAGCTAGAGCTAAGATATTTAGCATGAAACATGTTCTAATGAGTGTCTACCAAGTTTGTTCAAAAAAGGGCCCCGCCCGGGGGGGGGGGGGGGGGTCATTGATTTTCCTTATATGTGTATAGCAAAAACTTAAAAATCTTCTTTAAAAAAACCCAAATAGCTAGAGTTTAGATATTAAAGTATGAAACATCTTCTAGTGAGTGTCTACAAAGTTTGTTCAAATAAAAGCCCGGGGGTCAAAACTGGCCCTGCCCCAGGGGGTCATTGTTTTTAACTATATGTGTATAGTAAAAACTTTTAAAATCTTCTTAAAAAAACCCAATGAGCTAGAACTTAGATGTTTAGCATGAAACATCTTCTTATGGGTGTCTACCAAGTCTGTTCAAATAAACAAAATAAAAGCCCTTGGGTAAAAATTGGCCCGGGGTGTGGGGGGGTTAGGGGGGCTATATACAGGTGAGCGACCTCAGGGCCATCATGGCCCTCTTGTTTCTGTGTGTTGCCAGATACGCAAAAGCTTGTGAGGACTACTCCTCATAAACTACTGGTGCAATTTTATCCAAACTTTACAGGAATGATCAGTACCAAGTCTAGTTGTGCACTGTCCGTCTGTCTGTCCGTCTGTCAAAAAATTTGTCCCAACATGAAATTGGCCATCATGAGGCGACACATGTGATTACTGATCGCTCTTGTTGTCCATAGCATATCTCTTACACATATTGAGGGATTCTAAAGATAATTTATAGAAATGTTCACTACTACAAGAAGCAGTGTCATGTGCATGTCAAAGGTAAAGGTCACTCTTAGAGGTCATTGAAAAAATCTTGTCCTGAGCAAAACTTCTACATGCATAGAGGGATTTCAATATAACTTGGCACAACTGTAAAGCTCAGTGTAGCATGCAAAATTCAAGTGCCTATGGCCAAGGTCAAGGTCACACATAGGGGTCAAGGTTCAGATAAAATATGAAAATGTGTATTCAGACCATTTAGTCATCATTTATTGAGGGATTGACACACAAGTGGTTTTTATCATAACTACCATTGTGAAGCTAAGTATTTCACACATAATCCAGGTCCCTGCAACCAAAGTCAAGGTCACATGGAGAGGTCAAAGTGAGTGTTCGGGGACCATTTAGTCTTCATTTATTGATGGATTGTAACACAAATGATAATTAATTATCATGACTACAAGTGGGACACATGCAATTTAGGTTCATATTTGCAAGGTCAAGGTCACTAGAGATGATAAAATATCCAGATATTGTCTGAATATTGCCTAGAGCATATCTCGTAAATTATGTTTCTAGGGTTTTCAAGCAGGATACCTGAAAATTTTCCATTATGGACTATCCTTTTTCGCTGGACTTTCCCTTCTCAATAACATTCACATAAATAAGCCTTTGTTAATATCAATTTTCTTTTTTTTATATTTGCTTGTTTGGAAATCCAGTTAATATTTATTTGTTTTAAGTTATTTTCTTGTTTTTTGGATTTGAAAATTTTTGCATAGAGTTAACATATTTTTTTTTTGCTTTTAACATATCTTTTTGGTACTGTTACTGATTGTATTTCAAAAGCTAGATAATTTCCTAAATCTAGCGCTACTAAAATATTGTTTTTGTTAATTTTTTCCTAGTTGGAGATGTTTTTCTTCTGCTATGTTTTTTTCTCTCGCTTGAAGTAGATAATGCTGCAAACTTAAATAGTTATAATTATATATTTTTGAGGAATATAGAATTGTAATACTTCTACAATATGAGGGACATAAATTGTTCTGTCTTACATCTGGAAACATTTCTTGATAATGTAAAATTTGTAATCTTTATTTTTGGACAATGTCTAAAAATGCCATTAATACATAGTGATATAAAGGAAGGACCTTGCAGTGCTTATTGTTTGATGTATTTAGCAAAGGAGCCGCGTCATGACAAAACCAACATAGTGCGTTTGCGACCAGCATGGATCCAGACCAGCCTGCGCATCCACACAGTCTGATCAGGATCCATGCTGTTTGTTTACCAACTCTATTACAAGTAGAGAAACTGATAGCTAAAAGCATGGATCCTGATCAGACTGCGCGGATGCTCAAATTCATTGACGTTCAGACAAAGGAAATTTACCGTGAATTGTTGAATTTATATATAAGGTGACTTATAACCAGTAGAGTGGCATGGTCGGGAGATTAACTCGTCAAATTAGTAATCTAAGGATTGCTGGACATGTAGGTTTAAACCCTGTCAGGGGCAAGCCATTGTTTCCTTGTGCCTGAAACTTTACATTCAGCGCATAGTACTGGTTGTTTCCAGGAACAGATTTTAGAGTGTATCTTTATGCTGATAGCTTTCTAAGCAATCAAACTAAAATAAAGTCTTTAAAATCCATCCTATAGTGCAAGATATTTTTTATTGTCATTATGTATTTTATTGTTGCAATATCTCACTACAACAAATGTTTTATATTATCATATACATGTATAAGCATCATAAATATTAGATGTGATATTTGCGATGATTTATAACAAGATAGAATTGATTATTATGAACTATAATATGCATGTGCATGTTAGATATGAACAAACAGATGTTTAAGTACAGAATTACAAGTTATTGGCCTGACCTGATGTTATGAATGTAATAGCTATTGTTTTTTACATTATGATGTATTGCAGAATAACACATGTTATGATGTTATGATAATACAAGTATATGCAGTATTAACAGATATCAATTTTATTTTATATTAATTTTGATCTGCTCAATATCATATAGAAGAATTTTAACAGTATAACTTTGTAACATTTAGTCATACATTTCTGTCTGTTGCAACTTGCTGGTGTTTTTTTACAAGAATCTTAACCCTAAACCTGCTAGAACCAAATGTGATCAGCCTTTGTCACCAGTATAGAGCCAGGCAGTCCTGCACATCCATGTAGTCTGACCAGGCTCTATACTGTTGGCAGCTCAATTTTTGTATTTTGATATTGAAATCCCTTGAACTTTGAATGGACTGTTTCAAATTCAAAGCTGGACAGATCCCTTATAGAAATATAGCAGGTTATACTGGTTAACATGAACTTTGTAACATTTAGTCATTGTATTTGTGGCTATTTTTTAGGACCCAGTTAGAACAGAAGGAAGAGCAGTATAAGAATAAGGGGCTGATAACAGGGCCAGAAGCCCAGAAGAAGATTGCTGCAGGGGACAATCAGGGGGCTATTGCTCAACTAGAGTCCGAGCTCACACAAGCCAAGGTAAATAGAACTCTAAAAAATTAAACGTTGTATATACAGTATAGTACTACCTCTGCAGGATAACTCTATTTGGGAGAAACAGTTACATTCCAAACTTTCCTGAAAAAGTTTGAATAGAATTTTGAAAGATTTGACAATTTTTAAAAAATTTTATATGCAATAACTATTTCCTTCATGAATTAGCAAAATTCAAAGATAAATTTAAAAATGCACGTTTTTCATTGAAATGCAACTAATAATCTTAGATGATATTTTCAGCGGACGTGTGATGCATTAAACCGTGAGATATCGGTACTGCAACAATCTCGAGTGGAGCTAGAGAAACATGTGGAGAAGTTGGTACTGGAAAGAGAGCACCTGAACAGGGAGCTGGAACAGTCAAAAACTATGAAGTCAGAGGAGGCAAGGGTAGGTTTAAAATCCAAATAAATTTCTATTGTCAGTTAAAGTGCGTTATTGTTTGTCACTATTAAATAAATAGCCAGGACTGTTCATTGTTGTTACACTGGTATGTGAAATGTAACTGAGTAATATAACTGGATAGGGTAATATGTTAAGGTATGTACAGGATGATATTTTAATATCATGCCTTCACAAATCCGCTCGTTTTATGCCATTTCAATCGTAAAAAAGAAAACTGGAAATTGACCTTATGGCTAGGTATAAAACTTCACCAAACGCGTATGATGAATCTATTCTGTAAAAATTCATTAAGGCCTGTTTATCATCTAAATAATAATAATAATAAAAAAATCCCTAAAATACTGTGCTCGCTGAAAAGCAGGCCCTGTCTACAGTATAATTGATAGATTATGAGTAAGATATTTTTACTGTTGGCAGCTCATTTTTTGTATTTTGATATTGAAATCCCTTGAACTTTTTGAATGGACTGTTTCAAATTCAAAGCTGGACAGATCCCTTATAGAAATATAGCAGGTTAACTGGTTAACATGAACTTTGTAAACATTTAGTCATTGTATTTGTGGCTATTTTTTTTAGGACCCAGTTAGAACAGAAGAAGAGCAGTATAAGAATAAGGGGCTGATAACAGGCCAGAAGCCCAGAAGAAGATTGCTGCAGGGGACAATCAGGGGCTATTGCTCAACTAGAGTCCGAGGCTCACACAAGCCAAGGTAAATAGAACTCTAAAAAATTAAACGTTGTATATACAGTATAGTACTACCTCTGCAGGATAAACTCTATTTGGGAGAAACAGTTACATTCCAAACTTTCCTGAAAAAGTTTGAATAGAATTTTGAAAGATTTGACAATTTTTAAAAAATTTTATATGCAATAACTATTTCCTTTCATGAATTAGCAAAATTCAAAGATAAATTTAAAAATGCACGTTTTTCATTGAAATGCAACTAATAATCTTAGATGATATTTTCAGCGGAATCGTTGATGCATTAACCGTTGGAATGAGTACTGCAGAATTCTTCGAGTGGAGGCTAGAGAAACATGGAGATTGGTTTGAACGAGAGACCTGAACAGAGCTGAATAGTCAAAACATTTATCAAGAGGCAAGGGTCAGTTTAAATCCAAATTAATATCTAACATATGGTTACATTGTTTGAAATTTTTTGCTTCCAGTCTATACTGTATTTATAAACAATATTAATTGATAAATAGCCAGATTGTATTAACATTATTTTAATAGGGTCAATATTGAAATTTAACTGGAAGATGTAAAGGACGTAAAGTTAGAGCAGGGAGTTTTCAAAAAAATACATGATTCAAAATCCGGTTGTTCTTCCTAATGTTCAATCTAAAAGAAGAAAACTGGAAATTGAACCTTATTGGCTAGGTATAAAAACTTCACCAAACGCGTAAGATGAATCTATTCTGTAAAAATTCATTAAGGCCTGTTTATCATCTAAATAATAATAATAAAAAAATCCCTAAAATACTGTGCTCACTGAAAAGCAGGCCCTGTCACCAGTATTATTGATAGATTATCAGTAAGATATTTTAAAACTCAAAGTAAGCACAGCAACATGACACTTTTTAGCTCACCTGTCACAAAGTGACAGGGTGAGCTTTTGTGATCGCTTTTCGTCCGGCGTCCGTCCGGCCGGCCTTCCGTCCGTCCGTAAACTTTTGCTTTAAACGACATCTCCTCATAAACCACTGAGCCAATTTCATCCAAACTTCACAGGAATGTTCCTTTGGTGGTCACCTTTAAAAATTGTTCAAAGAATTTAATTCCATGCAGAACTCTGGTTGCCATGGCAACCGAAAGAAAAATCTTTAAATATCTTCTTTTAAACAACCCTAAGAGCTAGAGCTTAGATATTTGGCATGAAACATATTCTAGTGAGTGTCTACCAAGTTTGTTCAAATAAAAGCCCTGGGGTCAAAACTTGCCCCGCCCCAGGGGGTCATTGATTTTCCCTATATGCATATAGTAAAAACTTAAAAAATCTTCTTTTAAAGATTTAGAACCCAAAGAGCTAGAGCTAAGATATTTGGCATGAAACATCTTCTAGTTTGTGTCTACCAAATTTGTTCAAATAAAAGCCCTGGGGTCAAAATTGGCCCTGCCCCAGGGGGTCATAGATTTTCCCTATATGCATATAGTAAAAACTTAAAAAATCTTCTTTTAAAGAACCCAAAGAGCTAGAGCTAAGATATTTGGCATGAAACATCTTCTAGTGAGTGTCTACCAAGTTTGTTCAAATAAAAGCCCTGGGGTCAAAATTGGCCCTGCCCCAGGGGGTCATTGATTTTCCCTATATGCATATAGTAAAAACTTAAAAAATCTTCTTTTAAAGAACTGTAAGAGCTAGAGCTTAGATATTTGGCATGATACATCTTCTAGTGAGTGTCTACCAAGTTTGTTTAAATAAAAGCCCTGGGGTCAAAATTGGCCCAGCCCCAGGGGGTCATTGATTTTCCCTATATGCATATAGTAAAAACTTAAAAAATCTTCTTTTAAAGAACCCAAAGAGCTAGAGCTAAGATATTTAGCATGAAACATCTTCTAATGAGTGTCTACCAAGTTTGTTCAAATAAAAGCCCTGAGGTCAAAATTGGCCCTGCCCCAGGGGGTCATAGATTTTCCCTATATGCATATAGTAAAAACTTAAAAAATCTTCTTTTAAAGAACCCAAAGAGCTAGAGCTAAGATATTTGGCATGAAACATCTTCTAGTGAGTGTCTACCAAGTTTGTTCAAATAAAAGCCCTGGGGTCAAAATTGGCCCCGCTCCGGGGGTCATTGATTTTCCCTATATGCATATATTTAAGTAAATATCTACAAAGTTTGTTCAAATAAAAGCCCGGGGCTCAAAACTGGCCCTGCCCCAGGGGTGTCATTGTTTTTAACTATATTGGCCTGGGGGGGGGGGGGCTATATACAGGTGAGAGACCTCAGGGCCTTCATGGCCCTCTTGTTATATTTGATGCCAATAAACCATCATAGATATACCCTTTTGCTGCCAAAACTATAATCACAGAAAATTGTAGAATTATTGTGTATTTGACAGGGAAATTTCCAAAAATCACATGTACTATAAAAATTATAAATGGATGCTCATTTTTATATTTCTTGTATATCCAGGAAATGAACAAGGATGTGATAACATTATTTTTATTCCAACTTCAAACAAACAAAAAAATCGATTAATATGCCATAATAAATCAAAATCAATTGGTTTATATTTCATTTAAGGGTACACACTCATCTTGTTTGCAAAGAGGTGATACTGTGAGTAGGACATTTAATAAACTAAAGGACTTCAAATAATTGATTACACATTCTTATATGATATAGGAATTAGAGAAGGAATACCAAAAAGACATAGATAAACTGAAGAACAAATTAAAATGGTATGCCGAGAACCAGGAACTACTGGACAAGGGAACCAGGAAGCTCAAGACCAGGGAAGATGAAATACACAAACTCAAGATGAGGATTGAAGAACTTCAAACTGAGGTATTAACACTGAAAAATTTTGAGGGTTTTTCAGATTAAAAAAGGAGAAAAAAATACTTTTTAGCATTGAGTTTATAGTATACATGTATCTGTGTTCCACTGAGAGTCACATTACTAGAGTCTTCAATCAAGATCACTCTTTTAATGAGCATTTCATCTTAAACATGTACTTTGTTACTTTCTATAATGGACGAACAGTTATATATTCAACAGTACTTTTGGTTTATACAGAATTTATTTTACCAGTATAAGAGCTAAAAGAGTACATCTTTTAGTTCCATTGTGTAGGAAGCTAAAAGTTTATAGAATATAGATACACTTTCGAAATCTGTTTCTGGAACCAACCAGTACTGAGCAATGAGTGTAAAGTTTCTTGCTCAAGGAAACAAGGACTGCCTCTGACTTGGTTTAAACCAATGACCTAGCGATCATTAGATTACTAGTCTGACGCATTTACTTATACATTCGGCCATTCCGCCAATTAAACAGTAGTTTTATAAACGTACAACAGCATACTGGATTACATTGTTTTGAACAGTTTTTTGCCTCTGCCAGTCCATATATGCTGATAATATTATAAACAATATGTATTGCAGTTTAAATAGAGACAAGTATATGTATATGATAAAACATATTATTTAATCAGGAGTACATATATTGAAAATTTTAGTCTGGCAAGCGTGTTGAGGACAGTAAAGTTAGAGCCAGGGAGCGTGCTGGTGACCAGAAGAAAATACAAGATCTGCAAAGACAGGTATGATCTTAACTGAAAGTTGCTTCATTGTCTGTATTTAAAAGGCCAATATAATTCATTGTAAAAAGTAGCCACTGTTGACAAGCAGTATCTGCAGAAAAGACATGTACCATTGTAATCATTATCAATTTGTAACACCAGTGGTTAGCCAAAATCATCACTCCTGTTTTGGCGCCGTATGACCTAAATGGTGTTGGTGTGATGTAAAACCAACCAAACCAACAAAAGGAATCATTTTTTCCTGTGCAAGAGTGGTTTCAAATGTTATTAGCTCACCTGTCACAAAGTGACAGGGTGAGCTTTTGTGATCGCTTTTCGTCCGGCGTCCGTCCGGCGTCCGTCCGTCGTCCGTCCATAAACTTTTACTTTAAATGACATCTCCTCATAAACCACTAAGCCAATTTCATCCAAACTTCACAGGAATGTTCCTTTGGTGGTCACCTTTAAAAATTGTTCAAAGAATTTAATTCCATGCAGAACTCTGGTTGCCATGGCAACCGAAAGAAAAAACTTAAAATATCTTCTTTTAAAAAACCCTAAGAGCTAGAGCTTAGATATTTGGCATGAAACATCTTCTAGTGAGTGTCTACCAAAGTTGTTCAAATAAAATTCCTGGGGTCAAAATTGGCCCCGCCCCAGGGGGTCATTGATTTTCCCTATATGCATACAGTAAAAACTTGAAAAATCTTCTTTTAAAGAACCAAAAGAGCTAGAGCTAAGATATTCAGCATGAAACATCCTCTAATGAGTGTCTACCAAGTTTGTTCAAATAAAAGCCCTGGGGTCAAAACTGGCCCCGCCCCGGGGGACATTGATTTTCCCTATATGCATATAGTAAAAACTTAAAAAATCTTCTTTTAAAGAACTCAAAGAGCTAGAGCTAAGATATTCAGCATGAAACATCTTCTAATGGGTGTCTACCAAGTTTGTTCAAATAAAAGTCCTGGGGTCAAAATTGGCCCCGCCCCGGGGGGTCATTGATTTTCCTTATATGTGTATAGCAAAAACTGAAATAATCTTCTTTGAAAAAAAACCAAATAGCTAGAGTTTAGATATTAAGCATGAAACATCTTCTAGTGAGTGTCTACAAAGTTTGTTCAAATAATAGCCCTGGGGTCAAAATTGGCCCCGCCCCGGGGGTCATTGATTTTGCCTATATGCATATAGTAAAAACTTAAAAAATCTTCTTTGAAAAAACCCAAATAGCTAGAGTTTAGATATTAAGCATGAAACATCTTCTAGTAAGTGTCTACAAAGTTTGTTCAAATAAAAGCCCTGGGGTCAAAACTGGTCCCGCCCCAGGGGTGTCATTGTTTTTTACTATATGTGTGTAGTAAAAACTTAAAAATCTTCTTTTAAAAAACCCAATGAGCTAGAGCTTAGATGTTTAGCATGAAATATCTTCTTATGGATGTCTACCAAGTTTGTTCAAATAAAAGCCCTTGGGTGAAAATTGGCCCTGCCGGGGGGGGGGGGGGGGAGGGGTGTGAGATCATTGTTTTTCATTACATGTGTGTAGTAAAAACTTAACATTGTGAAACATCTTCTAATGAGTGTCTTCCAAGTTTGTTCAAATAAAAGCCCTGGGTTTTAAACTGGCCCCACTCCGGGGGCCTATATACAGGTGAGCGACCTCAGGGCCATCATGGCCCTCTTGTTTTGTGGAGAATTTACATTCATATATGAAAAAGAAATAGTATTTTACTTTTTGTGTTAGTGTGAAATAACTTAAGGATAACATTTCAACACAGGTCAAAGAGATGGAGGCGATATTGAAGAGACGTAATCCAAATTCACTGCAGTCATTGATGATAGCTGCCGCGGCCGCACCTGATAATGCTGCCAACAACAACAGAACTGCCTACACGGAGGTACTAGAGAGTCGAGTGAAGAAACTGGAAAAAGAACTCGAGGAAAAAGATGGTGAGACCAATAAACTGATGCGTGGGGTTGAACAGAAATACCATTCTATTAAAGTAAGTTGTTGGCAAAAATGGTAATAGTTGTTACCAACACAAGAGATAATGGTAATAGTAAATATGACATGTGCTCAAGATCTGTCTCTACAATCATGGAAAGTATTCACTTAAAACTTGTCATAGGGGTGTCATCTTGGTCACAAGTTTAGGACATGTACCAAATCCTATGAAACTAGCATTGATTTTGATGCCCTTTTATTGACAGTTTGGGAGGGCATACTGTTTTTAGCTTGACTATACAAAATATTTGATGAGCTGTCCTACTCATACCAACATCCACATCCAGATTAAAGTTTTTGTGCAATAAAATATTTTTCATTATAACTTTTTTAATTCTAAAGGTATAATTTACACACTTCAAATATAAGTCCCTTATCATCAACCACATCTTATGTGACAAGGTCTATAACTCTGGACGAAATATTTTCAGAATTATCTCCCCTTGGTTTATACAAGTTTATTTTAGTTTGATTGTGTTGGAAGCTATTAGATTATTGAAACACTCTCGAATCCGTTCCTGGAACCAACCAGTACTAAGCAATGAATGTAAAGTTTCTTGCTCAAGGAAACAACGTCTTGCCCCTGACAGGGTTTGAACCCACGTGGTCAGCAATCCTTAGATTACTAGTCAGGCGCGTTAACCACTCGGCCGCGCCGCCACAATCTCCCCTTAAACATGGAATTTTCCTTATCCAGGATATTGTAATACTTTCAAGCACTAAGGAAAGTCAAGCATGCTGTCCTTCTGACAGCTCTTGTTATATCCATTTTCAAAAACTATTACTCTGATTTTAGTTACAATTTGAAGAAAGGATCAAGGAGTTGGAACTTCAATTATCCATATACCAGGGCCAAGCTGATCATGTCCATCCTCACACACATTCTTTGGCCCTGGAACGAGAATTGGAGAGTGTTAGAGAAAGATATAAAGTACAAGTGAAGGAATTACAAGCCGAGGCAGACAGGCTAACTGCTGAACTTGCCAAATCAAAGAAATCATTAGAAGGTAAGCTTGTGAATTTCTGATTAAAATCTCTCTTTTACTAGTAGCCAAACATTTTATTTCCCTTTGTGATAAAAACATTTCAAACACATGGAAGTTCACACATTGGTCCCGAAATTCTCATATTTTACATGAATCCTGAAATTTTCACATTTTTTCATCATCTCTTTGGTGTTGTTTATTTAGTTTTATATTAGAAGAAAAAAAGGTCAGATCACATAAAATTGAAAATATATGTTTTTATGTAAATGATGTAATTAATAATAATATATAATCATTAAATTTAATAATTAATTGAATTGATAAAGTGTTTACTATTCATATATGTAATTTGCAATAGGACAGCAAATATTGTCCCAAAATACATTAAACTTTTATGACTACAAGTATCCAATACAAATGCTCAACTTTCTTGATTTTCTGTGTCCAATTGTTTATGAAATCCATTTGTTAAAACTTGTTCAAGAGCTTCTAAATTGAGCTGCAAACAAACAATTTTTATTTTCGTGTCACTTTGTGAGCCAATTTTTATTTTGTGCTTTTATAGTGATAGTCGTTGTGTAAAGTCATTGATTAACTTTAAAGGCATTTTAAGCTGGTTTAAACTATCAGCATTATCTATTTATCTAAATCTTGTCCAGTTATTTTAGATTTGATTTGTATGTTTAAATTTAGTTTTTTCACATGTTTTTCTGATGGAAAATAGCATATAGTCTTACAGGAATGTATAAATAATTTTTTATTTTTTGTGTCAGGAAAGGCAGAAGCTGAGAATGCAAAGGAAGTTGAGACAGAGTTACGTACCTTGGTGAGATCTCTGCAACAGGAGGTAGAAAACAAAAACCATGATCTTCAGGTCATGCAGAAATCTTTAGAACGACTACGCAAAGAAAAGCACATGTCTTACACTAATGATTTAGGTAGGTTTTATAAATTTCTATTTATTATGCTCCCCGAAAAATTTCGGGGGAGCATATAGTCGTCGGGTTGTCCGTCTGTACGTCCGGAATTCGTGTCCGGCCCATAACTTCGTTATTTGAAGTCGGATTTTAAAAATATTTCACAGAAATGATCACCATATTGAGACAACTTGTCAAGCGCAACATTTTGCTCGCTACCTTGAAGGTCAAGGTCACAGCATGACCTTGCAGCAACATCGTGTCTAGTCCATAACTTCGTTATTTGAAGTCTGATTTTAAAAATATTTCACAGAAATGATCATCATATTGAGATGATGTATAATGCACAACATTTGGGTCGCTTCCTTGAAGGTCAAGGTCACACCATGACCTTGCAGCAAAATCGTGTCCGGCCCATAACTTCGTTATTTGAAGTTAGATTTTAAAACTATTTCACAGAAATTATCACCATATTGAGATGACGTGTGGCATGCAACATTTGGGTTGCTACCTCGAAGGTCAAGGTCACAACATGACCTTGCAGCAAAATCGTGTCCGGCACATAACTTCATTATTTGAAGTTGGATTTTACAACTATTTAACAAAAATGATCACCATATTAAATCGACGTGTCACATGCAACATTTGGGTTGCAACCTTGAAGGTCAAGGTCACAGCATGACCTTGCAGCAAAATCATGTCCGGCCCATAACTTCGTTATTTGAAGTTGGATTTTACAACTAAAGTAGAACTTCTATGAGTCGAACTTCGATTAGTCGATTTTCTTGATGTGTCGAAGAAAAATGAAAGTCCCGATTTTTCCCCCTATATATTCCTTATAAAAACCTATTCATGAGTCGAAATTTTCTGTGTCGAATTTTTCGATGTGTTAAAGTTTTTTTGTGGTCCATATAAAGTAAATCTAGTGCAATTTACCACAAATAAGTCAAAGTCGTTCGATTATTTTGACAACTTCGATCTTTTTCACACCTTATCTGGCTGCGAAGACGATTTCCAATCAACTTGTGTGACAGGTGTTAATTACACAGCCGTGTGTTCAAACAGCCTTTGTTCGCGATAAAATGTGTGATAAAATGCTTTAATCGTTTATATTTTAATTGCCGTAGTGATATTTGGAAGTAAACAGTAAGAACTACTTTCATTTGAAAACATTGGTAACCGGGTGTCACGTGAGAATAACATGCGAAATATTTACTATAAGCTGGTTTAGTTATCGCCCTTTCATATTGTTACACCTTTTGTAACTCTATTCCAATCAACTTGTGTGACAGGTGTTAATTACACAGTCGTGTGTTCAAACAGCCTTTGTTTGTGATAAGATGTGTGATAAAATGCTTTAATTGTTTCTATTTTAATTGCCGTAGTGATATTTGAAAGTAAACAGTTAGAACTACTTTCATTTGAAAACATCGGTAACCCGGTGTCGCGTGAGAATAACACGCGAAATATTTACTATTAGCTGGTCTACTTATCGGAACTTTCGTATTGTTACGCCTTTTGTAACTCTATTGTATACGTCAACGGGAAGCTCAAATAATTAGCCGTGAAAAAACTATTTAAAATGCTATATTTATCATTGTAAAATGTAAAATATCAGATTAATGATGGAAAAATATGAAATAGGTTTCGTTATAGATCTTGTAATTAGAACTAGTCACGGGTCGAAATTTTGTCATGGAATTGAGAGCAATTCATGAGTCGAAGTCCCGATGTGTCGAAGTTTTTACGCAAGTCCCTTCAACTTCGACTTACCGAATTTCTACTGTATTTCACAAAAATGATCACCATATTGAGACAATGTGTCATGCACAACATTTGGGTTATTTTTACACTTTGAACTTTGTCTGTGACATAACTCTGACACTACAAGAGGTATACCTTCCTGTGTCCAAAACCTATTTGGGGAGCATCACCCGGTTCAACCGGCTCTTGTTTTATATTACACGTATACTGAGATAAAAGATGTACATAGATTTGTTGTAAAGTCTGCATTTGAGTTGTATTTGGGTGTTGGGTGATACAACATTGAACTATGTAGTTATATACAGTATATAGTCCAGAATTTTTCTGAACCTGATTCAATGGCGATGTGGAGTAAATATTTAGTAGTTGTATCACGCCATGGTCATTGAATTTTTTCATGTGAAGAGGCTATCTAGCTAGCTTACAGAAGGTCATAGTTGTACATCAGTGCCCACATAATTATGCTACACATAATGCTCAGAAGAACTCCTAAGGCTTTCCACTGCCAGTTAAGTGGTATAGACACCATGTTGTTAAAAATGTCATTTAATGAAATTAGCAAAAAAGTGCATTTCTCTTACTTGTGGACAATGCTTTCCTTATCATCTGTTATTGAGAAGTTTAATTTTTTTTTGGCTAAGACTGTAGTAGTTAATTTTACATGTAATTATAATTTTAATTAGAGATTATAATTAGAATTTTATACTGAAGGACAATAATCACTTGACCATAATTGAGCTGCATTGGTTAAAAAAAGGGTTTGTTTTGTTTAATTGTTGATACAAATTTGAAACTAATTTAATAAGTCTGATTTCTAACTTAGTCCATCAGCCATAAAATCAAATAAATAAATAACATTGATGCTATTTTCCAGGTAAAAAGGGTAAACAGAAGGTCAAGGGAAGTAGATCTGACCTTACTGACACAGATGAGTTGTCTTCCTTGCCAAAAGAGAGAGAATATGAACCCAAAGTGTTCGAAGATGCTCATATTTCAGATGTGCTCAAAGAAAACGAGGATCTTAAAATGAAGGTAGGACAGTTGTATTCACAAAAATGATAAGCCTTTTGCCACCAGTATAGAGCCATGCCAGCCTGCATATCCATACAATTTGACCATGCTTTTATACTGTTGGTAGCTCTAATATTGTATATTGATATTGAGATTCTTTAAATTTTGAATGGAATTTACCACATTCAATGCTGGGCAAACATTCAGGAGAAGAATGGTTGATTAAAACAGACAATTTTTTTTTATTGAAATTGGAGGTCTTTTTCTTTTTTGATATGGCAAATTGCTTTGAACTGGTACCGTTCCATTTATGTATATGTTAGCTGAAAACATCTATGCTTCTATAATACAAATTTACATGTTTACAAACTAAGGCTGCGTAAAGTTCAGTGTTTTCAATTTTTTTTTATTTAGTGTTGCTACATGTAATTCATTCAGTAAGGTAGAAAATCTGTTGCTAGTTTGTGCTGAACATAAAACTGCTTTTCTTGAACTTTTTATGTAATAAAAACCCTTCAAGGTAAACAAGTATAAGAGATTTGACTTAAGTTTAAAATAATCATATGTAAATATTAATCTGACATGTTTGGGATCTGGAGCCAAGGTCATTTTTATCATAATATAGAAAGAGGTTGGGTATTTAACCAAATGAAATTGTTGAAATTTGGAAAAATTAATTCTCAAAAAGGTTGACAAGCTACACTTACAACTAGACCAGCACAGGGTAGATATACGTAAAGTTCTTGCCGAGAATGAGGGTGTCATGCGCGAGACAAGAGAAAACTACGAGGAGAAAATAGAACAGCTACGACGCTCCCACCAACAGGAAGTGAAACGATTAATGGCGCAGCAAGCCCTCGAACATTCAACGTCTCGCATGGCAGAATTACAGAGTAAAGTGGACACTCAGGAGGTATTATTAAATCTTAAGCCTGCTGGCAGCAACCCATGTGACCAATGCAGACCATGATTAGCCAGCATATATGTGATGTTTGATCATGGTCTGTACTATTTGCTATTCATTTAGTACATATTTTAAAATTTTGCCCTAAATATGATCATTTTAAAGATGGACAAGTCAATTCAAGATATTTAGTGTGGTCTAAAGTGTTTATATTCTTGGTTTGAAAGCAGAATTTTTAGCACTTAAGTGTTTTAATGATTTTCATGTCACCTGCTAAAGAGTAGCGGCAACATATCTGGATCATTTCTCCATTGTCTGCCTATCATTACTAAATAGGGATAAGGGGCCATCTTACTGTAAACAGAACAAACGAAATCAATAGAGTTCATACTGTTACTATAGAAAAAGGGGCCAAAGGCTCTGCTACAAAGTAGCCACAACATATAGGCAACAAACTGTCTAATTGCCCCTCAAAACAATCATCAGGTGACAGGTGAACATTGATCGCTCTTGTTCATACAAATTTTTCTTGAATTTGATAAAACCATTCCTTTAATGATATTTAATCAACATTTATAATAGAAATTATGTTTTTCTTTTATATTAGTGTTTGTTAAAATTGCAGGTGATGATAAAACATCTACGGGAGCAGCAGGCACGGCTAGAAGTGGAGGCCGAGGCTGCATCTGTTCTAAGGATTAAACAAACACGACTGGAGGAATCTATAAAATCTTTATATAAAGAACTCAAAGAGGCTAAAAAATCTCATTCTCCTGTAAGTACTTTGTCGTTCTTTTACTTTTATTTAACCTTTAGCTGCTGACTGCTGTTAATGCAGCTCTGATGCAACTATGATCAGCCTGTCGGTACATTATGATTACTTTGACTTTTGACATTCAGCACTTAAAGGCCCATTATGCCTCTTTTTTATTTCTCAAAAACTTTTTATTTGGTATTTGTTACGATTTAAAATATTATCAAACACATGTTTAACATTTCTAAACAATTTAGAAAAATATGGATTTCTGAGTCATGATGTGCCTTTAAAGTGACATTATGCTCTTATTTTCACTGTCAAGTTGAGCTGAATTAACTATATGTTTCAAAAGACTGACTGTATTATGGTGACTGAGCAACAGTTGATGTTGGAAAAAGTTTAGGAAAAAATATAGCTCTACCTATAGTATTAAAAGACTGTCCCACTCTTAATAAATTAAACGTTACAGGTTAATTCCATTGCTATTTATAGAATTTTCCTTGGGCCAAATGAGTTATTTATGTGAAGTAAGTAATTGAATTTGAAAGGAATTATGGCAAAATGAAAACTTATTTGGACTTTTAGCTGTTCACTCAATATATACCCTTGCATGGGCATAATGTCACTTTAATTTCTTTGACTTTGAAGTTGATCACTATTATTTATTTGAATTTGACATAAATTTCTTTGATTTTATATTACTATAATTTCTTTAACTTTTAACATTAAAACAATATAATCAAACTGAATAACTAAGCAACAATATTTATAGTGTTAAATGTTTATCACATTGGTATTCAAGATTTCCATCAATTACCATACTTGGAATTTGAGACTTGTAGGGAAGAATGGGCATGCTTTTTAGCTCACCTGTCACAAAGTGACAGGGTGAGCTTTTGTGATCGCTTTTCGTCCGGCGTCCGTCCGTCGTCCGTCCTTCGTCCGTCCGTAAACTTTTACTTAAAATGACATCTTCTCATAAACCACTAAGCCAATTTCATCCAAACTTCACAGGAATGTTCCATTGGTGGTCACCTTTAAAAATTGTTCAAAGAATTTAATTCCATGCAGAACTCTGGTTGCCATGGCAACCAAAAGAAAAAACTTTAAATATCTTCTTTTAAAAAACCCTAAGAGCTAGAGCTTAGATATTTGGCATGAAACATCTTCTAGTGAGTGTCTACCAAGTTTGTTCAAATAAAAGCCCTGGGGTCAAAATTGCCCCGCCCCGGGGGGTCATTGATTTTCCCTATATGCATATAGTAAAAACTTAAAAAAAATCTTCTTTTAAAGAACCCAAAGAGCTAGAGCTAAGATATTTAGCATGAAATATGTTCTAATGGGTTTCTACCAAGTTTGTTCAAATAAAAGCCCTGGGGTCAAAATTGGCCCCGCCCCGGGGGGTCATTGATTTTCCCTATATGCATATAGTAAAAACTTAAAAAATCTTCTTTTAAAGAAATCAAAGAGCTATGGCTAAGATATTGAGCATCAAACATGTTCTAATAGGTGTCTACCAAGTTTATTCAAATAAAAGCCCTGGGGTCAAAATTGGCCCCGCCCCAGGGGGTCATTGATTTTCCCTATATGCATATAGTAAAAACTTAAAAAATCTTCTTTTAAAGAACCAAAAGAGTTAGAGCTAAGATATTTAGCATGAAACATGTCCTAATAAGTGTCTACCAAGTTTATTCAAATAAAAGCCCTGGGGTCAAAATTGGCCCCACCCCGGGGGGTCATTGATTTTCCCTATATGCATGTAGTAAAAACTTAAAAAATCTTCTTTTAAAGAACTCAAAGAGCTATGGCTAAGATATTTAGCATCAAACATGTTATAATAGGTGTCTACCAAGTTTGTTCAAATAAAAGCCCTTGGGTCAAAATTGGCACCGCCCCGGGGGTCATTGATTTTCCTTATATGTGTATAGCAAAAACTTAAAAAATCTTCTTTGAAAAAACCCAAATAGCTAGAGTTAAGATATTAGGCTTGAAACATCTTTTAGTGAGTGTCTACAAAGTTTGTTCAAATAAAAGACCTGGGGTCAAAACTGGTCCCGCCCCGGGGGTCAATGATTTTCTTTATATGTGTATAGCAAAAACTTAAAATCTTCTTTGAAAAAACCCAAATAGCTAGAGTTTAGATATTAAGCATGAAACATCTTCTAGTAAGTGTCTACAAAGTTTGTTCAAATAAAAGCCCTGGCCCGGCCCCAGGGGTGTCATTGTTTTTAACTATATGTGTATAGTAAAAACTTTAAAAAAATCTTATTTTAAAAAGCCAATGAGCTAGAGCTTAGATGTTTAGCATGAAACATCTTCTTATGGGTGTCTACCAAGTTTGTGCAAATAAAAGCCCTTGGGTTAAATTGGCCCTGCAACGTTGGGGGTGGGGGTGGGGGGTTGGTGGCTGGCCTATATACAGGTGAGCGACCTCAGGGCCATCATGGCCCTCTTGTTTAAGTAAAGTCTTTAGTTTATACAAATATATTTTAGTAGCTATAAGCTGATTGAAACTCTATTGTGTCCGTTCCTGGAACCAACCAGTACTAAGCAATGAATGTAAAGTTTCTTGCTCAAGGAGACAATGTCTTGCCCCTGACAGGGTTTGAACCCACGTCATCAGCAACCCTTAGATTACTAGTCTGAAACATTAACCACTCGGCCACGCTGCCACTCTAACATGAAGTCTTTATTATTATTGTAAAATCTATTAAAATTTCAGGAAATGCGACATTTTGAAGAACTACAAGAGAAGATAATTCAGATAGAAGCGAAGCATTCTCAAAGAGAACAAGAACTTCAACAGATTATTAAAAACTCTAAACTTAGTGCTGACGTTGAGATAGAAAAAGAAGTAGAAAAGTGGCGTAAACTTGTGGAAACGAAAAATAACGAGATTCAGAAATTCCGAATGGAACTAGACTCTATCTTAGAAGTGTTGCGGGTATTACAAAAACAGGGCGTTATAATTCCATTATCATCATCTGCTGTATCATAGCATTTACTAGAAGGACTTGGTGTAACGAGATCGTATGCTCATTTGAAAAAGGAGAAACAACAGTTGTATAGGTTGACTTATATTTATGTATGAATTATGAAGACTGTGATATTAAGTTATTGATATGTTATGTAATGTCCCAGGTTAGAGAATGTCTGAAAGGGAACCAGTCGTTAGAATAGGAACCAGTCTAAAATTTTCATGATTGTATAGGTCAAGGGGGGAAAAAGACATGAAATTTGAAATTGACAAATTGTAGGTCAAAATTGAGACTGGTTAACTAGTTGAAAAATGAAAGTAGCTAAAATTTTGATTCATGAAAAAGACTTTGTTTCGTTAGATTTGACAGCGAGCTAGAAGTAGTACTTCTTAGATTACAGAGGAATGATATAGATATATATATATATATATACTGACTGAAAAATATGTAAACTTACTGAAATAGGTAGTGTAATACTATGTACTGTAGGCGATATAGTTTGCATTTGTAGATTATAAGATAGGAAAAGTTTACTCTAAAGAAGAGCTAAGTGTAAAGGTAAAGTGATCTTGTTAAGATTTATTGTCAACCTTTGACTCAAGTGCTTTATTGAAATTCTTATTAAGTTATTTAGTACAGGCAAGAACATTATACTTATACTTGATTTATAACACAGACTGCTGGGCCGGCAAAATCTTATTTTTACCAACTTGTCCCTTTTTATTTGGACCATTTCTTGACCTGTCATTATGATATTTTTATGCCACCGCAGCATCTGCGATGCGGTGGCATATAGCGATTCACCTGTGTGTGTGTGTGTGTTTGTTTGTGTGTGTGTGTGTGTGTGTGTGTGTGTGTTATATAGATTATATAGTGAACTTAAAAAATCTTCTTGTGAAAAACCAGTAGTCCAATTTCAACCAAACTTGGCAGGATTGATCCTTGGGTGAAGGGCTTCCAAAGTTGTTCAAAGAATTTCATTCCATGCAGAAATCTGGTTGCCATGGCAACCAAAAGGAATTATAAGAACAAATTTTAAAAATCTTCTTGTAAAGACCCAAAAGGCCTAGAGCTTAGATATTTTGCATAAGGCATTGTCTGGTAGACCTCTACCAAGATTGTTCAAATTATAGCCCTGGGGTCAAAATCGGCCCCGCCCCGGGGTCATTGATTTTCACTATATGTACATATAGTAAAAACTTAAAATACCTTATTGTAAAGACCCAAATAGCCTAGAGCTTAGATATTTTGCATAAGGCATTGTCTGGTAGACCTCTACCAACATTGTTCAAATTATAGCCCTGGGGTCAAAATAGGCCCCGCCCCGGGTCATTGTTATATAGATTATATAGTGAACGTAAAAAATCTTCTTGTGAAAAACCAATAGTCCAATTTCAACCAAACTTGGCAGGATTGATCCTTGGGTGAAGGGCTTCCAAAGTTGTTCAAAGAATTTCATTCCATGCAGAAATCTGGTTGCCATGGCAACCAAAAGGAATTATAAGAATAAATTTAAAAAATCTTCTTGTAAAGACCCAAAAGGCCTAGAGCTTAGATATTTTGCATAAGGCATTGTCTGGTAGACCTCTACCAAGATTGTTCAAATTATAGCCCTGGGGTCAAAATCGGCCCTGCCCCGGGTCATTGATTTTCACTATATGTACATATAGTAAAAACTTAAAATACCTTATTGTAAAGACCCAAATAGCCTAGAGCTTAGATATTTTGCATAAGGCATTGCCTGGTAGACCTCTACCAAGATTGTTCAAATTATAGCCCTAGGGTCAAAATCGGCCCCGCCCCGGGGTCATTGATTTTCACTATATGTACATATAGTTAAAACTTTAAATACCTACTTGTAAAGACCCAAAAGGCCTAGAGCATAAGGCATTGTGTTGTAGACCTCTACCCAGATTGTTCAAATTATAGCCCTGGGGTCAAAATCGGCCCTGCCCCGGGGGTCATTGGTTTTCGTTATATGTATATAGTAAAAACTTTAAAAAAATTTCTTCTAGCAATTGACAAATGCTAGAGGTTAGATATTTTGCATGAAACATTGTGTAGTGAACCTCTAGCAAGATTGTTCAAATTATAGCCCTGGGGTCAAAATTGCCCCCGCCCCGGGGGTCATTGATTTTCAATATATACATATAGTAAAAAATAAAAAAATCTTATTGTCTGTAGGTACAAGGTACAAGGCTTCAAAAACTTAAAATACCTTCTTGTAAATGCCCAAAAGGCCTAGAGCTTAGGTATTAATGCGGTGGCATAGCATTTTTCTCAAATGCAATCTTGTTTATAGTATATTTTCACTTGTCCAAACAGGCTGTGGAACAACTCAAGCAATACAGATTTTCCCTCCCCTGCAGACCGCCACTTAGCCCATAACTTGCTGGGTCTTAAAGTAATTAGACTTTGCCACCAGTATGGAGCCAGGTCACCTCCACATCCTGAAGTCTGACCAGGCACTTTACAATCTATAGCTCAATTTTTGTACTTTGATATTGAAATCCCTCAGACTTTAAATGGATTGTTCCAAATTCAATGTAGATATAACCAAGTTTTTGCAGATTAATTAAAGACATGTTAACAAAGAAGAAAAGAAAAACAACAAGAACTCAAGTTGAAGAATATCTGTTTTTGTACTTTATTATTTTGTGTTATTAACATGTATAGATGTACATAAGATATTATATTTATTCTATTTGTATAGAAGAAATATTTATTAAATCATAAAATATAACTTATAATGTAACTCATCTGGTTGTTGTTATATTTTTTCTGGGCCTTAGGGATGATATCATCCTTTTTTTAATGTTAAGCACTGCTTAAGCCGTTTCATGGGGATGTGAGAGATGTTGTACTTTTGTTCCTATATTTTGAACAGACTTATGCCAATGCATTAAAAAATCAGATATTTTCTCCCCACTACCCCTATGTTTTCTGGTGTGTTTTTTTAGCTCACCTGTCACAAAGTGACATGGTGAGCTTTTGTGGGCGTCCGTCCGTAAACTTTTACTTTAATCGACATCTCCTCATAAACCGCTAAGCCAATTTCATCCAAACTTTACAGGAATGTTCCTTTGGTAGTCAACTTTAAAAGTTGTTCAAAGAATTTAATTCCAAGCAGAACTGTGGTTGCCATGGCAACCGAAAGAAAAAAAAATTAAAATATCTTCTTTTAGAAAACCAAAAGAGCTAGAGCTTAAATATTTGGCACGAAACATTATCTTGTCAGTGTCTACCAAGTTTGTTCAAATTAATGCCCTCGGGACAAAATTGGCTCCGCCCCGGGGGTCATTGATTTTCCTTATTTGTATATAGTAAAAACTTGAAAAATCTAACCAAGTTTGTTCAAATAAAAGCCCTGGGGTAAAAATTGGCCCCGCCCCAGGAGGTCATTGTTTTCCCCTTTATATGTATATAGTAAAAACTTTTAAAAACCCCAAAGAGCTAGAGACAAGAAATTTAGCATGAAACATTTTCTAATGGGTGTCTACCAAGTTTGTTCAAATAAGGGCCCTTGGGTTAAAATTAGCTCCGCCCCGGGTGTCATTGATTTTCCTTGTTTGTGTATTGTAAAAGCTAAAAAATCTATTTATAAAAACCCAAAAGAGCTAAAGTTTAGATACTTATCAAGAAATATCTTCTTCTGAGTGTCTACCAAGTTTGTTCAAATAAAAGCGCTTGGTTTAAAATTGGCCTTGGCCCAGGGGCCTTTATACAGGTGAGCGATTTTAGGGCCATCATGGCCCTCTTGTTAGATTAATCTTTTAGCTTTTTATTTGCCTAGCCAGATCATGTAGTTTATTGTTTGTGCAATAGTCCTAGAGAATAATGGTGCCAACAATACTGATGGATTTATCGGACATCATCAATAATACACTAATATACGTATATTTATTGCTCAATGCTTATAAAGCTTTTGATGAATCACAGTGACATGTGTACAATTAAAATCACATAACTTTTTATACTAAGAACTTTACAAAAAGGAGGCATACATATATATTCTTTCACACCAGAATAGAAATGTGTCCATAGGACATGGATGCCCCCACACTCCACTGTCTAGTGACGTATAACAAAGGAAATTTTACATGACTCCCTCTACCCTTAAGTGGTTGGGGCATAAAAACATGTGGTGTATCATGCATTTTTTGGAAGAAAATCACTTGTAATCACTGTTTAGCTATCCGTGAAAACCGGTAACGTTGACAATCCGCTGAGATATGATCAAATATGTGATAAAATCACAGTAAAAACAGAAAAATTATCATGAAATATTTCCGAAGACGATGAACAAAAGCACATACATGTATGAACAGATAAAAAAACAAACTGAAAAAGTAGAGATCCATCGGAAGCAATGACAACAATAATATTAAATGAAAACTGCAGACTTGGTTTGATTTAATTTTCAACACTTTCGTTAGATACTGCAAAAGTGCAACAGCACATATGCCCCCAAGCACCGGCTAAAGCGGTATTCAATTTTCAACACTTGCATGATGGAATCAGTGATCCCGAAGGAGCAGGGAAATATAGCAAAACTGATGTAAAGTACGCACAATTTTGTAAAGTACAGAATGTTGGAAAAGAGGCGATCCATCGGAAGAATTGATGTAAAAATGCAACATCCCTCATGCCCCTATCACCGGCTTGATGGGTATTCATTCTTCAACACTAACATGCTGGAAATAATGATCCCAAGCACCATAAATAAATCACAAAAATCGATCACATGGAAATTGCAGACTGTATGACTGAGTATGTACATTAGGGATAATAAAGTGCAACATCCCTCATGCACCCTAACATCGAATGGAGCGGTACTCAATTTTCAACACTTAAAGTGATGGAGGTAAAAAACCGGGCAAATTTTTACAGTTAATTGCCTCTGTTCGATTATAAAAGTAATAAGTTTACATTCCTGCCCCCCATAGATATATGTGATTTCCTTACAAGTACATTTTTATCGTTACAGTTTTTGATAAAATTGCATGGTATGTAATTTTGATTTGGTCCTGTCACAACTATTGAAAGAGCCACATATCATTTCATTGTCTTTTGGCAAGATTTGCTTCTTCTCAAACTTATTATAATTGTTATCTATTTGAATTCGTACATAGCTTTAGAAATTATATTAGACTAGCCTCGCGGCTCGTCCAATATGATTTCTCTAGATGTGTACTCGTCCAAATATATTCCCGTATTGTACAGTAAAATGTTTCATAACCTTTGGATATATAATAAGCACTCGCTAATGATAAGTCAGTTTGAAAACCATATTGACGACCGCAACATTAGTTGTACCTACAGCTGCTTCTATAGCAGTAATCAATTTCAAAACTTGAGGTGTTTTAATCAATACAAGCACTTTTATACCAAATAAACCAATATTGTTCAATGCTCATAGAAAAAAAAACATACAATACAATTATGAAATGAGATTAGACATGTAATGGGAAAATATAACTATGTATACTATTTCCTGGAATGTCTTATGGTAGTAGGAAAAATAGGTTGCACTAATTACTAAATTGTTTTATAAATAGTATCTCATTCAGACATGTTCTCTTCATTAGCAAAATAAAAACGCTTTAAAAATAATCTAGCTATATTTTTTTGTTAGAATTTTGTATAGAACCAATTAATTATCCCTTTAAAAAGCTTTTTTTCAAAGCACTCTATATCTTGTTTAAAAATACAAACACTTCAAAAGATAATTTAGCTTCGCTTTTTATTTAAAATTTAGTATAGATTTAAATATCTCTAAGGGCCTTTATTTTTCTTTTCCAAGCACTCTTCATCTTGGACACACAATCAAAAAGTCATTCAACTGGGTTCTTGATACAGGACTTAAAACGCCACTGATCATGCAATTTTTAGCTCGACTATACGAAGTATATGGAGAGCTGTCCTACTCGCCCCGGCGTCGGCGTCCGCGTCCGCGTCCAGATTTCAGATTAAAGTTTTGGTGCAGTAAAATATTTTCCACTATAACTTTGTCATTTCTTAAGGTATCAACTTCAAACTTCAAATATATGTTCCTTATCATCAACCACATCTTATGTGACAATGTTCATAACTCTAGCACCAATATTTTCAGATTTATCTCCCGTTGAACTTAGAATTTTCCTTAAAAAATACTATTTTTTAATGTTACTTCTTTATTTCTTAAGGGATCAACCTCATACTTCAAATATATGTACCTTATAATCATCACCATCTTATGTGACAAGGTTCATAACTCTAGCACCAATATTTTCAGATTTATCTCCCCTTGAAATTTTCCTCAAAAAGTACTATTTCTTACTGTTTCTTCTTTATTTCTTAAGGGATCAACCTCATACTTCAAATATATTTACGTTATCATCATCCACATCTTATGTGACAAGGTTCATAACTCTAGCACCAATATTGCAAGAATTATCTCCCAATAAACTTAGATTTTTTTACTAGAAAAATGTTATTTTTTATTATAACTTTTTTATTTTTATAGGTATCTACCTCAAACTTCAAATACTTATTCCTTATCATCAATTACATTTTATGTGACAATGTTCATAACTCTTGAAGCAATATTTACAGATTTATCTCTCTTTGAACTTAGGATTTTCTTTAAGAAATATAATAACTTCTTTACTTTTTAAGGTATCTACTTCAAACTTCAAATATATATTTCTTATCATTACACAAATGTTGTGTGACAAGGTCCATAACTCTAACATGACTATTTCTAGAATTATTCCCCTTGATCTTGGAATTTATGTTAACAAATATTATTTTTTACTATAACTTAATACATAATTATACATAATTGATTTTTCTTTCATAGTTTTGTCCTCCTTACTGCGTCCAGTATTTTATTAGTCGAGCTTCGCTGTCTCCTGTGACAGCTCTTGTTTGTATGTCTCCTATTTCAATAAGTGGCTTGTGGGCAGATATGCGGAATTTTGATTATGTTTTCATATAATTTCTATCTTGTATGCAACCAATATAATTTATAAATATCAAAGACCAATGATGAATTGACTGTTTTTCGCCCACACGTTTGTCAAAGATTATTGAACTCCATTTAAGTGATTGCATAAAATAGACCGTATAAGCTGGTACTTCATCGGATATAGTTGGGCGGCCGTTCTAATCCACTTAACAACAACAACAGAAAATAAGGTCGCAATTTGCTTTAAGATATATTTAACTTTGATAGTTTTGATACCAGTTCTTTTATCAATTATCATACATGTTTCCCATTAAAATTCGTAGCCTAAAGCAAATGGTTTTGGAACATACTAAGAAATTCACCGGGATCTACATCTAATTGGAACAAAAAAAAAGTGATAAACAAGATCAACACGGAAGGGCGGCGTTCAATGAACGCAACTCCCACACGACCCAGTAAAAGGAACCGCGGCAAGGAGCCCAGGAGGACCCCAAACGAAAATAGGACAGGGCGCAAGGCAGAGCACGGACAGGACACATATCTTACAGCTCTTAACAAACATGAAACGGAGAGAGTTCTTTAAAAAGCTTTTCAAGCTTACTACTTAATCCATACAATTTATTTTTTGTCAATAATCATGTAAATGTAATGTTTATAAACAAAATATTATTTAAACTAAACATGAAACTGACTTTATAGCGCACCCTAAATGTGCACGAAAAATTATTGGAATTTCCAATTAGTAAATAATTATACATATATATATATATATATATATATATATATATATATATATATATATATATGAATTTTTTTATGTTTTTGTTCAGTCGAAATAATGAATATTTCATTGAATAGAATCACTCGTGCATGTCATGAATTAAAGAATGCAATTTATTTGATGGCACTGTATGAATATTTGATGTGCATGTATATTATGATTAATGGTTGTTACTTGGTGGATACTTAAATAAATGACGGAGCTCAAACAGCTTTCAGGGATTGCAAAGTAAGGAACTATTTGCATACAAATGACATATAGGGATTCTGGAAATATTTCACAATAACGATTCCAAGTCAAATTTATTGAAGAAAAAACAAACATTTGCTAGAATGTCTGAATTTAAAATTATTTTATTGATAATAATTATCGTTTTTGGTGCTTTTGGAAATATCATTTCTATGATTGTATGGAGATATGGTAAAAGAAGCTGTACAGCAAGCTGTCGCAGATATATGTGGAGTTTAGCTCTCAACGACTTGGTGTTATTGATGGTGCTTGGGACGGTACACGCGTTGTACGAGTCCAACATTGATATACTAAGAACCAGTTTTATAGTATGTAAGCTCCTGCTATTCTTAGACCTATTTTTGCCTCAGCTGACTGCCTGGATAACGGTTGCAATTGCAATTGAACGGACGTTATGTGTATGTTTTCCTATTCGGGTGAATAAGATCAGTGTAGAAAGACGGTCTTATTTGATATTATGCCTTATCGTTCTTTTTTCATTCGCACTGAACTGTTTTGAACTATTTTCTCCTGAAACATTGTGTACACAAATAACTCAAGGTAACAGTTCCGAAGCTTTCGAACTACCAAATTCATATTATCACATGGTTTTGATTTCATATGGACTATTTACATTTCTAATTCCTCTCGTACTTTTATCAACGAGTAACTGTATAACATGGATAAAGGTATTTAAGCGCAAAGGGAGAGCGTTTCAAAACTCGACGAATCAAAGACATCTTAGGAACATAACAAAAGTTGTCATAAGTGTAAGTTTGTTACATTGTATTTCAACCATGCCATACTCTATCCTTATAATAAATATAAGTGAAGAAATGTTTAATGAATTATCCGATATTGCAGTATACTTAATGGTTATAAGTTACTTTCTAAACAGTGTATTCAACTGTATCGTGTATTGCATATTTGGCAAGTTTTTTAGAACAGATTTGAAAGAGTTATTTACAGGTCTTTTAGGGAGTCGAACAAGTTTAAGCTCCACCGTACGTGACCGAAATACCACTCATGCGATAGTAACTATTTGTGATACAGTTGAAGAACACAGGGAACAAAACTCTGATAATGTAAATGAATTAAACGTTTACCAGCGATCGGTCTTTAAAAATGCAGACATAGAGGGCGCTGTAAGTGATTTTGATGAACAGACAAAGTGTGGGATAGAACTACGAGACTTGAAAGTTTATGCAAATGAACGACAAGAACAGACCTACAGTTACAATTTCTGAACAACATAAAGCTTTCGTATAATTCTGACTCAAAGTGTGTTTTTGTTCTATTACAAAAGTGAACGATGATAAAAACAAAATTGGCTTTTAGAATCCTGTTTAAAACGATACTATATTCCGACCATTTCACGGACAAAAATCTAACAATTTTTAGCGAAGCTTACAATCAAAGCACAATAGAAACATGAAATTTCTGCCACAAAAAGTTCGATGCACGAAGTTTTACTTTTCTTATCCTATCTGAATATTGCGATAAATGGGGCACGAAAAGTAGAGGGTTGGAATTTCAGTTATCATTCCGAGTGACTGTTATATTTATTTTTTAAGCATATCTCTGACTGTATAATAGTAAAGTAATATTACAAATGTTATTTTCTAATTCATCTATTGATATTGTTGATTTTGTCGTCTGCTTGTTGTACAATCAACCAACAATTAATCAAAATAACATTGTCGCCGAGGTATGTAAAGATAAATGTTGATAAATGTTGATTGTTATCCCATTGAATAATAAAAACATAGACATTTTATCTATCATCTAAAAAAACTAATATATATTCAGTAAACAAGTTCATAAAAATTGATGTATCCAACTGTTTCTTTTTTCTCAATAAATCATAACGAATATAATTGTACAATAAATGTAAAGAAAATTATTGTATCACATTTGCGTTCCTTCTGCATATAAAATGTAAATTATTTTTCTTTTGAAAAACACTATTTTCTGGAGCCAACTCTTAGGATACTTTTCGTCTGATTTAATTGCAGATTAGCCTTTTGCATTAGATTTATTTCTTTTCTCTCTAAAACAATATATATATCGCGAAGCTTCTACCCAAGGAAAACAGCAGCAAAAGGCCCGGATGTCATGGCCTAATTTTGATAGATGATTTGTTCTTTTTGAATGTAGTCTATAGTTTATAAAGTCTTAGAATTTTCATAAAAAACACCATTGTCCGGAGCCATCCGTGTCATTACCGTTTGTTTAATTCAGTTGCATATTAGCCATTGCATTTAACACCTTTCATCATCATGCAGTTTAGCAATTGCATGTATTTTAGATTCTTCTTCACAACAATAAACGGTGCCAAGATCTTACCATCTGACAACGGCCACGAGAGGCCGGTATGGCATGATTTTTTGATACCTTTATAGTCTCGATTTCATTTCCAGAGCTCCAAATGTTAATATTAAAAACGTAATATTACATGTTTCAAAATCATTGTTTTATGATGTAATGGATTTATTTCACCCTGTTATTGCTTAAAACGGAACTAAATCTTGTCTGTATTTTTCACAAACCTTTACAAAAAGAGGTTTGAACCGATAATACGCTCTGTCTTAAACATTCCCCTGCATACAATGGTATATAAAAATGAGACATAAATCATTATAATTATAGTCTTAATACTTTATTCAAATTTCATACAATTCATATGAACACACGTGTCATTTAAAGTTCTCATATCAACCACCAAACTGTACATCCGAATTTTTTTTCTGAAAAAATATAAAAATATTATCTATGACAAAAGTATGTAATCATTATTTTTGCATAATGAAAACTTAAAATCAACGAAAACCTTACCGCATCGGGCTTTTAATTCACTGAGTCTCTATTTCGAACCTTAACCGAATACACATGATTCATGTGTTCCTTATGATTAAGACTTTTTCTCCTAGCCCCTTTGTCATAATCTTTATGAAAAAATACACAAACAACAAAAGTAAATAGCTAAACTATAAAAGTAGCAGAATTAAGTGCATACATTTGTTCTGCATAACAAAACTCATGCATCAGTAAAATTCGTGCAAATGATCCTTGATTAATATTACATTTTCTCATCAAGGTTTTTTACCCCTTTGCAGGTCTTTCGTCGTCCGTCAACGAGTTCCCTTGTGCTTGTTGCCCGGATGCTCCAGCATTTGCTTGATTTAACTTCTCGTTCTTTCCTGGTAAAATAATTGAGTATATGAAAATAGCAAAACAGCAAAAGTTTAATCTTTAACCAAAACCTCAAAACTTTAATCCTTAACTTGCAGATAATAAAGTCAATATTTATCTATTGTCTGATCAATTATATGTTGACAGCGAGTGGCACAACAATTATTTGTACATGTCAATGTATTTGTATATAATCTTTTCGATCTGCTGCCAAGAATGATTCACATTTAGTTAACACTTTATAAACAATACATTTGACATTTGCTAGGAATGTTTCTAAAAATAACAGGATACCTATAACACAGATAGATCTTGAAATTCATGTGAAATATGCTTCAAAAACAACAGAAGTGAAGATAACATTCTCAAGCCACAAATAATAATAAAAAATCTAGTGAAAACAATTTATTATGCAACCTTTTATTGCCCCGATTCACACATTAATAGTAGTGTTAGTAGGACGGGTATATCAGTCTTGTAGACAGCGAATAGTACACTGTGCAACTTGTTTACTTTATTGAAAAGTTGCTTTTAAGGCACGTAAGCTTCATAAACGAATAAATATTTACTCCTTTTTAATTAGCACATACGAGTTTTAGATCATGTAAGTCTATGGTTTTATAGCATGAAAAATCTTTTGTTACTTGAATGAACTAAGGATAAAATTAATTAATGTGAAATAACTTAAAAGAGGCAAAATGTAAACAAAGTAGTATTTTGCCTTCCATACAAAATACTAAATTACTAAAACAAATACACGCGCGCACACGGGTACGCACATCATTTAATCTATTAATCGTTATCCTTATATATACAATAGATCATTATTTAAGATATAGAATGAAATAAATAATATAGTAGAAAATAAGTAAAACATCAGAGTATAATTTTGACATATTATTGAAAATGATAATAAAACTGTATTTTACCTAAAGATTATCATGTCGAGATAAAATGTAATGACATTGACAAATATACATACTGTGGTCAAGTGCAAATACACTTCCAATAAGCCATACTCCTAAAACTCAAAAACACAAATTTACAGCTCATTGTTGTATGAAGATGACAATAGTTTAGGTAATAATGATAAATGTTTGTTAATTACCTGCATTTATACTTTATTAAATTTTGTATCAGAATGTGTACTTTAAGTTAAAATAAAAACCTAATAAATGGTAGAGTACAGGTAAACATAATTGCTTTTGAAAATTAAAAAAAGAAGAAGAAACACATGATAATTTTTTAGATAATATCACAATGACATAACGGCAGCTCACTGATTGCTTCAGTTTATTTTACTTGTGTTTTAAACATCGGATTTTGTAACAGATTGTGTACTTTAAGATTGCATCAAAACGAAAAAAGAAAGAAAAAGTACCGTTAAACTCGTATTGCTATTGAAAAACAGAAATACATTTTGAAATATTATAGACAATGTCACATCACGACAGCTCACTTACTTTCTTTCTTAATAATATAGTATAAAGTCAGCAAAAGTGATATACTTACATGCGATTCTTTTTGTTGAAACAAAAATAAATGAACATTTAAATGCAAATGCTATTCTTCCAATAGAATATATTAGGTTTATAATAATCATACAATTCTTTTTGGAATCAAGCCAGGGCGCTATTATGTTTGATGAACATTCAATATAGGAAATAAAAGGATCATATGCTCATGCATTTGTTCAGGGAAAAACATGAAAGATGGCTGAAAGCTATATGCTAAATAGAAAATTACACCAATCAGTTTCGAAAGCGCACATGCGCAATGACCGTGTTCCAAACTGACGTCGATTAACATAGTATAATTAAGGCTATTTTATATGTGTCCAATTAAAGTGTGAAGGATTTTACCAAGCATATGTACTTTGTGTGAATTCAAAACATGTTTTTTTTTATATTTACAAAAATACTGTGTAGCAATTATGAATATTTTTAAATAACAAATCTGAGCATTTTAGCAGTATATCTTTAATAAATACTGTAATAAGTATATAAATTATATCATTGTATAGATGAAAACAAAAAATCCACACAGCAAGTTTCACAAAAAGATGATCTAACAAGTTTACAAAGGCCAGGCATATCCGTTTTTATATTTCTTGATTGTTATGATATTGCCTGTTGATTTAATTGTACTAACATTGACAGAAAGTCTAACAATCTTGAACAAATAATAACATAGCTATTGCTTAATAATATATACTACAAAATACATAGGAAATTGTTCGACACATAATTCCACATGTGTAGATCAGATCTATATGCACAATATGCCTTTTTTGTGTAAGTAGGTACATCTATAAAAATCTGTGTATATATCAACTGTCCTATTGATCAAAACATTTTTATATTAATTCATTCATACATGCGCAAATAATTATATCTGTTTTATATAATGCACTGTTATATGTTCGCAAACATATGTTCGATTTTATTTTTTTGTTACTTCTAGGAAACCGCTGACAACATATTTGGGGGTCTTGTAAGCAACTTATGTAAAAAATCTGGAGAAGGAAAGATCCCTGGATAAATGTTGATAAATGTTGATTATTATATCCATTGAATTATAAAAACATAGACAATTTATTTATCATCTAAATAAACTTATGTATATTCAGTAAACATGCAAATAAAAATATATGTATCCAACTTTTTCCTTTTTTCTCAATAAATCATAGCGAATATTATTGTACAATAAATGTAGCTTTCGAATTCATGTACAGCAAAACTGCTTTCCGGTTTACATTCATTAATATGACATGCTGCGAATCACCGTACGTGACCGAAATACCACACATGCGATAGTAACTGTTTGTGATACAGTTGAAGAACACAGGGAACAAAACTCTGATAATGTAAATGAATTAAACGTTTACCAGCGATCGGTCTTTAAAAATGCAGACATAGAGGGCATTGTTAGTGGTTATGATGAACAGACAAAGTGTGGGATAGAACTACGAGACTTGGAAGTTTATGCAAATGAACGACAAGAACAGACCTACAGTTACAATTTCTGAACAACATAAAGCTTTCGTACAATTCTGACTAAAAGTGTGTTTTTGTTCCATTACGAAAGTGAACGATGATAAAAACAAAATTGTACACTGTGGCTTTTAGAATCCTGTTTAAAACGATACTATATTCCGACCATTTCACGGACAAAAATCTAACAATTTTTAGCGAAGCTTACAATCAAAACACAATAGAAACATGAACTTTTTGCCACAAAAAGTTCGATGCACGAACTTTTACTTTTCTTATCCTATCTGAATATTGCGATACATGGGGCACGAAAAGTACTATCCGGTAGAGGGTTGGAAATTCAGTTATCATTCCGAGTGTCTGTTATATTTATTTTTTAAGCATATCTCTGACTGTATAATAGTAAAGTAATATTACAAATGTTATTTTCTAATTCATCTATTGATATTGTTGATTTTGTCGTCTGCTTGTTGTACAATCAACCAACAATTAATCAAAATAACATTGTCGCCGAGGTATGTAAAGATAAATGTTGATAAATGTTGATTGATATCCCATTGAATAATAAAAACATAGACATTTTATCTATCATCTAAAAAAACTAATATATATTCAGTAAACAAGTTCATAAAAATTGATGTATCCAACTGTTTCTTTTTTCTCAATAAATCATAACGAATATAATTGTACGATAAATGTAAAGAAAATTATTGTATCACATTTGCGTTCCTTCTGCATATAAAATGTAAATTATTTTTCTTTTGAAAAACACTATTTTCTGGAGCCAACTCTTAGGATACTTTTCGTCTGATTTAATTGCAGATTAGCCTTTTGCATTAGATTTATTTCTTTTCTCTCTAAAACAATATATATATCGCGAAGCTTCTACCCAAGGAAAACAGCAGCAAAAGGCCCGGATGTCATGGCCTAATTTTGATAGATGATTTGTTCTTTTTGAATGTAGTCTATAGTTTATAAAGTCTTAGAATTTTCATAAAAAACACCATTGTCCGGAGCCATCCGTTTCATTACCGTTTGTTTAATTCAGTTGCAGATTAGCCATTGCATTAATCACCTTTCATCTCATTTTTATGCAGTTTAGCAATTGCATTTATTTTAGATTCTTCTTCACAACAATAAACGGTGCCAAGATCTTACCATCTGACAACGGCCACGAGAGGCCGGTATGGCATGGTCGATTTTTTGATACCTTTATAGTCTCGATTTCATTTCCAGAGCTCCAAATGTTAATATTAAAAACATAATATTACATGTTTCAAAATCATTGTTTTATGATGTAATGGATTTGTTTCACCCTGTTATTGCTTAATACGGAACTAAATCTTATCTGTATTTTTCACAAACCTTTACAGAAAGCGGTTTGAACCGATAATACGCTCTGTCTTAAACATTCCCATGCATACAATGGTATATAAAATGAGACATAAATCATTATAATTATATTCTTAATACTTTATTCATATTTCATACAATTCATATGAACACACGTGCCATTTAAAGTTCTCATATCAACCACCAAACTGTACATCCGAAATTTTTTTTCTGAAAAAAAATAAAAATATCATCTATGACAAAAGTATGTAATCGTTATTTTTGCACAATGAAAACTTAAAATCAACGAAAACCTTACCGCATCGGGCTTTTAATTCACTGAGTCTCTATTTCGAACCTTAACCGAATACACATGATTCATGTGTTCCTTATGATTAAGACTTTTTCTCCTAGCCCCTTTGTCATAATCTTTATGAAAAAATACACAAACAACAAAAGTAAATAGCTAAACTATAAAAGTAGCAGAATTAAGTGCATACATTCGTTCTGCATAACAAAACTCATGCATCAGTAAAATTCGTGCAAATGATCCTTGATTAATATTACATTTTCTCATCAAGGTTTTTTTACCCCTTTGCAGGTCTTTCGTCGTCCGTCAACGAGTTCCCTTGTGCTTGTTGCCCGGATGCTCCAGCATTTGCTTGATTTAACTTCTCGTTCTTTCCTGGTAAAATAATTGAGTATATGAAAATAGCAAAACAGCAAAAGTTTAATCTTTAACCAAAACCTCAAAACTTTAATCGTTAACTTGCAGATAATAAAGTCAATATTTAAGTATTGTCTGATCAATTATATGTTGACAGCGATTGGCACAACAATTATTTGTGCATGTCAATGTATTTGTATATAATCTTTTCGATCTGCTGCCAAGAATGATTCACATTTAGTTAACACTTTATAAACAATACATTTGACATTTGCTAGGAATGTTTCTAAAAATAACAGGATACCTATAACACAGATAGATCTTGAAATTCATGTGAAATATGCTTCAAAAACAACAGAAGTGAAGATAACATTCTCAAGCCACAAATAATAATAAAAAATCTAGTGAAAACAATTTATTATGCAACCTTTTATTGCCCCGATTCACACATTAATAGTAGTGTTAGTAGGACGGGTATATCAGTCTTGTAGACAGCGAATAGTACACTGTGCAACTTGTTTACTTTATTGAAAAGTTGCTTTTAAGGCACGTAAGCTTCATAAACGAATAAATATTTACTCCTTTTTAATTAGCACATACGAGTTTTAGATCATGTAAGTCTATGATTTTATAGCATGAAAAATCTGTTGTTACTTGAATGAACTAAGGATAAAATTAATTAATGTGAAATAACTTAAAAGAGGCAAAATGTAAACAAAGTAGTATTTTGCCTTCCATACAAAATACTTAATTACTAAAACAAACACACGCGCGCACACGTGTACGCACATCTTTTAATCTATTAATCGTTATCCTTATATATACAAGAGATCATTATTTAAGGTATAGAATAATAAATTATATACATGTAGTAGAAAATAAGTAAAACATCAGAGTATAATTTTGACATATTATTTAAATTACAAAAAAACTTTATTTTACCTAAAGATTATCATGTCGAGATAAAATGTAATGACATAGACAAATATACATACTGTGGTCAAGTGCAAATACACTTGCAATTAGGCATACTCCTAAAATCAAAAACACAAATTTACAGCTCATTGTTGTATGAAGATGACAATCGTTTAGGTAATAATGATTAATGTTTGTTAATTACCTGCATTTATGCTTTATCAAATTT